TAAATACTAAAGTTTAACCTAATTAAAGATAAATAATGTAGGGTGCCCTACCATAAATTAATATCTCCAAACATCTGGACAATTACACCACATTTATAGTCACTAAATAAACTTAATAAGCTATGACCATTTAAAGGACAATGTTGGTGCCAGTCATTATCACATGTGATAGAACTGGATAAACACGTTCCAAATATTATTTTATCACAGATATTGCCCCGATAGATGAGTAATCAATGTTCCAACGATCGGAAGTGACGAACGCTAAAGGGAAACACGAGTTATCCCTCTATATAACTGACTGAAGTGACGGGTGATAACAGATACATGGGCGAATTTCTGCTCACTAAAAATTCCTTCGAAGACCAAAAGTTGTTATATGAGACGGTAAGAGTATATCTGGCAATTCAAAAGATAGGTTCCAGGCAACGAAACATACAACGTCCGGGCAGTCAACAAGTATTGTCGGATATTTTTACTTTTTTTTGGTAATGAAACATTTATAATACACTAAAATCTGATTAAGAGTAATAACTCATTAAGTAATTACCAATCTGAAGACAATCGGATGATAACTTTAGCCTCTAGAACGTCACAAGATTTTTCAAAGTGATCAAGGGCCATAACTTTGGCAGTAATTATCGGAAATCACTGAAAATCAATAGGATTCTTCGTCTTATGACCTTAAACACTGTGTATAAATTTAAAGTCAATCGGATATTAACTTTGACCTCTAGAGCGTCCACAAGATTTTTTTGAAGTGATCAAGGACCATAACTCTGGCAGTAATTATCGGAAATCGCTGAAAATCAATAGGATTCCTCGTCTCATGACCTTAAACACTGTGTATAAATTTAAAGTCAATCGGATATTAACTGACCTCTAAAGCGTCCACAAGATTTTTTGAAGTGATCAAGGGCCATAACTCTGGCAGTAATTATCGGAAATCGCTGAAAATCAATAGGCTTCTTCCTCTCATGACCTTAAACACTGTGTATAAATTTAAAGTCAATCGGATATTAACTTTAGCCTCTAGAGCATCCACATTTCATTGTGGGGTATACAAAGTAATTGAATGACATTAGATAAGAGAACACGAGATAAATAGAAACAGTCCATTATTTATTGCATTGTACTATAATTAAGCAAAAAGCTAAATATTACTATTCAGATTTTTTACGGCTGTAATAGTTGATAGACATGAAGAAAATTTCACGTGCAATGGCCATTTATAGACTCTGGTGCTGAGTGTTATTGCACTGCGTGATTAGCCAGAAATCACTTCGAGACAAGCCCATGAAGAATGCACATTTGCGGTGTCGTGTTCAACTTTCTGTAAGAAAATTTTTCGCTGCACAGGGCACCCTACATTATGTAAGATGTAGATAAAGAACTGGCCTTCCTTGCTATTATAGTTCAAAAATAGATAATGCAAAATGAATATTGAAAATTCCATTAAAATTACTTAATTCTGACCAAAGATATTAGTCTTTGAAAGTTTAACAAGTCGTGTGCACTGATTGTAACTTCAGTACTGGTTGTTCAAGGCTAAGCCTCACTTCACGATTTTTATGGTAAATCATTAAATGGCTGATCCGATGGTATCGTATTCTTGGTCATCTAGAACCTCCTAGTAGGGCTGCAATAATTCGATGAATCGCGATGTTTTAAATATCCACGATGCACGATACAATCACTGGCCGTATCGCGATTCGTTATCCAAATAACAATTCCTTTAAATGTGTAAATAAGAAATATTTTTTTACTTTCGGCGAGTGTTAAAGCATTTTAGACACATAAAGTGGCTTGTTATAGCTATTTCCTCAAGATTAAACAAGCCAACAGTGAGGCTGATGTCCCCCGCCGAAATAGGAAAATAATTAGAGGACACATATAAAAATCAAATTGCGTATCGCTCTGCTTACCCTGAGCAGAAAATGCTCATTATCAAACTTAGTCAAGGTATTACTGTAATGAAACTATACACCAAGTTTCATCAATCTCACTTAATTAGAACTAAAGTTATCGTGTCCCAAAGCATCAACCAATCAAATTGCTTATCTCTGCTTACCCTAAGCGGAAAATGCTCATCTTCGAACTCCATCAAGGCATTGACCTAATCAACACATACACCAAGTTTGAACATTCTAGCTCAATTAGGAAGAGAGTTATCGTGCCCCAAAGTATCAACCAATCAAATTGCTTATCTCTGCTTACCCTAAGCGGAAAATGTTCATCTTCGAACTCCATCAAGGCATTGACCTAATAAACACATACACCAAGTTTGAACATTCTAGCTCAATTAAAAGTTATCGTGTCCCAAAGCATCAACCAATCAAATTGCTTATCTCTGCTTACCCTAAGCGGAAAATGCTCATCTTCGAACTCCATCAAGGCATTGACCTAATCAACACATACACCAAGTTTGAACATTCTAGCCCAATTAGGAAGAGAGTGATCGTGTCCCAAAGCATCAACCAATCAAATTGCTTATCTCTGCTTACCCTAAGCGGAAAATGCTCATCTTCGAACTCCATCAAGGCATTGACCTAATAAACACATACACCAAGTTTGAACATTCTAGCTCAATTAGGAAGAGAGTTATTGTGTCCCAAAAAGTGTGACGGACAGACAGACGGACGAACCCATTTTAATAGTCCCCTGCTTTCTTCGAAAGGCGGGGGACAAATATCAGTCTGGTTAAAAGCTCAATACCACTTTGTTGTAACTGAATAATATGTCCCAATCTTTATTCTGGTCAACAAATTGTACTATTTTACAATATGAATATTCCAATTAATTGATGATACAAATTTCATCTTAACACACCTAATTTAAAAAATTGGAAAAATTCAACTAAATGATTTGAAAAGCCTGACGTAAAGCTTTTCAAATGTGATTTGGATTTAAAAATATTTTTGAACCCTCTGGACAAGTAAAATAGGATTTAATGGATAATTTACACAACAGGTAAGACACTAACACATCTAGTAGTTAGAACCGTGCTGGGAATTAAGTTGCGTTCAAATTACACAATTGAATAATATGCGGGAAAAGAACATTAATATATATAGATATGTCCGTAATATGCGATTTGTGATATTACTGTATAAGAATGGCGATTTGTACATACTGCATAGATTGATCAGCACATTTTCAATGTATATTAATATTTGATGTTAAAATCTTTGTAGCGTTATTTCCTTTGCTGTTCCGCAATCTATGACTGACCTGACAATGAGAAAGCTTTCCATTGGCTGAAATTGTTGTGGCAAAACGAGCCAGCCAGCTGAAATTTGTTCAAAATGAATTCACCAAATTCAAGCCGCATGATCGACAAAAGCAATATTGAGATCGAAATTCCCCATACCAAGTCACAAGTAAACTATGGGAGTTTTTAGGATTTCCCGTTAAGCATGACAGCAATGAAATCCAGTCAGTTGACTGAAAAAACACCACATTTAAAGTAAATCATAAAAGTAGGCCTTCGAATTTTCACAGTGAAAGACTGTCAAATTTAACAGCATTTTTAAAATTTATTTCCTACATTGCGATATTAATCGTATCATAGACTACGAATCTTGACGCGCAGCGTATTGTGGCCTGGCACATCGCTGCAGCCCTACTTCCTAGTCTTCAAAGTATGAAGGTCTGGACGAAAAGTTCCATTGCCCATGCGTACGCTGAGTTTGGATTTATATGTGGTTGATTATCCAGTATCTTTGGCCAAATCAAGCAAGAGCTGCACCCTTTCCCACAATAAATCGCATAATTGTTGCATTAATATAATTAAGTGTTGGATATTGAACTGGAAATGCAATCAAATGGATTTTGTGAAATGGCTTTAATTTCATGGTCGTCAACACCTTGTTTTAGGACTAGTTACCTACCTTAGATTTTGTTTTTGTTAATGCATTAGACTCATATTCGTAGAATATTTTTCTGGATAAGAGTCTAATGGTATTGAGATTTTTTTAAATGGTCTTGTCATGTTAAACATACATTATGCAAGAGCTAAACTAAATCTGTCTAATGCAGGTCTTTCTTTAGGCCTGAAATGTTATCTAAATTATTCATTAGACATTAATTAACCTATCCAGACCATAATCAAATCTAGAATATAGCACCGCTAGCCTGCGATCTTTAGTGGATTATGAGCTGATTTACTGCATAACTTCCCTTCACGATTAAATGGATAATCGAGACTATGCTGTTTATTGTGCCGACTTTAGTAATGATGATCGATGCTAGGCGTAAATTTCAATCGCTTAGTTCTCGGTTTAGAGTGGATAAATTCGAATGAAATTTTCAGCAAATTGCCTTTAAATTATCTAGTTTTTTAACTATTGCAGTGAAAACTGACAACTCATTATCGAATCTCCCATAATGTATTTTTAATAAATGTTTAATTAATAGTTTATATAACATCTAAGGCCCAATAAAAAAGACCCGAAATAGGCAGATTTAGCTCTGGCATAATGCCTGTTTAAAGTAATTCTAGAAAATAGAAATATCGGCGGAATTCAACGAAATGCAAACTGGTTCTGTATCTCTGCTATATACAGCAGTTTAACGAATCAAGTCAACAAAGGGCTATAATTCAGTAACCAAATTCCATGGGATGCAAACCTAATCTGTGTATATACACTAGTGCACCAACACTCAATCAAATACAGTCAAGATTCATTATGTACGATTTAGATAAAAAGCTGACAGTTCTCACTATAATAATTTAAAAATAGATTATGAAAAAGGAATATATTCTGACTGAAGAATAGAGTAGTCTTGATTTTATATAGCATTTGACGTAAAACAAAAGATCGGCAGATTTAGCTCTTACATAATGCATCTTTAAAGTTTACCCCAAAATAATTCTGGAACACATCATTTTCATTGATTTTATAGCAAATGGCCATAATTCAGTGAATTAATAGTATACAGCAATGCACCAACCGTTAAATATGTCAATGTTTAATTTAAAATAATGAAGCAACAATAACTCCCACTATATCACTTTAATGATCCAATAAAAATCATCAACAGGCTAATATAGCACTTTTTTTTTATTTGTCCATGAATGCAAGGTTTAGGAAGTTCCCTTTTCTTTGTCGTCCTTGTCTTTCTTTTCTTTCTTCTCCTCATCCTTGTCTTTATCTTCAGAGATCGAGGTTCTCAGGAGTTCAGCACGTTTCTGTTTAAGACGATCTGCCTTTCGCTTACGGGCCTCTTCGATCTTTAGTCTCTTGGCCTCAAATTGATCCCTAAATTTAACAAATTATTATTGGTTCATAGAAATAAAATGTTTTAATAAATATACCTGTAGAAAACTTTTAAAGCTTTGGACCAGATTTCACTTAGTTCTGCTTTAAAATCCACTAAAATTTGCTAGTAATTGAAACCAGAGTTGAGCCAATAGGGGTGTTATTCTGGTAACACTATCAGCCTATACATATACCGATATTTAGTATAGTTATTATACACATTGCTGTATAACACATTCTTATAGACCGGAGGCTCAGCGCGGGGGGGTGGGGGTGGGGTGGGGGTGAGGGTCCATCAAATGGGCACAAAACCAGACCCAACTTTTTTAGAGTAAAATTTTGCGTAGAATACGATGCCGAGTGGTAATCAGTCCGCCGTTGGGGCGTTTGAGATATTCAGGGTTAAAGGTCAAATGAGTTCATTTGCACTGAAAGTGAATGCACAGTCATTCTTGTATTATGAAAAGAAGCTGAAAATGATCGAAAGTAATCACACTTTCAATAAAAATGTAAAATTGCTAAATTCACCTTTAGTCTTAGTGACCCTGGAGGTCAAAAGGTGAAATTTACCGTTTTTGCACTAGGAAGATTTAAAGCAATAAAATGTCAACGTAAAATATAAAAATTAAAGCGAAACCTGTTCTAATTATAGGAACATTTCAAATTTATCTTTAGGTGGTCTTAGCACCAAACTTTTACTTTGGAACGTCGAAAATGATCTTGCATAACAGAACCAACACACTTTGAAACCTGTCAAATCGAAATCTCTCCGATTTATTTTTACAATGATTGTTATACATAATGATACTAGTTATCTGAAAAACAATTGAATAGTTGCAGTGTTGGACTGCAGTGTGCAGGCCGCGTGGATTTCCAAGAATCCCAGTCTAGGAAAACCGACGTTAATCTGTGACAGGAAAACACGCATCTGGCGACGCGATTAAAAGTTTGAAAACTTTTTATGAGTTTTTATGAATTTCGCCGGAACATGGACGCAGATAAAACCGACGAATGCATTGTGCATAGTAGTTCACAGGATATATATGTTGTATTGGTAAATATTAGAGGGGAAAATTTTGACAGGCTTTGTGACGCGGCCTGCAGGCTGGAGTCCAGCCATGGAACTATTTAATTGTTTTTTTCAGACAACTAGTATCATTATGTATATCATTCGTTGTAAAACTAATTCGGAGTGATTTTGATTTAACAGTTTTTACGTATTTTTGAAACAGGCGTTTTGGTTCTGTTATGCAAGATCATTTTCGACGTTCCAAAGTAAAAGTTTGGTGCTAAGACCACCTAAAGATAAATTTTAAATGTTCCTATTATTAATTAGAACAGGTTTCGCTTTAGTTTTTATATTTTACGCCGACATTTATTACTTTAAATCTTCCTAGTGCTGAAACGGAAAATGTGACCTTTTGACCACTGGGGTCACAAAGAACAAAACTGAATTTTGCAAGTTTACATTTTTATTGAAAGTGTGATTACTTTCGATCATTTTCAGCTTATTTTCATGATACAAGAATGACCGCGCATTCACTTTCAGTGAAAATGAACCCATTTGACCTTTGACCCCGAATATCTTGAAAACGCCCCAACGGCGGACTGATTACCACTCGGCATCGTATTCTACGCTAAATTTTACTCTAGAAAAGTTGGGTCTGGTTTTGTGCTCATTTGTGCCCATTTAGGTTTATATAAATCTGTGAGTGGGAAAATACTTTTGGATATAATATAGGTCAAATCATCAGTAAAAATAGTCAATTATTGGCAAGTACTGATTACTCAATTATTGATTGATACTGATGTAATCAATAATCGGCTCATCTTTATTTCGAACACTGTACGCTCAGGGTGGTCGGTAATTTTTCACAGTTGATTAGCATCTGCTAACCAACGAGTCCAATTTTGCCAAATTTGATTAGTAAATATAAAAATTGATTAGCAGTTTTTCAGTTTCAACATAAAACATCTAAACAAGATATTACTTTAATTCATAACAAATGATTAGAAGATTTTTTAGCACCATTACATTACATGACTTATTGATTGATACTATTTTTCATAATACTAAAGAGAGTAATGGGGTTTAACATCCACTCGACACAAACTAGGTCATTTTGGGACTAACACGCAGATGAATTTTATTTCAATAATTCACATGTGTGTATGTGTCTTTAGCAGTGGGAGGAAACTGGAAGACCTGGAGAAAACCCACGAGGTTGGACAGGCGACCCTACTCCTTGTCACTTACAACCGGGGAATCGAAATCATGCCAGTTGACACAATGACAGACCTTATGATGCAGTGCTCACACGCTAACCATTCGGCCATCCAAACCGCCATAATAAAGAACTTTTACAGCTCCAAGGAGTAGGAAGCTCAAACTGCTCTGGTTAGATTATCTGCTTCGATATTTTTTATAATGGTGTAACTTACTTGAGGATCTTAACTCTCTGGAGTTCGGCCTTCTTCTTGTGAATATACTCAATCAAAATTCTCTTGTTTTTAAATCCATTACCTTTAGATTTCATATAAAGTTCATGATATCTGAAAAAATATACAAATAAAATACTGTTCAACGTCCTAATCTTTTCCACCAACCAGGTTAATAAGATGTGTGTACACCATGCATAGTGTAGCATGAGGCGAATTTTGCCCTGTCAGGTAGGAAAATCACCAGGAACATTAAAAAATTTCTTGACCAAAAATGGGATCAATCCCCAACCCACCTGGTTAGTGAGCCAGTGGCAAAAAATATATACACACAATTATTCTAAACCTTTTTTTCCGTTGGCAGGCCTTCTTGAAATCTGAAAATCATGCAGGAGTTACAATTTTTTTGCAATATATTTTGCTGGAGCTATTTAACACCTGCAAAATTCCTATTTGAGACAATGCTTATTATAGCTAGTTTACATTAAAAATGTGCAGCACGATCGTATCTGTCAAATTTTAAGGCCTGCATTGGGATTAAGTACAGGTGGAGTATTACACAAAAATAATGCTACCTGGTAAGACATATTCAGGTATCTAGCCAAATTGATAGTCAGAACTGACTTAAGAATGTCAAAGCATAGACAGATAAAATGATTTATCCGAGTTACGGAGAGGTTTATCCTTCCTTCACAATTAAGTATTTACTTACATATGTCGGTCAATTTTTTTAGTTTCCCGATATCTTCTGAGTAATCTTCGCAACACCCTCATTCTGTTCATCCACACAATTTTCTGTGGTTGACGTGCATTGGCTGTACCTCGTCGTCGTCCTGTTCCCATGTGACGTCCCTTCCTTCGAGCAATCATGAACTTTCGTACACGAGCTCGAGAATGAACTGTGACAGGTTTTCGGATGACCAGACCATCTTTTACAAGTTTACGAATATTTTGTCCTGAAGTATAATTAAAAATTTAAATTTTACTTTGTAGCCACGTCCTTATACCCATTGAATCAAAAATCACCAGCTTGTTAACAAAACACAATTTTTCTGTTTTCAAGACTATTGGGTAAGCTAATACAATATTGATTACAGCCCTATTCGACTACAGAATGAGTTATACACACTACACAGCTTTCTATTTTATGTTTTTGAATCATAAAATTTGACATAACCATACATTACGTAAGAGCTAATTCTGCCTATTGTAGGTCTTTCTTTAGGCCTTAAATGTTATATAAACTTTTAATTAGACATTTATTACCATGACAAGACCATAATCAACCATCGGTGCCATCTCAGGCATCTGATGCTTCCGATTTTCATTAGATTTGAATCCAATCTACCTTTCAGCAGCCATTGATGATTCAATGCAAAAATGGACAATCAAGGCTACAGGGTTTTCAAAATGAGTAAATCAGAATATTCCTGTTACATTATCTATCATTTAACTTTTGCTCTATCTAATTTACCATAATGTATCTTTAATAATAGTGTTGGGCATCACTTAGCTGCAATTTTTTGCTGAGATAGTTCTTTTCTATGGCTGCAATTGATACACTATTCAACTCTTTGAGCAAGTAAAATTAGGTTCAGTTGCAAAATTTTCAACACATATCATAGTTTGCATGGAAATAAGTGATTATGTTACAAATAGTGAAGAGTGGGACTAGTGTTGAAACTACTATTCGGATATTCGTTAACGGATACAAAATAGGGGTTATCCGAATCATTTTACTATCAGTTTACTATTCGTTAGAATATATTCTGACATTCTGTATGCTCTATATTTAGCCATTTTTACATCTGATCACTTTGAAATTTTCCCCAATGCAATTGATCACGTACGCAGCTCCATGAGCATAAATGTCAACATTATGCGTATTATTTAGTGATAGTAACTAATAAAATTATTAATGCAGTGCAACGAAAACAGTAGTCTAAATAAAAAAAAATATTCATTCATTCCCTGCGCTTGTTTACGGCATACGAGTTTAGACCATGTTTTGACTTCCCACAATGAAATTTATTCATAACGAACTAGGTTACGTATATTCCCACTGACTGATTGGTTCAATACATAGAGCTATAACTCTATGGTTCAATAGTAGTAGATTATCAGAATGAGGCAAACGACCTTGCCGGAATAAATGGCACATGGTTTTATTTTACTTTTTTCATTTGCGTTGATAGAGCAAAATGATAATTTTGGGATGTCAGACCAATGTCATAGATAGTCTTAATAATTACGGCTAAAGGTAAGCACGTTTTTTCTTCGCGGCTCAAACAATTAGCAAATTGAAAGTACGATTTCATACTCGACATAGAGACACTCATAAACATTGAAACAAGTAAGAAATTATGAGTACCGGTATATGAACTTTTGATGTAATAGCCAACAAAAGTATTCGGATCACAAATTTCGATCCGATTTTCAACACTAAGTGGGACATAGAAATCTTAATCTTATCATACCAAACAGTTTTTCTGTATTTTTCTAGTGATATAATATTACATGATTCTATGACGGTAGTCATTTTAACTGAACAAAATTTCGCATAGCAGTTGGGTAAAATCAAATTATATAATTATGTGGTAAGGTTTCACCTTTATTTCAATGAGAATTTGTTTATTATATGTTAAACTATGTGAAATAAAATGAAATGGGGTTTAACGTCCTACTGTTCTGCTCCTGAACTGGGCTAATGAAGACGGGCATACGCCATATAGTGTGCTATGAGGGAAATTTTGCCCGGGCAGCGGCATTACGGCCTACTCTTATATTGAATTCCAACTGCCAAGGGATCTTTTACGTGCACGCCAATATGTACACAGGATCTCGGTTTTTTGTCCCATCCGAACAAGTAGACAGCTGTCCTTGTCAGGCCCTCCGTCCTGCATCACTGATAAGGGGAAATCACGCCGGAAAATCTGGATGAACTTTCGCAGCCAATGCAGGGATAGAATACCCGACTAATGACCAGCGTCTTACCCACTTAGCCATGTGATCCCCGTTAAGCTATGTACAGTGCAGTTTGGGGTCAGTGTAATTGGAAATTAAGGGAGTTATAGGCCAGTAACTTTTTTGTAGTCAAATGACTACAAAACTTGCGCAAAGGAAGGCCTTAGGACGGTCCACTACTGTGGCTGGAGCAAGACATCACTGTCATCAGTGCTGAGTAGTGGAACCATTTCTAGACATCAGTGGATTACCAATTAATTGATTATTGCCATTGGACTGTTTTTTCCTATTATTACAAATGCCTGGACACTTGAATTAATAACAATGCTTACACATCGTGGAGGTTATAATATCATCGTAGATCTATAAATCTAGGAATGTTTCTGAACACTTACTGGAGTTTGCGTTGGAAATTTCATTATTTTCATTTGGATCCAACCAGATTTTGTTTTTACCGCATTTCAATACAGAAGCGGCTAACCGCTTTTGAAGCCTGAGCGAACTGAAAGATTGAAAATGAAAAATATCATAAGTGATGCTTGACCAGAAAACAGTGTAAGACAAGCCGAGTAAAAGTTTGTTTATAAAATTCTGAAAACACGTTTTCACTTGGCGGCCATTTTGGGTGAAATTTGTGTAAATTTTACAACATTTATGACAGTTTTTTTGGATATATTTTAATCAATTATTCCACAACTACTATTCACCAAATTCACATTGGTTATTGATATTCCATAAAATGGCATTATAGTTCTTTATTATTTGTAAAATTCACAGAAGTTGAACAAATTTAACAGTAGTTCCAACCTCATGGTTACTTCGTTTCACGGTGTTGAGAAAGGAAAATTTAGAGCACGTGGTTTGTGACATCACGAAAAATAGTTCGTATTTATGTTGCTTTTCAAATAAACTAGCGTGTCTCTGTCAATTTTAGTATGTTTGATTACAAATGGTCATTTAAATGCCACAGGAATATATAAATTCAAATATAAAGCGAAATTAAGCTCGAATTTCAACATAGTTCGAAAACATTGTACTATTCCGCCTGTCAGAAGGTGGTGATGTGGTTTTTAAAAAATCTCGTTTCGTCTCGACTATTAGCGTCTGCTACGAGATGTTCTTTCAAGGTCATATTACCCAAAGGTCAAGGTTCTAGGCCGTCAGGAAAGGTTATAGTCTGATCGACGGAGTGACCAGAGCTGCTGAAAAATGGACAACCCTGGACCCCTTCCGAAACTTACCCGAAAGGACAGTGTTATGGCGACACCGGGAAGAGAGGGACAAGGTGTTGCACCAGGAAGTTTTGCCGGAAAAGCAATCGGTGTCTTTACAAGTGGGGGAGATTCTCAAGGTAGGGTTTGATACTTTCATTTTTTTTTAGACTGAAGACAGTGAAGTCGAAGAAGTGTGAAGTTATGACATTAGCTAGGCCAATATAAATAATTATTGGTCTTACTTCCATCCCCACAGTTCAAGTTAACACTGAACAATCCAGCCTCTGAATCTGATACTCTGGTAATTCCCGTTCACTGATATGTCAGTCATGTACAGAGACTGGTGTCAGTAATGTCACTAATATAATGCTAATGACAGAACTATTCGAAGAGGCCTACAACTTCATGAAAACTAACTCAGTAACTGCACCTTAGCTGCCTTAGGCTATAAGTTATGTTATATAGTTGTAGGCCCACTCAGCAAACCTCGGTGTAGTATCTGTAGAATATAAATAAAACTTATGCACATGTATGTTCGAGACTACATGATTATTATAGACAAGAGTTGTCTCCTATTGATAAGTTGTAGTTTGGTTCCGAGTTGAATAAAAGCAGTGGCTATTTGCCACATGTGGTAAGCAAGAATTTCAATATAGCCTTACGACTACAGACCGCAATTGTTACCCAATTTTAATGAAACTTACAGATTATGATAACATTGATAATATCTCTGAGTGACAAAACTTTCGGCCACTTCCGGTTTGCGGTTTCCGAGATATGGGGGTTACCACACATTTCATGTGGCACGGCTACAGACCACAATTATGAACCGATATCCATGACACTTACAGAATATGATAACATTAATAATATCTCAGAGTAGCCAAAATTTCGGCCACTTCCGGTTAGCAGTTTCCGAGATATCAGGTTATCACACACTTCATGTGGCACGGCTACAGACCACAATTATCAACCGATTTCCATGAAATTTACAGAATATGATAACATTAATAATATCTCAGAGTAGGCAAAATTTCGACAACTTCCGGTTAGCGGTTTCAGAGATATCAGGTTACCACGCATTTCATGTGGCACGGCTACAGACCACAATTATCAACCGATTTCCATAAAACTTGCAGATTATAATAACATTAATAATATCTCAGAGTAGCCAAAATTTCGACAACTTCCGGTTAGCGGTTTCCGAGATATCAGGTTACCACACATTTCATGTGGCACGGCTACAGACCACAATTATCAACCAATTTCAATGAAACTAGCAGATTATAATTACTTTAATAATATCTAAGAGTAGGCAAAATTTCGGCCACTTCCGGTTAGCGGTTTCCGAGATATCCGGTTACCACACATTTCATGTGGCACGGCTACAGACCACAATTATAAACTGATTTCAATGAAACTTGCAGATTATAATTACTTTAATAATATCTCAGAGTAGCCAAAATTTCGGCCACTTCCGGTTAGCGGTTTCGGTGATATCAGGTTACCACACATTTCATGTGGCACGGCTACAGACCACAATTATGAACCGATTTCAATGAAACTTGCAGATTATAATTACTTTAATAATATCTCAGAGTAGCAAAAATTTTGGCCACTTCCGGTTAGCGGTTTCCGAGATATCAGGTTACCACACTTTTCATGTGGCACGGCTACAGACCACAATTATCAACCGATTCCCATGAAACTTACAGACTATGATACCTTTAATAATATCCCAGAGTAGGCACAGTTTCGGCCACTTCCGGTTAGTGGTTTCCGAGATATCAGGTTACCACACATTTCATGTGGCACGGCTACAGACCACAATTATCAATCGATTTCAATGAAATGTGTGGTAACCTGATATCTCGGAAACCGCTAACCGGAAGTGACCTAAATTTTGCCTACTCTGAGATATTATTAAAGTAATTATAATCTGCAAGTTTCATTGAAATCGGTTTGTAATTGCGGTCTGTAGCCGTGCCACATGAAATGTGTGGTAACCTGATATCTCGGAAACCGCTTACCGGAAGTGGTCGAAATTTTGGCTACTCTGAGATATTATTAATGTAATTATAATCTGCTAGTTTCATAGAAATCGGTTGATAATTGTGGTCTGTAGCCGTGCCACATGAAATGTGTGGTAACCTGATATCTCGGAAACCGCTAACCGGAAGTGGCCGAAAGTTTGGCTACTCAGATATTATTAAAGTAATTATAATCTGCAAGTTTCATTGAAATCGGTTGATAATTGTGGTCTGTAGCCGTGCCACATGAAATGTGTGGTAACCTGATATTTCCGAAACCGCTAACCGGAAGTGGTCGATATTTTACCTACGCTGAGATATTATTAATGTTCTCGTTATCTGTAAGTTTCATTGAAATCGGTTGATAATTGCGGTACGGAGACTTGCCACATGTGGCAAATAGTCTCCGGATTGTCTTACCACATGTGGCAAATAGCCCCAGCCTTGAATAAAACGTGGTCTGATTAAATTCGCCTGTATTAGATTATTGTCTATGGTTCAATCCGAAAGATTGGAAACTGTCCCTTGGCCATCAAAGTCTACAGTTTGGCGACGAGGATACAGGAAGGTATTTAGAGCATTTCCTTGACAACGAAAGCTTTTAAAATACAATAATGTCGACGAATAACGACGTTGGGCAATTGCATCATTTTGACTGCAAAGACTGCACCGGAATTGCCGCCCGATGGCAAAGATGGATCCGAGCATTTGCCCTTTATGTAACTAGCCGAGGAACCAAGGATGCGGCACAGAAAAAGGCCTTACTCCTACACACCGCTGGTATGGATGTGCAAGATGTGTTTTACACCCTAGATGTCAGCGATGTTGAAGAAGAGGGAGAAGAAGACGTATACACGGAAGCAAAAGACGCACTCAACACGTTAAAACCCGCAAGGAAATGTGCCGTTTGAAAGATGTGTGTTCAGAAAATTAAAACAAGACGAAAATGAAACAGTGGAACAGTTTATTACCAGACTTCGACAAAGTGTTGATGGATGTGAATTTGCAAATATTGATGGCGAAATTCGGGACCAGGTCATTACAAAATGTTCATCGAATGAACTTCGAAGAAAACTCTTAGAAAAAGGAGCAAATCTGAACCTCCAACGGACAATTGAGATAGCACGTGCAATGGAAGAATCTGTGAGACAGGCTAGCTCGATAGAAGGCCTCTCGTATGATGTAAATAAATTAACAATGAAGGATTGACGTTATAGGCCTAGACCTAACAGTAACAGTAATAATAATAGTAACAGTAGACCACATTATCCAGACAGGGAAATGCATGGAAAATGTTTTAATTGCGGATATGATGGACATAGGCATTCTGATCCAAATTGCCCTGCTTTAAGAGAAAAATGTCGTAAATGCAAGAATTTTGGACATTATGAAAGAATGTGTAAGACGAAAATGTTCATGCCACAGTCATATGACAGAAGAAATAGAGGAAATTACAGAAATGAAAACCCTGAAGACAGAAGAAATAAATACAGAAGTAATAGATCACAAGTACGACAAATTAAAGAAAAAAGTGAAGAAGGAAAAGAGAGAGTTTGACAGTGATCCTGTTTATAGAGTTTCTAATGTGCTGGACGACCGAATAAATATAGACATAGGCGGAACAGTCGTTTCGTTTATTGTTGATTCTGGGTCAGGTCCAAATATCATTGATTATCGTCAAAATAATATAAACTTTCATTCTGTAAATGAGAACTCGACAAAGAAACTACCCATCCTAGTAAACAGCCAATCCGTATTTTGTTAGAATTTACGACAAATATTAAATTTAGTAACAGGGAGTTTGATGAGGTAGAATTTGTCGTCATTAATGAAGAAGGACAATCATTATTAGGCTGTGAAACCGCTATTAAATTAGATATTTTAGAAATAAACTGTAACTCAGTAAATGTGATTGAAAATAATGTTGATAAGATAACTGAGAAATATAAAAGTTGTTTTGAGGGGCTTGGAAAATTAAAAGACTTTAAACTTAGAATTCCAATTGACGCCAATAGTACAAAACATTCGAAGAGTGTCGTATCAATTGCGCGATAAATTAACTGAGAAACTGAAAGAATTAGAAGATTTAGATATTATTGAAAAAGTCAATGGTCCGTCAACTTGGGTCTCTCCAGTTGTCTGTGTATTGAAAAAGAATAAGAAGTCTACCGAGATTACACTTCCAGACATTAGACTATGTGTTGACATGAGGTTAGCCAATACTGCCGTCAGTCGAGAATGACACCCAATTCCTACGATTGATGAGATATTGCAGGACATGTCTCATAGTAAGTTTTTTTTAGTAAATTGGACATTAAATGGGCATACCACCAACTTGAACTTGACGAAGAGTCGAGAGACATTACTACATTCATAACGCATAATGGTTTGTATAGATATAAGCGACTCATGTTTGGTGTTAGCTGCGCTCCAGAGATGTACCAAAAGGTAATACAACAGTCACTTCAACACTGTGAAGGGGTATTTGATGACATTATTGTTCATGCACCAACTGTGGAAGAACATAACAGGAGACTTGAAAATGTTATTTGTGTTATAAGTGAAAAAGGTATGACGCTGAACAAAGACAAGTGTCAGTTTAATTTGACTAATTTAGAGTTTATGGGTCATGTATTGTCAGATAGAGGAATAGGACCTGCAAGCGTTAAAGTGCAAGCGATCGTTAATGCTCGTGCACCACAAACTGCAACTGAAGTACGTAGTTTCTTAGGACTTGTCAATTTTACAGGACGTTAAATTGCTGATTTATCAACTGTTACAGAACCGCTTCGCAAATTGACAAAGAAGAATCAGAAATTCGTATGGGGATGGTCTCAACAAAAACGCATTCAGTGAATTGAAACGCAGGTTATCAAGTGCAGAAACTTTAGCTTATTTTGATAAAAACGCGACAACGAAAGTCATAGCTGATGCAAGCCCAGTTGGACTTGGCGCTGTTTTAATCCAAATTCAAAATGGAGAACATAGAATTATTAGTTATGCAAGCCGTAGTTTAACTGATGTAGAACGGCGTTACTCACAAACCGAAAAAGAAGCCCTTGCGCTTGTCTGGTCATGTGAACATTTCAACGTGTATTTGTTAGGAACTGATTTTGAACTCTTAACAGACCACAAGGCTTTAGAGTATATTTATTCGACTAGATCAAAGCCCTGTGCTCATATTGAAAGATGGATATTATGCATGCAGCCTTATAAGTATACTGTAAAACATATTCAAGGTACGCAGAACATTGCCGACTCTCTATCTAGACTTTTATGTGAATCAAACGTTACAGATGTCAGAGGTCGTAGCATTGACCAGGTTTATTGCAAAACAATCGACACCTAAGGCTATGCCTACAAAAGAAATTGAGACTAAATCAGTTAATGATCCCGAGTGTGAAGCCATTCGTAATCATCTACTACAAGGTAAATGGGAGAACATTCAGATCAAAGAATATTTACCCATGAGGCATGAACTTTGCGCCATAGGAAAATTAGTACTTCGAGGAACAAGAATTCTAATTCCTGCTGAACTAAGCGAAAAAGTAATGATTTTAGCGCATGAAGGACATCCAGGCATAGTAGGCATGAAACAACGACTTCGTTCGTGTGTATGGTGGCCTGGCATTGACAAACAAATAGAAACTTTTTGTAAATCTTGTCATGGATGCCAACTTGTAAGTAAGGCTACACTGCCAGAACCAATGAAGAGAACACAGTTACCGTCCGCACCGTGGCAACATTTAGCAGCTGATTTATTAGGACCTCTACCAACGGGAGATTATATATTCGTTTTAGTAGATTACTATAGTAGATATTTTGAAGCAGAAGTTACCAAATCTACTACTTCGGACGAAATCATATCTATGCTGAATAAGGTGTTTGTTACTCATGGACTACCGTTATCAATTCAAACTGATAATGGACCTCAATTTATAAGTTTACAGTTTTCAGACATTATGTTAGAATATGGTATCGAACACAGGAAATCAAAACCTCTGTGGCCGCAAGCAAATGGCGAGGTAGAAAGACAAAATGCATCTATAATGAAACGAATTCAAATTGCACAAGCTGAGACGAAGAATTCGATGATGTACCGCAGTACACCGCATTCAACAACAGGTGTTAGTCCCGCTGAATTAATATATGGTAGAAAAATTCGAACCAAATTACCACAACTTAGCGAATTTTGTGATGATGTAGAAGTTTGCGACCGCGATTCTGAAAGAAAAGAAAAAGGGAAAGTGTATTCTGATAATAAAAGACATGCTCGCGAAAGTGATATTACTATTGGAGATAAAGTATTAGTACGTCAGGACTATCAAAATAAGTTTTCAACAAACTTTAGTCCAACCATGTTTGATGTTATTCGGAAGGATGGAAATAGTGTGTTAATTCAGAGTGAAAATGCACCGTAGTATAGTCAATATCGTAGAAATATTACCCGTGTGAAAAAGTATCATGGAAAAATGTCTAATAGTAACCGTGAAAATCAAATAGAAACTGCAGAGTTGCCTATTAGTATTATTGAAAGTGAGTCAAATAATAACAGTGAATCACCATGTGAAAATAAGTGCGATCCGAATCGTGATAGGTTACAAGTACAATTTCCTGATGCTATTCAAGATTTCGAAGAAAAACAAAAATGCCAGAAAAGTACAAAGACTATGAGTGTTATTAACTCTCTGGGAATCAAACTTGAGATATAAATGTGGGTTATTAATTTGTGATGATTTACAAAATAAAGTTTTAATTTAAGACTCTAAATGGTACTATGGATATTCAATGTGAAATAGAAATATATTTTAGTTTAAGTTACAGATTTCAAAATAGAATAGTTTGAACACTAAGAAAAAAGAAAGGGATTGTAGTATCTGTAGAATATAAATAATACTTATGCACATGTATGTTCGAGACTACATGATTATTATAGACAAGAGTTGTCTCCTATTGATAAGTTGTAGTTTGGTTCCGAGTTGAATAAAACGTGGTCTGATTAAATTCGTCTGTATTAGATTATTGTCTATGGTTCAATCCGAAAGATTGGAAACTGTCCCTTGGCCATCAAAGTCTACACTCGGCAGATTCCGTTACTCTACATCTAGCCTAGGCTGTATGACGGTAAGTGATATGTACCTACGCCTATACAATTGCGATGCGGCACCGGTGTTTACTTATTAGGAAAACTTGCCGGTTTTAAAAAGGAGTTATCAAAATTGCGTCGTTCAAAGCGTGAGTAGAATTGTCAGTGCAAAGTTGTCCTTGTTTGAAGAAAATCGGAGAAACTTGAAAGAAAAACAGCTTCAGACTTTGAAATATTTGTATGATAAAACATCTTTCAAAGGCGTCGTCATGGGAAATGCCGTTGGTAATCTTGGAACTTGAAAGTAGTTCCAATGGCGTACTTCGTCATACAGCAAAGGCTAGATGTAGGGTACTGAAATCTGCTGAGGTTTGCCTACACGACTACTGAATCATAGTGGTAATGACATAATACAACTAACTCAACTGTTTAGTTCAACATCTAATACTCAGTCAACAAACTGACAATGGTATGTACTCAATGCACCCACACCGACAATGGTATGTAACCATTTTTCCAAGAATTTATTGAATTCAATAAGAGTAGGCCGGTAACACCGCTATCCAGGCAAAGCTTCCATCGCATACTGTATAGCACATGCCTGTCTTCATTAGCCCACTCACAGGAGAACAGTAGGATGTTAAACCTCATTCCATTTAATTTTCCTACTTTTCTGATAGGCATACGCTATACAAAGGGTTATGATGTAAATTTTCTATGGACAGTGGCACTTCTCCATCAAATTCTAACTGTGAAGGGTTCTTTTAATACTTTTATGTGCACGCCAATGTGTACACAGGAGCTACCGAAAGGGAGAAACCATGTTGCAAAATCCTGGGGAACTTACATGATCAACACGAGAATCAGTGTAATCAAACTGTATATTGAGAGAAAGATGGCCGACATCACAACATTTTATACCCAACATTACATTTTTAATGTCTTATTGTCGGGTTAAAATGCTTTGCTGACATTAAAATGTTGTCATGTCGGGTTGTCGCCTTATGAAGGGCGGCATCACAATATGATACCTATCAGCCACCATACCTGATGTTTTTTTTTATACCCATATTTATAGTTTATTTTATAGCTGCGGACTAGTGAACCCGTGGACTAGTGAACCCGCGGACTAGTGAACCCCTTTCATCCATTGCTGGTTGTATACAAAATCTGGACAAGCTTTGTCCATTCATTGCTTGGATTTTGAGAGATAATAAATAGTCTGTAATGGTTCAACAACTCATGCAAAATAACCAAGCTACAAGACCAATGTAAACAGCTATGTATGAGAATATCTATGTATAATTTCATTAATTTGCAATCATTCTATATGATGGAACCTGTTTTGATGAGGTACCATCCTTTTGATCTCAAATTCTTCATCTTAGGTCTCTATTCTAACACTGAATAGGTCAGTGCCGATTTTCATTAAGCAAATTGAATTTTTAACGTTATATTAAAGATATCATTAGATTAGATTTAGTTTATTGTCTTCTATGTATTTTGCAGGAATGAACTCTGCTGTTAGAGCTGTTGTACGTATGGGATTGTATCTAGGATGTAAAGTCTATTTCATTAGAGAGGTAACTTTAATATAATCTTAAAAGAAATGTTTAAAAACTGTAAAAAAGCTATAAGAATATTGAAATTTTAATGTATATCTGTTTGCTATTTACTGTAACCGTCCTCAGAAAATGTCTTTTTTAACAAAAATATGAATCAAGTTAAAGTCTCTGAACATCATTTAGGGATTGTTAAAGATGCATCATGTAATAAAGAGCTAATTGCAGATCTTTCTTTTAGTAACTTTTAGCCTCAAATGTTTTATAAATTATTAATTAGACATTTATTCACATAACAAGTCCATAATCAACTGATTCAAATCTCCTAGACCATTGGATGGTTGTGATTTTGAACGGATTGAAACACAATCTCCATTTAATAATTTAATTTAAAAATGGATAATCAAGACTTTGTTTATTATACTATTCAAAAAAAGTAGGGGATATTTGATTTTTAAGTGTTATTAAAGTCACCTAATGAAACTGACGAAGAAACAAATGACAAAATGAAATGAAGTTCACATTCATCGATGTATTCCAAATGATCGTTAGACTAAGTAAGGCACAGACTGACCATTATAAGGGTAAAATGATACCCGGGGTCAAACAGCAAAGTTACCACAGCATCACAACCAAGTCAGTAACGGGTAAATCCTCCTCTGTTTGCCAAACAAGCATTGATCCGACGTGGCATACTCCTAATGAGACGTCTAAGGTCATTTTGGTCCAGATTGTCCCATTCCTGTTGCAACGCAGCAGCAAGTTCTTGGACATTGGCAGGACGTTGTTGACGTTGACGTAACCTCTGTCCAAGCATGTCCCAGACATGCTCGATGGGGGAGAGGTCGGGACTCAGTGCTGGCCAAGGTAATGTGGTGATGTTCTGTTGTTGGAGTTAACCTGTAACGATCCTGGCCCTGTGACATCTTGCGTTGTCATCCTGGAAGATGAAACGGCGGCCATGACGTCGTGCGAACGGCACAACATGGACTGCCAAGATGTTGTCCCGGTAGTACTGGCCTGTAACACGCCCTGCAACAACATGTAAAGCCGTTCTTCCAGCAACAGTGATGCCTCCCCACACCATAACAGAACCACCCCCAAATCGATCATGTCTGATGACGTTAACGTCTTGAAAGCGCTCGTTTCGACGACGCCACACCCTCCTACGTCTGTCCAAAAAATCAACAGTGAACCTTGACTCATCTGAAAACATCACATTGCTCCAGCGTCGATTATCCCAGTGTTGACGATCCCTACACCAACGACGTCTTGCCTGAATGTGATGATCTCTCAAACAAGGGATCACGCGAGGACGTCGGGCGCGAAGGTGACCCCTATGCAGTCGATTCCGAATCGTCTGGCCACTCACTCTCACACCAGTGTCTGTTTGAAGACGAGCGCTGATCTGATTTGCTGTGATGACACGATTTCTCAAGGCCAAGGTACGGATAAATCGATCCTGGGCTTGAGTTGTCGCCCTTGGTCGACCTGAGCGTGGTCTGTCCTGTACAGATTGTGTATCACGGTATCTGGACCATAGCCTGCTTATGACAGACTGAGAAACATTCATCGTCCCCGCCACAACCGCCTGTGTTGTGCCGATCTGTAGCATGCCAAGGGCACGTAACCTTTCATTTTGGGTAAGCCGACGCATATCAAAATTTGTTTTCTGGTCACTAAAACAATTAAACTGATGTTTCCACCCTGGAATTCAATGCCACAATGACTGTAACATTCAAAGTCAGAGTCGTGCAAATCTTGGGTTGGACCCCCATGATGATCCCAAGCATCACCTGCATTCCATGCGGTAGCTATTGGTGCGTTTGGGCGTCACATGTAACTGGAAATGTTTCTTCTGTTAGGTTCTATAGTGACTTTTTTCGTAGTCATTTGCATATTTTAGTATTATGCCCCCAAAATCAAATATCCCCTACTTTTTTTGAATAGTATATTATAACAATGGTAGCTATGAAAATTGAGACTACGCTATTCTTCAAACAGACCTCACTCAGAATATATTCCTTTTTCATTATCTATTAGCAATAGTTGTCAGCTCTTTATCCGAATCTTGCGTAATGTGGAAATTGAATCTCTAAAAGTATAATCAGTCCACAAATGGTTCAGTTCGCTCATTATTTAAAAAGATTTGATTGAATCTATGATTTTCTCTGAAATATTTTGATGGGTCTTCCTTTAATCTGATTGATTCCAAGATGGGAGATTATCTACGATTAATATTTTGATTTTGTTTTCTTAATGAAATGTTAAAGATGCATATTTAAGATACGAAGCAGGGCATTCTTGCTATAATAGTTCAAAAATAGATAATGGATATATTGTCAAATTATAATATATTCTGAGTGAAGATATGAGTGTTTGAAGATGTAGCATAGATTGTTTATTATCGTAGCAACGATACTTGACAATCGAGATTAAGTCTTGCTTATGCATGTTATCGTTAAATTCTTAAATCTCACAGGTGTTCTAATCCATTTAAATCTCAGTTGATTATAGGCTTGTCATGTGAATAAATGTCTAAATAAGAATTTATATAACATTGAAGCCAAATTAAAAAAAATCTAATAAAGAGATTTAGCTCTTAAATAATGCATATTTAATTAATCGATTTGAGTACATTTTAGCCCCAATTAACCCGTGGAAAATTATTCAAAAAGTACAAATGATGTACAGAGACTTTAAGATTTTATTTTACAAGTAATGACAGACATCAAGTACAGGTTGGTTTGTATGTATAATTAGGTGAGGGCATAAATTCCCACCAGAAACATACTAACAAATTTCCTTTTTAGCATGGCCTTACAAATCAGATTAACAATGAGTGTGAATAATTTATGAAAATAAATCAAGTTAGATTTAACAGGTTGTCAATCATTGATATTTATCAAATAAAACTTTAGTACTCTACTACGTAGTGAGGTATGTACAGTATCAAACTATATTCCAGGATGCACAATGTTAAATATTTGGTTTATGTCCTTGCGTATTGTTGAAATATATTAAAATCATTTAACCAGTAATAGATACATCATTTCTAAATGAGAAGGAGTGCAAAAAATGTATTATTGACGACTTAGATTCTAAGCAATTAGTGATCGTGACAGGCATTTGATTCTTCAGCGTTATTTGATTATGAAAACTCAACTAATTCCCAGCCCTAGTAACCATCATATTTCACATAATTGATTGTTCTAATATATAATGCAGTTGACTGCTCAAGAGAACAAACCAAACCACAAATTTAATTAGACATAAGTTATTACAATTCAAAGTTATCCAGGTCATTGTGTTTTCTATAGGGCTTGTGGTAATTCCTTGTGAGCTACTGGAATGGTTTTTCTACGGCCAATTCAGCTACATGTATTTCGATTATTTAAGTAGCCAAAAAAGGGAATATTTAATTAATAAATATTACTAATATTTCATTTTTAAGTCTGATATATAATTTTTTGTGTACCCCATGCTGACAAAGTGGTATAGACACGTGAATTCACAATACCCTACCATGAATAAAAACATGAAATATGAATTTACTTTGCAAAGTTATTTGTGCGTTGTCAAAAATGACCGGCAGTGAAAATTTTGAAGTGGAAGCCCTGGACATAACCTTTATATCGATTAATAATGGTGAACCATAAGAAACTAATATTTGTTGGTTTTGGCCTGCAGATGAAACTGTTTATAACAATAAATCTGTTTTTGAGACTTGATTTTTACAATAAAGACTTTAATATGAAGATATATGTATTACCAGGGTTATCAAGGTATGGTAGATGGTTCATCATACATACAAGAAGCTCAATGGTCCAGTGTATCTGGTATCATACAATTGGTGAGTAAAATGTTTACCTTAATAATCTTACTATACATCAAACACTTTGATGAATCTAATACTTTATGTTATAAATGAAATACAGGTTTAACTTCTTGCTTTTTAGCACAAACCTGGATAATGAAGATTGAAGATGGTATCTTACATTAAGTTCTAACACCTCAATAAAACTTATACCTTACCACTCTCCACACAAGTCTCGCTCTCTAGCATTCGACTCTGCCCACGGCTCACGCACTACACTGGTTGACCTAGAGGTCATTGGTCACGTGATTAACTACATGATGAAAATGACATCTGTCAGAAAAGTTCCTGGCGTTATAAACACTTAATAAGTTTTAGTCAAGTTTAGGAGAAAAGTCATTAATTATTACCCCTCCGAAAGAAAACAGTCTAATTTTGCATGTTTCGTGTGTAAATGTATTAGGCCTTACGATCGCATTAAAGGTAAACAGATCTGCATGTATTATATTCTAAAATTAGCACCGCGACATGTGCAGTTCGTATTTCCGATCACTTAACCCTGTAATCTTACGCGAAAGAGTTCCCTGTAATATTTGTAAATACATTGTTACTTTGTAATTGTGACCCCATTTTTATTTAAATATGGTAATAGTATTAAATATATTATCATTTATTTGTCCATCAACACCGTTAGCAGAGATAGTTTGGACTGCAAGGGAAGACAACTCTGTGAGATTGATACCTTACATCAAACATCCCAATTAAACTTATGCTTTACATCAAACACCCCAATAAAACTTATACCTTACATCAAAAACCCCAATAAAACTTGTACCTTACATCAAACATCCCAATAAAACTTGTACCTTACATCAAACACCCCAATAAAACTTATACCTTACAGCAAACACCCCACTAAAACTTATACCTTACATCAAACACCCCAATAAAACTTATACCTTACATCAAACACCCCAATAAAACTTATACCTTGCATCAAACACCCCAATAAAACTTATACCTTACATCAAACACCCCAATAAAACTTATACTTTACAGCAAAAACCCAGATCAAACACCCCAATAAAACTAATACTTTAAGCAAACACCCCACCGAATAAAACTTACACCTTACATAAAAATAGCTATGAGTCTGATCTACATGTACATAAAAACATTACATTATAATTATAGGGTGGTACAGTTATTGGAAGTGCTCGATGCAAAGATTTTCGTGAACGAGCAGGACGATTGAAAGCAGCACATAATTTAATCAGCCATAACATCACCAACCTGGTTGTTATCGGTGGTGATGGTAGTTTAACTGGTGCTAATTTATTCCGGCAAGAATGGGCAAGTTTACTTGAAGACCTTCAAACCAGCGGTAGGTTAATTCTAACATTTTACTAAATTCTGATGAACATGAAATCAACTGGGTTCACACTATAATGATGTTGTTGAAGGTCACTGACTTTACTATAAACTGGTTTGAACAATGTTGTTAAGAGCAACTGACGACTCCACTATAAATAATGTTGTTGGGGACCATTCTCTGGAATCAACTTCACTAGACTAGAATGATAATGTTGAGGGCCACTGACTCCTCACTGTTAAGCTGTTGAGTGGAATCGATGTGGCGATTTGGCTTAAATCGGTATTAAATTAGGTTGATCTGATGTTTTATTTTGGTTAGTAATTTGGAAAGTTTGGTTTGATAAAAAAAAGATTTTTGAAAGATTAAACAGGATTCAGCCTGTTTGCTAATTTTAGTTTCATATTTTCAATTTTTGGCATACTGTGTCAACTGTGGAACACAAAAACATTGACTTTACCTACAGATTGTCATCCAAAAACACAAATCAAAATATAAAATACAATGAAATCGAAAATTTTAATTTTGACAAAAATCAAACAGGTTAGCTATTTTAATGTAAACTGCACAATAGCAAGGTACTGATGTTTGTGTGATTACTTGATAAGACATAAAAATAATCTGATTCCTGTGGATACATTGGTAGGGTGCCCCACCATAAATAAATATCTTCATATAGCTCGACAATTACACCACAATATTTATATATATATATACCAAACCTTAAATCTGTTTGGCACATGTATAGTCACTAAATAAAGGCCCATGTTGTACTTAATAAACTATGACCATTTAACCATCCATAAATATTACACTGAAAAATGGTTCCGAGTGTCATCCATAACATCCGGGCATCATGTTCCTGTCTAACCCAAGAGTTTAAGAGATATTATTTGTACTAAACCAAAAGATGCCACTCCTAACGGTATAGTTAATGATAAAACAATTTAAAAAATAAAACGAACGTATTTTCTAAAGCTGCTGTAATAACCAAAAAGCTAAATATTACTGCTATTCTGAATCGTCAACAATAGATTTTTTACGGCTGTAATAGTTGATAGATGTATAGAGAATATTACGTGCGATGGCAGTTTATAGTCTCATAGAGAGTGCGTAACTAGCCAGAAATCACTTCGAGACAAGCCACTGAAGCGTGCACATTTACCGTGTCGAGTACCACTTTTAGTAGGAAAAATGTTCGGCACATGGGGCACCCTAACATTGGGAGTATACAAAATTGACCCATTCACAAGCTGAATTTTATTGCAAGAGTTGTTGGAAATGCTGTTGCCATGACTTATATTCACCCCTTTTTCGCATTCCAAATTACGGTTAGAATGATTAGCACGTGCGTGCTGTATCATAAAGCCTGTCATTGAGTCAACTGGCGTGGTTTCGAATCCCCGGTTGTACGTGACAAGGAGTGGGTTTTCTCTGGGTCCTCCGGTTTCCTCCCACTGCTAAAGACCCCTATGCGCAAGCGAATTATTGAAATAAAATTAAACCTTATGTTAGTCCTGAAATGACCTAGTTTGTGTCGAGTGGACTTTAAACCCCATTTCTCTCTCCCTCCAAATTACGGTTAACAATTACTAATGAACCAGTCAAAATTAGATGTTAAACTGGCCAGGTTGTGCAAGGATAAATTATTGTAGCATGACAAATTCTTAATAGCAAGATATGACTTTTGTACAGATATTTGAAGTCTCGAGGAGAATGATATCTCGTCTTCCCCTGAACATGTCTGAAAAATAGGGTATGAATGGTTTGATATTTGTTTACTTTATTAAAATCTTGACAATTTGCTGTTTGTAGACTTTAAATGTTAGTCCCAAAATGAGTTTTCTCTCCATCTTGCAGGAACCATCACGATGGAACAGAAAATTCAATGTCAACATTTGAATATAGCTGGATTGGTTGGATCTATAGACAATGATTTCTGCGGTACAGATATGACAATAGGAGTAGACTCAGCTTTACATCGTATTATAGAATCTGTTGACGCCATTACTACCACAGCTTCCAGGTAAGTATGGGGGAGGGGCGCTGCTGCAACAACTTCCACTACTGCTTCAAGGTTATGTTCAGCTTAATTACCTGCTGTAGGAATATATTTTGTTGCCTGGCAACTATTTTTTTTTTTTACAGCAATGCTACATTAGTCAGCCATCTTTGTTATGAAGCTTACATTAGTGCAGTAATGTAAGAAACTTTCTTAAAGGCCGAAGTCACCTGTCTAATAATACAACAAATAATCATTATTAGATGCATATTCGTCTGATCTATCATTAACTGTAATGTAATGTGGATTTTATTTTTAAACTGTGTCTGTTTGATGTACCATACCATGATTTCCTATCAGCCTCATTCTGTTGGACTCTCATGCCAAGGATTCTTTTGGACTTAAAGGCACACAATGTGCAGTTGATTAGGCACATTCTATTGAACTTGCCAAGCACAACAATGTCCTGTTAGATGCAGAGTTATAAAACCAAGTTTTTGAGAGAGCCAATCAACCTATGTATTCAAAGTAATCTCTGCTTGATATTTTTTTGGCAGGTTTGATGTCAAACTAACCTTTGATACCAAGTTTCATGAATGGGGTCGTGAATTGTTTACTTTATGGTATTTTTATTTTTCAGTCATCAAAGAGCTTTCGTATTAGAAGTCATGGGTAGACATTGTGGGTAAGTTCCAGCCAAGAAATATTCAGTCATGCTTTTAAACATATGCCTTTTATTTCAGGGGTCGTCACAGTGGCTAAGTGGGTAAGATGCTAGCATGCTAGCCTGGAGGTCGGGTGTTCGATCCCTTTTTTGGCTGAGAAAGTTCATCCAGATTTTCTGGCATGGTTCCTCCTTGTCAGTGATGCAGGATGGAGGGCCTGACAAGGACAGCTATCTAGTCGTTCTGATGGGACGAAAAACCGAGGTCCCGTGTACACATTGGTGTCCAGGTAAAAAGATCCCTTGACAGATGGAATTCGATATAAGAGTAGGCCATAGTGCCGCTGCCAGGGCAAAATTTCCCTCATAGCACACTGTATGGCATATGCCCGTCTTCAGTAGCCCAGTTCGGAGCAAACAGTAGGACGTTAAACCCCATTTCAATTCTGTTATTTCAGTCATATTTACCAATTTAATTTTAAATCTCATCATATACAGTTAAATGGAAAATGTTACAAATTGTCAGATCCTTTGAAAAAATTGTCAGTCTAATATGACATGTACAAAAATGACTCCCTGGCTAAATATGTGAGCCTTTCTAAATGCTGAAATGTGAACATGACACAGGGCTGATATTGTAAGATGGCATAGTTAATGTAGCATGACACATGGTTAGTTATAGTTACATGGCACAAGGTCATTTATTGTAACATGGTGCAAGGTCAGTTATTGTAACATGAATGGCACAAGGTCATTATAACTGTCTTTGTCTGCCCAAGGGTGCTCAGTCTGTAAAGGACTGGCTAACTAAACAGGATTCAATCCCAGTGTTGTTTGAGAAAAGTGACATGCCTGGCAAAGAGCAGCCTCTAGTTGTTTGGATAAGACAGAAATGAAATGGGGTTTAACGTCCTACTGTTCTGCTCCGACTGGGCTAACGAACACAGGTGGATAAGGCAGATGCCACAGTCTGGGCAAAATTTCCATCATAGCACACTGCATGGCGTATGCTCATATTTAATGAATTTCATCAATCTTTGTTGATGAAAGAATGGATAATTTGTTGAGATGATCAAGTTGTTTTATTATTTCAGGTATTTAGCGTTAGTTGCTGCCTTGGCAAGTGAAGCAGATTGGGTATTTATACCAGAATGGCCACCAGAGGCAGGATGGCAGGAAACACTGTGTAAAAAATTAGCTGTTGTAAGAATAGTTATATTTCTTTGCATGTCCTTACTAATCAGATCTTTCATATTTAGAAGACCTCACTAACTAGCTTTGTGACAGGTAAGGCTGTGTAAAATTGATACCTTGTTTCTTCTCCCTATACTTTGGGTAAACCTAAAAGGACAACACAAAGTGCCATTTTCAACACAAACTTTTGCAAGGCCTTTATATACTTTGAAATTGGTATGATTTCTCATTCATATGATGTACACAGGAGGTTTTTTTATGCAAACAGTTACAATTTATTAAAGACTTAATGAAGTAAAACAGATCTGAATTTATATCTTTTATGAATATGAGTGATATTTAGATCTTGCTTCGATTTTCCTACGCAATATTTATGACAACAATCGGCTGCTGTCAAATCCCTTTTAAACAGGTTTAGATGTACTATATCATTATTCACTATGTCATCATTCGACAATGTCACCAAAAGTAAAATGACTGTCCAGTCAAGAAATACTGCTGTGTTCCGACAGATTTTGAGCAAAACTATAAGTTCATACCCTCCGCCAGGCTCTGTCATGCTGATTGTTCATAAAATGGGATTCCCCTGGGAGTCGCTTTTTCATAGGTTAATTAATATCCAAAAAAATTACCCGTTTCATGTCACTTACATCCAGTAAAAATTATTCTTATACTTTATGATCTGTATTTTCATTAGATGATATTACCAAAAACAGACATCTCTAGCTAATGAAAGGCATAATTAAAATTATCTACCTACGGTATACCAAAGTCCTAACTATGTATAATCGTTGGCTATAGACCTGAATCTGCTTAATAAGAACTTGAAAACATACGGAGATCGCTTACTCAGTTAAAAATTTGAATTTTTTAAAAATATTTTTACTTTGTGTTGAGAAGCTGTCTATGGGATTTCTAAGCGTGTAGGCAAGAAGAAACAAGGTATCAATTTTACATGGCCTATACCTTTCACTCAGTGCTGGGATTTTGTCCTGCAACCCTATTCAGGTAAACATAGGGGCACCTTAGTGGCAAAATAAAGCATTAATGTGAATTTACTGACCTTTATATCACCCCCTGTAAAAAATTTGCAAAAAATTACCTTTACAACCTTGATAGAATGAGATATGTATGAGGTGTGATTGAAGTGTTGAAGCTTTTATAAAAGTTAGTTTCATCTGACCTTGCTGTTTCAAAAATTGACTCCCCCCGATTTTATTAGTGGATTAAAGCATAATTTCCTGCTATTTGGTTCAGTGAATGTTAATTTATGATATTGGAATTTTTTCTAAAAGGACTGATGTGGGGGACGACTAGTCACCATGTGCAGTGAGCACCCCTTAGATCCACCACTGCTCTCCCCAGACGAAATCTAATTCAATTTTGATGGAAAAAATAAACACTTAAATTCAACAATAAAACTTTAATTCTTGGCGCATATTTTACACCAAACTTCATTGACTAACGTTATATCATTCTGAATCTTTGTTTTGTATCCAATAGCATCTTTCGTCTCTCAGTTGTGAAATGTTGTAAGTTGGACAGTTTTTTATTACTGTTTAATACATTTTGAGCCTCATAATCCCAGTTTATCGGTTTACAAGGGGGCCACCATTTTAGATCAGGTATCGCGAGACAATGTGAGAACTTAAAAAACATAAGACAGTGGTTTTGATTAGTCAAGAAATAATTATGACACAACATTCAAACAATACCGTTAAATGACACATTGACGTTAAAGGAGATCCATCCCATAATAATTTACGAATAAACAAATGGAGAAAACGAAAGTAGCTGATAATATGCCATACTTGAACTTGAACCAATTTTTTGACGATATTTGTAGGCAAGTTTTTTTTTTTTTTAAAGTAATTTTATTTTTGGCCAGGTATTGAAATGCTCTCCAGCAGAGAGTACGGGTGTCATGGAGTGCAAGCGTCATGGCGCGGCTCAAACGGCAAGGCCTGTTTCATTCAATGCTTAAGATATTCATTATTGTTTTATTTCATTAAGATGTGTCTAATGTTTGATGTGTTATATTTTAGGAGAGAAGTTTAGGCCAACGTTTAAATATTATTTTAGTAGCTGAAGGAGCTATAGATAGAGAGGGTAATGCTATAACAGCGCAAATGGTCAAAGATGTAAGTTTCAAAACTTTTTTATATAATCTTAACATCCTGGGGTTGGCCAAAACATCAAGTTTTTTTCAGGGATGTCACTTGACTTGGCTGACAAGCGAAAAACTGAGTAGTCATACTGTCTAGACAAAGTTATCATTCTTAGGTTGCATGTGTGATGATATTAACCTTTATGTTAGTCAGAAGAATGTTGTTAAAACATGTAAGTGTCTTGTTGATTGTGTCAATATCCTGTCAATTTAATTTCAGTATCTATATTAACCCCTTCATTTCAAAGTATTTAAACACATTCATCCTTTTATCAAATACCAGTACATGGTAAAAACCTATATTATCAAGTTTTCATCAGTTTGTATATTTTGTAGATTTTAACTAAAGAATTAAAGATTGATACAAGAATTACTGTATTGGGTCATGTACAACGTGGTGGAAGTCCTTCAGCTTTTGATAGAGTTCTCGTAAGTTTTTAAGCTGTTCTATTCCTAGAGAATTCTGATAAATTACTACAATATGTTCAAACTTAGTGTAGATGAATGTCGTTGATGAACTTTTTCTGCTTATGATAAGCAGAGAAAAATAATTTGATTTGTTGATGCTTTGGGGCATGTTAACTTTGATTTTCATTGAGAATGGTGAAACTTGTACTAAGTTTGATAATGAGCATTTTCTGGTCAGGTTAAGGAGATTGATAAATAATTGGATTGCTGATACTTTACAAAAAGATTGATCTGTCATCTATTTATTTTGGGATTGAGGTGTGCCATATATCCCCAATGCAATTATTGCAATACGTTAAAAGGAAAGAAAACATTTTATTCAAGCAAAACAGGCAAATCCTATAATTACACTTGCAATTGCAAAAATGTTATCTACCTGCTCACTTGCAACCTATGACAAAAACAATACGTTGGTGAAACAAAAAGACTGTTTCGAATTAGACTGAAGAAACATTATGCTGATATTACCCACAAAAGAGACACCCCAGTTGCCTCCCACATCCACCTACCAAACCACACTAGTCAAAACCTTGACTACCAAATAATTAAACAATTGGGTACCAATCCTGACCTCCAGAAATCTACAACGAATAGACGCACCCTAGAACTTCATCGGATCATTAGATTGAAAACCTTTCAACCATGCAGTATCAATGACAAAATCTGAACTTGGGCACCCCCCCTCACTTTTCCTCTGTGCGATACATCAGCAACACTGGTGGCTTTTTATTCTGTGAAGAGATCTGGAAGGCAGCCCTTGATATAATATCAGTTGTTTGTTGTTTATTTTTTCTCTAGGGATCTAGAATGGGGGCAGAAGCAGTATTAGCTTTGATGGACGCCACACCAGATTCTCCAGCTGTAGTTGTCTCCCTTGCAGGAAATCAAACAGTTCGAGTTCCACTATTGCCCTGTGTAGAGAGGGTAAATATATTGTTTGGACAGCATTATTGCACAATGAAGTATAATGTAGTTTTCATTGTAAAGTTTGGGATCAGGAATCATTACTCTTAAAAACATTATTATACTATAGTGAAGTGTATAATTTATAACAATCTGGCTGTACTGTACAACATAGGTTTAGTCGTATACCCCAACATCATTGTTATAGCCTAAAGGCATAAACTTTCGTACACTTCTAGTGATAGTCTGGTTTCTTCAGCAAATTTGAAAATGGGTTGTATGAATGTATCTTTTTTCGTCAGATCATCATATAACCTAATAGGCTTATTGGTTTAGACTGGCAATTTATACCCTTTGATTTGAACTGTTGAGAAAATTTCATTTTCACTTACAAGCTGTTTGTACCCAGTTAAAACTAATTATAAACCACTTGACCTAATAAAAAAATGATTTTAATTATAATAATATTATTTTAGACCCAGTCTGTACAGAAAGCTATGAATGAGAAGAATTTTGAAGAAGCTGTGAGGCTACGAGGAAAGTAAGTAATATTAATAAAAATATTTTTTCAGAGCAGAATGTCACCGTCATTCAATTTGGGACTATCATATGGTACTTTCTATTTTTCTGGTTACCTGTGGAGGATGAGAAATTTGTCTGGAAAGCAGTGTCTCATCCTATTTTTGGCCAATTTCTAACTGTCAGGAATTGTTTTTGTACCATCTGTCGTCCGCGCACATTTTGCTTTGTCATATTGCAGATGCCAAACCAAACCAAATCCTGAAGTTTTTTCTCGACTCACACAATAAAGTTGATAATGCAGTCTTGTCTGCTGAATTATTGTTATGAAGATACATATTAAACCTCATTTCATGTTGTTTTGATTTGTAGGAGTTTCCAGAATAATTTATCAACCTACCGATTATTGAGTAAATTGCGTCCGCCATCATCTGCCTGTAACCCAGAGGGCACCGATTGTAAGGTGAGATAAATCTCAAAGTACTTTTCCCTTCTCATTCTAATTCAGACATTTCAACTAATCTGTTTTTTCCGTGAGACTTCCGTTTCATAAATCGACCTCATGATTGGCAGATTTAGACAGGAATCTTCTAATTCTGGTAATATGCCTGACAGACCAACCTGTGTTTGTGAGTTTTATTGTTTGGAGTAAATAAAGTATAATGGTAGCAAAGTACATGAGCATACCTGATAAAATAGAGACCTGTACAAGCTTCTTCCCGTTATTGTCATTTTTCCAAATGGCTAGCGGGGGGGGGGGTGGCGGCCAAATGTTTAGCACATGCGTGCTGTATCATAAGGTCTGTCATTGAGTCAACTGGCTAGTTTCGTTTCCCCGGTTGTACGTGACAAGGAGTAGGGTTGCCTGTCCAACCTCGTGGGTTTCCTTCCACTGCTTAAGACCCCTATGTGCAAGCGAATTATTGAAATAAAATTGAAGTTATCGAAATATAAGCGCAATTACCATTTACGTGGATTTCCATTCACACGATTACAGCCATAGACTGAAATTTGCTAATTTCGACTAAATGTAGCCTTCTTTTTATCTGATATAAATATTTTATATATTATCATTTAAATTATTATGATTTTTATAAGTTTTAGGTGGCTAATAGTCACAGATTTCAGTTTTAAAATTGGTACGAGCATGAACCTTATAATACGAGCGATTCTATACCGCTTATGACGTCACTCAGATATTATGACTGTAAAGGACTTATTTGGAGTGCCGTATTAAAGTTTTTGGGTAGCATTTTATGTATATTTTCACAAAAGCTTTCGAAAAAGATTTTCTGTCATAAAAAAAATATTGACCCGAAACCAAAAAAGAATTTGCATTTGTTGTTGTATGCAGCAAAAACGAGTGCACAGTGTATAAAGTTTAAAGAATGATGAAATCGCCCGGATTCTCCTGTTTTTTCATTGCTGGTCTCCTATTTTTTCACACTTGGGGGTTGACACGTCTGTTCTAATTTTCATTGACTGATATATTCCATAGAACCACATCAGGTAATTGATGGACCCAATGGAAACAGCACTAAATTTTCGTTAACAAAATGTTCCCTTGAAGTTAGTTAGCATATCTATTGAAATTTGAAAACTTATTGTAGGTTACTAAGTTAGCAGAAAGTAAAGTAAGAAATACATTCTTCAATTTGGTTTTTTGTCAGATGACTGTTTTGCCATTAGTATTTGAAGAAAAAATAGGCTATAGCATGTGCAGGTGAAGGCTGAACTCGTAAAGGCAGTATTTATGGATTTGAAATTAAGTTTTTAATTGATAGCTGGCAAGATCTATCGTTTTCATTAACAACATAGTTTTCGCTGTAGTTTCGATACAGTCTCTAAACAATGTAAACAGGTGGACAAAATGTTACTTAATTTTAATAGTTCATGTATATGATAAATTTTAGGGTCATTCCAATTGTATAGCTGAAGATGATGTAAGTTTTTTTATGGTGTAGGATTTCTATTAAGGTCATTAATAACAGACTTATAACGTCTGGTTATAAGCGACTATAAGTCTAGGAATAACTTACTATAATACTAAAGTCTGGTGATAAGGCACTATATACAATAGCCTGGTAATAGGAGACTTATTGATAATGATCTGTTAAAACCAAGCTTAATAGATTAGAACTATATTAACTTATACCTTCTTCCATCTTTAACTGATAACAAACATCACGCTTTCTATTCACATATTAATTCTTCTCACTTGATTATACCACAGTAATGACTGTACCTTTTGCACAGTGGTGAATTTTATCATCTAGATTTCGTCAACATTATGCTGTTTGTTAACTTTGTATTACTGACAGAAGACCAGCCTCTGTTGTCAGTCCTTAATAATTTCTGTTCCTCGTCCAATCTGTGGTAAAAATACAAAGTTTGATCAAATAAGTATATTATCATAAGATAACTAGTATTTCATAGTTTATCTATTATAATATTATATATTGTAGACTGGAGGCCAGTCTAAAACATCTATGTAATAGAGAACAGTCTAAAACATATATCTAAAGGCCAGTCTATAACATATACATTGATACAAAACTACAACAAAATCTGTAAGCTACATCATAATCGAAAATCCTAGAGGAAAGAAGATCTTTGATCTGGGCCAAAACTGTACATGGTGTAAACATTCTGCCAACGTAGATCTGAACTATTTAGTAAATATAAATTGAGTCAGTTTTGACAAACCAGAATAGTTTTACGGATAGCCCAGAAAAATGGCCATATCTTGTTTATTTCTCAACGGATAAATAAATGTAAAATATTGACTTTCAGTTCATAGAATTAATATATTTACCATTTCTCTCGTCCAGGTTTATACTCTAATAATAGATTGATTCCCATACTTTTGTTCTTTTTCAGTGCTTATCCAGTTTTTTCACAGTCTAATTATACATTTTACATATCTTGGTTTTCATTACTTAACTAGTTTTACAGTCCGGAGATATATTTCATAATCCTTGATTTTCATTTTACTGAATCAATATATTTACGGCTTCCCCCGTCCAATTGTACAGTCTAATAATAAGTTTTATCTTTCATGATTTTCTGTTCATTGAATTAATATATTTTATATTTTTTAATTTTTAATTTATTATTATTTTTTCTTTACACCTGCATCAGCGATCACTCTTGTTCACTCGTACGCCCATACATACACACTTTTCTTTATATTATTGTTTATCTATAGCTCAGGTTAATTGGTTTCCCATTAATAGTGTTAATACATTGATCTTTAAAAATAATTGGATTCCCCTCCTTTTAATCCCTGTAAGAGTTTCCGTTGTGTAGGTTTAGTTGTAAATGACCTCCTAATCAAAGGTGTTAAGCTTTAATTGTATTTGATTCTTATCTTTGTTGCATATTCTGTATATATTTGCCTACTATTCACATACCTGTATCATTTGCTTGATAAAGATGAGAGTATCCTTGTCGAAACTTCGATTAGTATGAAACTCAGTAATTGTGTATCCATAAAATTGTACCTTGTGTCATCTTTAAGCTCTTGGTAGAGAGAAACCATACATAAGTTTATGGTTGTCCATCTATTTTATGTGCAGTTATTGCCCCTGACATTGAAAACCTTTCATACTACCTATTACCTAATATCATCCATAAATTTTATTCATAGATATTGCACTTCATACTGAAAACTTGAAAGCACCCGTCAAACTGTTATTGCCCGGTAATTCTGTTTGCAAACATGTCTCAAAGATGATAATGAAGTGACCAGCCGATTAAACATAATGAAATTAACATCTGGATTGAATGTTTCATATTCCTGTTTTATACCCAACTACTGTGTATTTATATATTTAAATTATTTATTTAGACATCTCGCAATGTAGCTGTTATGAATATAGGAGCTCCGGCATGTGGTATGAATGCTGCTATACGTTCAGTGGTCAGGTTAACCTTGACTAAAGGTTATAAAATACTGGGTATCCAAGACAGCTTTGATGGTCTACTTAATGGCAAAGTGAGTTATAATTGTTTATTTTTTAGGCAATCTACAAGTTATTAAGTGGCATATTTTACAAGGTTTAACTTATTTATTATCTAGAACCACAGTGGATCAGTGAGTAAGGAGCTAGCTCACTAACAAGGTGGTCCTGGGTCGAACCCTATTTCCTCTGGATTTTTCAGCTTTGTATCCATTTGTGGTTCAAGATTGAGATCCTTGCAAGGAGCAGCAACTAGTTGTTCCGATGGGACAAAAAACCAAGCTCCTGTGTATACATGGGCTTTCATGTAAAAGAACCCTTGACAGTTGGAAATGCCGTTGTCTGGGCAAAATTCCCTCATAGCACACTGCATGCATATGCCCATCTTCATTAGCCTGGTTGGTGCAGAAAAGTAGTACATTAAATCCTGTTTCATTTCAACTTATTAACTTGTTTATTATTATGTGACATTTTTCAGGTAGGTCCTATGGGTTGGACAACTGTTCAAGGTTGGGCTGGTAAAGGTGGATCTTTACTAGGAACTAAAAAGTAAGTACTGCTAAAAAAATTTATATATCATTTCTATTGTCAGATGATGTCAATATTATTTCTATTGTCATATGGGGGGCCATGGTGGCTCAGTAGGGCTGCAACGATTCACAACTACCTCGATTCGGTTCGATTATCGATTTTAACCATTCGATTCGATTATTTTCGATTCGATTATCAGCTACAATAGCCAGTAATTTTTCCTGTATATAATTCATTAAAAACGATAAAAACACAAGACTAAAATTCTCTTGAACACTTTTATTGGTTTGACAGGTTTGTTGTGTTTTATGGGATATGTCAGTGTAGCATACTCTACAAGTTGCCACATCTTTAGAGTTTTTTTCTTACACCAAAATGATCCCAAACTTTAGATTTCAAATGACCAGGTGGTCGAGAAAGTACGTCGTCTGCCATAATTTTACCTTCCAGTCGTGTTTGCTTGACTACGGGTAATAATCGTTAAACACGAAAATATCCGAAGATAATGACCGGAATTATCAGCTAATGAGATCGTTTAGAATTTATATAACGATTACCGAAGCTATTGACCTAAATTAACATCCAATGAACATTCGGTACGTCACCAATTTTAAATAAATTAACTTTCGTCAACATACGGAAATTGTTTTAAAGGGAGATCACTCTGTTTTAGTTATGTTTTCGAGTGACATTCTTATCTTGTTAAATAACGTAAATTAAAAGTAACGTAAAAACTAAGTTTTTTATAATTTTAAGTGGACTTAATTGCTACAGGTCTTTCATTTTATTTCATATGGAAAGGTGTACGTTGTTTTTATTTGAAATTTAATTTGCAATTGAACCGAATCGAAATTTGAACGTTGTAGATCGTGGATCGAACCGAGGCGGCTAGTGTCGGTTATCGGTGCACCGAACTGAATCGTTGCAGCTCTATGGCTCAGTGAGTAAGACGTTGGCTTGCTAACCTGGATGTCCTGTGTTCGATCCCAGCATTGGCCGAGAAAGTTCATCAGGATTTTCCAGCGTGGTTCCCCCTTGTCAATGGTGCAGGACAGAGGGCCTGGCAAGAGACAACATATAGTCATTTGAATGGTACGAAAAGTCGTGGTCCTATGTACACATCGGGGCGCACGTAAAAGATCCCTTGGCAGTTGAAATTCGATGTAGCACCACTGTCCTGGCAAAATTTCCCTCATAGCACACTGTATGGCGTATGCCCATCTTCATTAGCCCAGTCGGAACGGAAATGTATGACGTTAAACCCCATTTCATTTCTATTGTCATAAGATGTTAATATCATTTCTATTGTCATAAGATGTTAATATCATTTCTATTGTCATAAGATGTTAATATCATTTCTATTGTCATAAGATGTTAATATCATTTCTATTGTCATAAGATGTATCATTTCTATTGTCATCTGATGTTATCGTTTCTATTGCCATCTGATGTCAGTATCATATATAATTAGTGACATGTGATGTCATCATTTCTATTGTCATATGATGTCATTGTCATTTCTATTTTCTGATTACATCATCATCATTTCTATTAGATGATGTTGTCATTATTGCCCAATTTGGAACAGAATTACCGTCATCTTAATTGTCTCAGTGAATGGTAAAGACATTCTCAAGGATATAAGGAAAAACAGTAGGGAAGTAAACAATCAGACAAGTTTATGTAATATCAATGGTGTAATGTCTCTAACAAATTTGAATCACTTATGGCTCTTGAATTAAGGGAAGTATATATGTCATGATTTGAAAAGATGTTGCAAAACTCAAAGGTTGTGAGCAACCTGAAGCTGGACATTACTGATGTATTGTCTAGCAGTTGTACAATCATAGCGAATATGTCTGTATGTACAATTTGAAATCATGTGATAATGATGACATACAAGACTAGAAGACTGGACGATTAAATTAATTCATTGTAGACCTAATCACGTAGTACCACGATAAATTGAATGTCACTCTCACAAGACATTTTCTCTCGCATATTAATGTTTTGATGAATTATTAACATTATCTCTGTGACTCGAATATGATTAACCCAGTAACAACCATTTCTCTTCCTATGATATCTATATTATATATAGTTGATGTTTTTTTTTTATTTATTTACAGACAAGATGCGGAGGGAGCAGGTTTGGGAAGAATAGCATCTAAATTACAGGAATATAAGATAGAAGGTCTGGTTATTATTGGTGGCTTTGAGGTGGGTAACATCTTTATTAACAGAGCCGTCCATTATGTTTTCATCAGATATCAGAGTGATTTCCTGTTATTAACTGACATAATTTTTATAAATAAACTGGTCATAAAAAGTTTGTTAGGACATTGTTTGAAATTGTGAAAATACTGTTCATTTGTTTTAAACTAAAGTTGTATTTTAATATATTGAACAATGGTAATTGTATATTTTAATATATTGAAAAATAGTAATTATATATTTGTCAGTGACCTCACTTGGTCGATTAGAAACTGTTATTTCTCAATGATAGAATGGAATGATTTGTATGTCTCAAAATGAGACAAGTTAGATTTCTTGGCAAGCTAGATTTCAGATATCCTAGTTGTGCTCGAATTTTCTTCATCAGCATTTTTAAAAATATATTTCATCTGTATGTTTATATATTTCATTTGTATGTTTACATATTTCATTTGAATGTTTATATATTTCATCAGTATGTTTATATTATATTTCAGGCATATCACAGTTGTTTACAGATAACGGAAGCTAGATCTACTTACCCTGCATTCTGTATTCCAATCACCGTAATACCTTGTACTATTAGTAATAATCTACCAGGATCAGATTTCTCTCTTGGTGCCGATACAGCACTTAATGAAATTACAGATGTAAGTTCTTTCTTCTCCATTATCATATAATTAAACTTTACATATTGATAACCTTTCAAAAATACACAAAAAGAAGAATTATTAAAAAACATTTTAATATCTATTATTAAAATAACACATGTTAACTATTGTGTCAACATTAACTCGCATGGTCAAACACTTGGCACTGTCAGATAGTCTAGCATATTGATGGAGCACCTCAGTAAACAAAAACATTTTTCTTAGTTACTACTGATCTTATTTATTTTATTTAAAGATACATTAGGTAAGATTGAGATAAAGAGCTGACCATTCTTGCTATAATAGCTCAAAGATAGATAATGTAAAATGAAAATATTGAAAATTTCATTCAAATATTCAAATTACTTAATTCTGAGCCAAGTTATCACTGTTTGCAGTTTTGACAAGATGTGTGCATAGTTGTGACCAGGGAAATGGTATATTCGAGACTTTCCCATTTTTAAATCAAAATTTTAAATGGCAAACCGTTCTAATCTAGTTGAAATCTTGAGTATCTGATGCCATCGTGAGTTGATTATGGTCTTGTTTTGTTAATAAATGTCGAATTAATAGTTTATATAATATTTTAGGCCTAAAGAAAGATCTGCTATAGGCAGATTTAGCGCGAGCATAATGTATTTTTAAATTTTAAAATTCATTGTATGACAATATAACATTACCAGGTACTTTAGTAAAAGCAGTGAATGAATATGGTACTCATTCTAGAACATCTGATAACATCTTGTTTGTAATTTTATATTTGTACCATTGTGAAATACCCCAGAACATGTATATGTGAAAGGTGGGGGCTATAACAAATTTTTGTAATAATACAGATCTGGACAGAACCATCTCGACTTTGCCAGATATACAAACAGAATCATACAGGACAAAAATGAAGGGATAATCTAGAACAATGACAGCCACTGATATTTACATCTCTGCTACATACATGTACTGCTTCAAATAAAAAAAGCCATATTGATGTATGTTTTGCTTCAGATCTGTGATCGTATAAAACAGTCAGCTACAGGAACAAAACGTCGAGTATTTATTGTTGAAACTATGGGTGGTTACTGTGGTTACCTAGCATCTCTAGCAGCGCTTGCAGGAGGAGCAGATGCTGCCTATATATATGAAGAGAAACACAGTATCTTAGATTTGAAGGTAAACAGTCTTTATATCTAATAAACTTAAATTTGTCTTCTAACAAATGACCTTTTTTTGCTTGGTTATACAGGGGGTGCTTAATTATTTTTTCTTTGTAGTATTTGTTTAGATTTGAATGTTGGAACCAAATCTCTAACAGCCATGTTGTAAATGTTATCATGTTTTGTTTGTTTATTTTCCAGGATGATGTTTATCACATGAAAGGAAAAATAATCAATGCTGGTGTTCAACGTGGTTTAATATTACGGTTTGTTTCTTTTCCTTATTATTCCATTGGGCTTTTGTCATACCACTTTTAACATATTTCAACCAAATTTGGTAGGTAGGTTCCTTTGTTCTAATCAATTAGATACAGCTTGATAGACTAAATTTATACTTGTTCAAACTGGATAGAATTCAACCAAATTTGGTAGGTATGTTCCATGGGTTGGTGTTTAGTAATATTTGTTCAAAAAAGAATGATCTAGTCAGAATCCAGATACCAGGGTGTGTGGGGGCATCTTAAATGGTCAAATTTATGTATTTTCACACACATCCAACCTCTTCTCCTAAATGTGTGTAAAGATGTTGATGTTGTACCTGAATTTTAATTACAGGAATGAATGTGCAAATGAGAATTACACATCAGATTTTATTTATCGCTTGTATTCTGAGGAGGGGAAGGGGACATTCAGTTGTCGACTGAATGTGCTTGGTCATATGCAACAAGGTGGAGTTCCCTCCCCTTACGATAGAAACTACGGAACCAAGATGGCTGCTAAAGCTGTTAACTGGGTGATTGAACAGATAGAAGAAAACACAGTAAATGGTAAATTCAAAACATTTTTAAAATTTTAATACAGTACATACACTAGCATGTCTCTGCATATTGTGTGTCTTGTCCATGGGTTTGTCTTGTGGGGTTTGTTTATGTGTGTTGCAGTCCTCCAGCTCTTAGTATTAGGGCAACAGTATGATAATGCATAGTTTTAGCCTTGTATTGATATATACCAGTGAATCAAGCCAGCCCTACTAAAATCTATTGTCTTCAAATGAAGGATTCAAGGTGATTATGTCTGTATATTAACTGGGGATCCCATTCTATGATGTTGGTCATTAACTTTAGACCTTGCATGGGGCTTGGGTGGCTGATTGATTGAATCTCTAAAGCGGCAGACACACTAGGGCAAATCTCCCAGAATCAATCAATGCAAAATTGCAGCCGAATTCATTTGGCCGATTGAGTGAACACACTCGGAGCATCAAGAAAAAGAAAAAAAAAAAACAGCTGCAGCAGATGGATTTTTTATACGACATTCTACAGATCCCAATTTTTATTAGATTTTGACGCAACTTGAAATATAGGTCTATCTCCCAAAGATCTTGGTTCCTTTCGCTATTCGCATGTATCGACCATAACTTCATGGATTATGGCCACTGAAAAATCACACTTTTAGCTTGTGGACACTCTAGAAGTCACAATTTTCATCTGATTTTGATGTAACTTGAAATGCATGTTTATAATCATCAAAATCAGATCAAAATTGTGACCTCTAGAGGGTCCACAACTTTGATATACCAGATGTTTACACTAATTGTGTACTAGGGGCAGTTATTTTGTCTTGAGATTTGGTCCGATTTTCACGAAATTCGAACTCAACCAAAACTAGATCTGCATAGCAGATTTCAAAGCTTTCATATAAACTTCAAAAGGGGTTATTAGAATCTATGAATCAACAACCACTCTGACGGAAGATATTCTCTGGGCTAAAAAATCTTTTTTCTCTCAGCTACGAGAGATACGTAGAATTAAACCGGCCCAGAGCCGACCGTGTTGATACGAAGCCGCTTATTTGACATTGACACATAACTGAAGGTGAATAGGCCTACCCGTCCAGTTAATACAATGGGCAATCTCACATCGGTCCACTAAAGAGAGGCACATGCTAGTCGCCCCCTACTTCCCCAAGGCATTTAGTCCAAACCTTGACTCTCATACATATAAACCATTTGGTACTACATGTACATGTATTTCGTACTTATATCATATTAAACCCCTCGGCCGCCATGTTGAATCACACAGTATTTAACGTTCTATATCCTAACATCTTTATGAAATCAACGACAAATCTAAACTTGGGCACTCCAACCATTTTTATTTTTACATCATTCAGTTTTTTTTAAATAAGTAATTCTATCACAAATTATAGTGAAGACTGGACCACTAAACTAGTTACCCATCAGTTTTTCTTTGTGTTAATGCGTTCTACATTTTCAAAGCAATGATTCTTATAATGTGCGAGCCGCCATGACACCGGCGGATATTATAACTTCGATAGGCGAGAAACTTCAGGTAGCAGTTGGGTTTCATCAAATCATATAATTATGCAGTACGGCTTCACCTTTATTTCAATGGGAATTGGTTTATTATATGTGCAGTGCAGTTTTAGGTCAGTTTATGTGTAAATTAAGGGAGCTATACATAGGCCAGTAACCTTTTTGTAGTCATTTGACTAAAAAAAACTTGCGGAAAGGAACTCCGTAGGACAAGCCACTACTGTGGCAGGAGTAAGGCGGAAGACATCAGTAGTGGAACCATTTCTAAGTTAATCCCGAAGTGCGTTGCTATTGTAAGAATATATAAAATCGGGTTTCCGTTCCGCTTTTTTTTTGCTGTAGTTTGAGTAATGAGTTAGAGCGTATATTTTGTAGTCAAAAAATCATTGCAAATAGAAGACCTCATCCCCACCACCACCAACCTGTAATACACTAGCTAGCTTGTGTATTTCCATATTCCATTTCCGAGAGATAGATAGAGAACACGCGAAATATAAAGTGATTTTTCTTACAATCAGGGACCATAATTCATGAAGTTACGATTCGATATGCGCAAATATCGAAAGGAACCATATCTTTGGGTTATAAACATGCATGTCAAGTTTCATCAAAATCTTTCACTGTGAAAAACCGGGGCTAAGTCATCTGAAATCAAACAAATTTTACAATGTAGGTAGTGAAAACAAAATGTTATGTTAAGCGTTGTTCGAGGGTGGGGTGGGTGCATAAAATTCCAAATGCAAAGGGTTATTTTTCGTGCACGCCAATATGCACACAGGATTTCGATTTTTCGTCCTACCTAAAAAAACTGCACGCAAAGTTAGTTGTCGGGCCTTCGGTCAAGAACCACAGACAAAGGGAGAGAACGGGGACCTCTGTTTTGCATACCATCCAAGCGACTAGGCACTAATCCTTGTACCATGGACGAGGGGACGGGCGTTTTTCGTCCCATCGAAACGACTAGACACAGATCCTTGCTAGGCCTTCCATACTTCACCACTGCCAACGGGGAACCACTTTGACCTCGGGTTTTCGTACCATCCAAACGACTAGACACTAATCCTTGCAAGGCCTTCCGTTCTGCAGCAAATGAGCCACGCTAGCCTCGTTTTGTCGTAACATACAAACGACTAGACAATGTTTCATAATTTAGTCATATTCGCATGGGTGGGTTGGCAGCAGAATTGATATGTACATGATAGTGACACGAGGAGGGGGGGGGGGAGCGGGGTGTACACAAATCAGAGCTTTGTAATACACGCATATACTTGATATACTAAATACACAAATGGCTGAATTTCGAGACATTTCTGGCACTCTTTTATCACATAATGAGAACACTGCATTAATTTCTATATATCAATAAAATATGCCTCAGACCCATTGTTTATTTTTAAATTTGAATTAGACTCGTAACAAAATATATTTTCTGGCAACAAATAGCATATAAATAAAACTAGATTTACTTTCTGATTATTTTTTTTAAATGAAATCATTCCAGGGCTTTTATTGACATTTCAGAAAATGTAGAGTTGGTCCCATGCACTTGAGGCCAAGGTCCTTGAAGTTGTACAGCTGCACCCGGTGACCGATATTTATTTAACGGGGAATAAGTGATAATTCATATTATAACAGTAAATAATTAAAATATCCCATAGGGATTATAATAATATGTATATCATGTAGGTGTGCATGTAGGTTAAAATTGTGAACTCTGTAAATAGGCCCGTTCCTTGCATTTAGTTTTAGAGTTAGGAGTGCTAAAATTGAGAGAGCGAAATGGGGTTGATCGACCACTCGACACAAACTAGGTCATTTCGGGACTAACGTATGGTTCAATTTTATTTCAATAATTCGCTTGCGCGTAGGGGTCTAGCAGTGGGGGGGAAACCAGGTGATCCTGAAAAAATACACAGGTTGGACGGGCGACCTACTCCTTGTCACGTACGGAAAGATACCCCAGCAGTCAAAATAGGTCAAAATAGGCGATTTCGGTTTCTAGTGTCGATGCATCGTTACGGTCAGTTTAAAAAATTGTCTTTTAAGGATAATGTGTATAGTACCAATACCTATCACATACGGAAGAGGCGATAAAATCTCTTTGCATTTCCAATTTCAAAATTAATTAAAACCAATATTAAATTCCGAAAATCGTTTTTTTTTGCTAAAACTCTTTTCTTTTTAATGTGATCAAAATGGGGGTAAAGCACAGAGTCAGGGGTGGTAATGGGCGTATTGTGTCCTAATTTCATGGTTTGCGGACAATCGGTGCCGGTGTCACGGCGAAATTCCACTTTTTTCCCCTCATGGAAGCCGTAAATTGACGCAAGGAGTAGGGTCGCCTGTCCAACCTTGTGGGTTTTCTCCGGGTCCTCCCACTGCTAAAGACTCCTACGCGCAAGCGAATTATTGAAATAAAATTAAACCATATGTTGGTCCCGAAATGACCTAGTTTGTGTCGACTGGACGTTAAACCCCATTTCTCTCTCTCTCTCTCTCTCCGTAAATTGACTTGAGGCCAGTGTTCTTTAAGTTGTACAGCGGCACCAGGTGACCGATATTTATTTAACGGGGAATAAGTGATAATTCATATTATAGCAGTAAATAATTAAAATATTTCATAGGGATTATAATAATATATCATGTCTGGGTATTACAGGGTTAAAACCAATATTAAATTCCGAAAATCGTTTTTTTGCTAAAACTCTTTTTTTTTAATGGGATCAAAATGGGGGTAAAGCACAGAGTCCGGGGTGGTAATGGGCGTATTGTGTCCAAATTTCATGGTTTTCGGACAATCGGTGCCGGTGTCACGGCGAAATTCCACTTTTTTCCCCTCATGGAAGCCGTAAATTGACTTAGAAAAAAAAAACGACGAAAGGCAGGTGACAAGAACAAACGACTTGAACAAATGCAGGTATCACCTTGAAATTTTCAGGGTGCCTAGGTACCAACGTGAAAAGTTGCTCGCCGGAATTTAGTACTCATGGTACCGTTGGTTCCTGTGTAGCGCATGCGCGAAATCAAAACCAGCTAAACTCGAAAACAACCTTGTCGGCACGGAAAACATCAAAGGAGAAATTCGAATTTTTGAAATATTCAAATACCAAACATTCGACCATGATCCAGGCTATCCTAAAATGTATTAATTTCGGTAATAGGAGACAGATTCTCTAAGCCACGACCAATTGTGTATGTTTTCAAGCCCATAAATGTGGATTTTTCACTAATTTTCATTTTCATTTCAAAATGGCGTCCATCAGTTGACCTAAATCAAAATTCTAAACCGATAGATTTTTAGGCTTTCCTTCAAGCATTCAGAAAATGTAACTCTTATGTCTTTAAGTAAAATATTGCAAAAGCCGTATGGACTTTTCACATTTTGAGATGGTGGCACTTCCGGTTTGCTCGACAAACTCCATATTTTGTGTACTCATCAGTACTGTCTTAGCTAGTACAGAAAAAAAATTTCAAGGCAATTTGACCTATATTTCGTCGATTTTTTTGAAAACTTTGATCCTTAATTTCACCAAGGGGAGATAATTTAGAAAATTTCCGAAGACATCATTGAAGTCGCATTGGCAAGATCTACTAACATTCTAAATTTCACGAAAATCGCACAACTATTAAAGAAGTTGTCAAATTGGTAATAACTTCCGGTTCGAAATGACAGCGACGAATTTTCGAAATGCCAAAATCCGAAATTGCAGATTTGAAGTAAATGTTTCAAGATACTCAAAGAAAAAAGAATTAGTAAAATAGGTCAAATAGTCACAGAGTTACAGCATTGTAGGTCAAATGCATTCCTTCGTAAAATTCGGTGATTTCGGATTCGTAAAACGTTTTGAAAATATATTTAATCAACAGCCACCACCCATTTTTGGGGGGATAGGTAAAAGTTTCAGAACGATCCTATGGTTAGATTCTGAGAAATCCGATTTGTGGACAAAACACAAAAAAAAAATAACAATAATAATCTTAACAGAAACAATAAGCTTTCATATGTAATATGAAAGCTTAATTACGGTGTAACAGTGACGTATTTAAAGGATTTTTTAAATCGGATAATAATTATGACATCTGATATGATATCTGATTGTAACTTCCTGATTGTACGAAAAATCGTGATTTTAGCTTGTGGTCCCTCTAGAGGTTACAATTATTATCCGATTTAAAAAAAACGTTTGAACATATTACCATTCCACCGCAATGTCGGTTGAGTCCGAATTTCGTGAAAATCAGACCAAAACTGACAGACGAAATGGCCGCCCATCGTACTTAAATTGAGTAAAAATATGATATATCAATGTTGTGGACCCTCTAGAGGTCACAATTTTCTTCTGATTTTGATGCAACTTGAAATGTAAGTTTATAACCCAAAGATCTTGGTTCTTTTCGATATTCACACATATCGGATCATAACTTCCTGAATTATGGCCCCTGATTGTACAAAAAATCGCGTTTTTAGCTTGAGGTGCCTCTAAAGGTCACAATTATTATCCGATTTATAAAAACGTTCAAATATATCACCGTTGCACCTTAATTTTGGCTGAGTTTGAATTTCGTGAAAATGGCAGCCCCTTGTGCGCAAATAGTGTATAACACTGGTATATCAAAGTTGTGGACCCTCTAGAGGTCACAATTTTGATCCGATTTTGATGAAACTTGAAATACATGTTTATAACCCAAAGATATTGGTTCCTTTCGATATTAGCGCGTATTGTATCATAACTTCCTGAATTATTCCCTCTGATTGTACGAGAAATCACGTTTTTAGCTTGTGATCCCTCTAGAGGTCACAATTATTACCTGATTTTAAAAAACGTTCGAATATATCACCGTTACACCGTAATTTTGATTGGGTTCGGATTTTAAAAACCGTTTAAATACATCACTTTTCCACCACAATGAATGTTGAATACCGTCCGTCCGTCGGTCCTGCTGTAGAGGCTAAAGTTAATATCCGATTTACTTAAAATTTGTACACAATTACTGCCAGAGTTATGGCCCTTGATAATTACTGCTTGATCACTTTGAAAAATCTTGTGTACGCTCTAGAGGCTAAAGTTAATATTCGATTGACTTTAAATTTATGCACAGTGTTTAAGGGCATGAGACGAAGAAGCCTATTGATTTTCAGCGATTTCAGATAATTACTGCTAGAGTTATGGCCCTTGATCACTTCAAAAAATCTTGTGGACACTCTAGAGGCTAAAGTTAATATCCAATTGACTTTCAATTTATGCACAGTGTTTAAGGGCATGAGATGAAGAAGCCTATTAATTTTCAGCGATTTCAGATAATTACTGCCAGAGTTATGGCCCTTGATCACTTCAAAAAATCTTGTGTACGCTCTAGAGGCTAAAGTTAATATCCGATTGACTTTAAATTTATATACAGTGTTTAAGGTCATGTGTTCGCATGGGGCAGAATGGATAATTATAAAAAACCAAACAAATTCTAATGATTTTCTGAGAAGTCCTTAATGAGTTATTGCTCTTAATCAGATTTTAGTGTATTATAAATGTTTCATTACTGAAAAAGTAAAAATATGTGACAACTCTTGTTGACTGCCCGGACGATTTAGCTGCTGTGGGCGTATGTTTCGTTGTCTGGCAACCTATCTTTTATTTTAGGTTATGTATATACCAACAAGCCAACATCAGCAACATTACTAGGAATGACGAAAAGGCTTTTAACATTTTCTCCAGTACAAGAACTCTCTGCAGTTACAAATTTTGAGTAAGTAAAAGAGTTTTAGCTCCCCACACCTATAGTTAATGGTTTACTCCACTTCTAACAAGTTCTTAGCTAGGTTTCAGTGATTTGTTAGCTAGGTTACACCACTTCTAATTAATTGTTAGCTAGGTTTCAGTGATTTGTTAGCTAGGTTACACCACTTCTAATTAATTGTTCGCTAAGTTTCAGTAATGGTTAGCTAGCTTAATTAGATGTTGAGTAAATGGTGAGCTAGTTTAACTCCACTTCTTGTAAATGGTTAGCTAGGTTAAATATACATCTAGTAAATAGTTAGGTTGGCTAATTCGACATCTGATAAATGGTTAGCTAGGTTAACTCCACTTCTAGTAAATTGTTAGCTAGGTTTCAGTAATTGGTAAGCTAGGTTAACTCCACTTCTAGTAAATTGTTAGGCAGGTTTCAGTAATCGGTTATTTAGATGTCTAGTAAATTTTGAGCTGGGTTAATAAGCCATCTAGTAAATGGTTAGCTAGGGTTAACTCAACTTCTTGTAAATGGTTAGCTAGGTTAATTAGATTTCTAGTAAATGGTTAGCTTGGATAATTTGACATCTAATAAATGGTTAGGTTAACTCCACATAGTTAGCTAGGTTAACTCTACTTTTCGTAAATTGTTAGCTAGGTTAAATCCACTTTTAGTAAATGGTTTACCTAGGTAATTTCACTTTTAGTAAATGGTTAACTAAGTTAAGTCCCCATCTAGTATATGGTCAGCTAGGTAAAATTCCACTTTCAGTAAATGTTTATTGGTAGTTAAATTTACTTCTCTTATAAACGAGGTAAGTGTGTCAGGGCACTTATGAACATGACAATTTTTATACGCCCACATTGATATGTCGTCGTATATTGTCGTCGCACTCTTCCGTCCGGCGGTCCGGCGTCCACAATTGCTTGTGGACGCTCTACAGGCTAAAGTTATTATCCAATTGACTTTAAATTTATACTCAGTGTTAAAGGTCATGAGACGAAGAAGCCTATAGATTTTCAGTGATTTTCGATAATTACTGCCAGAGTTATGGCCCTTGATCACTTCAATAAATCTTGTGGACGCTCTAGAGGTCAAAGTTAATATCTAATTGACTTTAAATTTATACACAGTGTTTAAGGTCATGAGACGAAGAAGCCTATTGATTTTCAGCAATTTTCGATAATTACTGCCAGAGTTATGGCCCTTGATCACTTCGAAAAAATCTTGTGGACGCTCTAGAGGTCAAAGTTAATATCCGATTGACATTAAATTTATACACAGTGTTTAAGGTCATGAGACGATGAATGCTATTAATTTCAACGATTTTCGATAATTACTGCCAGAGTTATGGTCCTTGATCACTTCAATAAATCTTGTGGACGCTCTAGAAGTCAAAGTTAATATCCGATTGACTTTAAATTTATACACAGTGTTTAAGGTCATGAGACGAAGAAGCCTATTGAATTTCAGCGATTTCCGATAATTACTGCCAGAGTTATGGCCCTTGATCACTTTGAAAAATCTTGTGGCTGCTCTAGAGGCTAAAGTTAATATCCAATTAACTTTAAATTTATACACAGTGTTTAAGGTCATGAGACGAGGAAGCCTATTAATTTTCAGCGATTTCCGATAACTACTGCCAGAGTTATGGTCCTTGATCACTTTGAAAAATCATGTGGACGCTCTAGAGGCTAAAGTTAATATCTGATTGACTTTAAATTGATACACAGTGTTTAAGGTCATGAGACGAAGAATCCTATGGATTTTCAGCGATTTTCGATAATTTTTGCTAGAGTTATGGCCCTTGATCACTTTGAAAAAATTTTGTGGACGCTCTAGAGGCTATAGTTAATATCTGATTGACTTTAAATTTATACACAGTGTTTAAGGTCGTGAGATGAAGACGCCTATTGATTTTCAGCGATTTCCGATAATTACTGCCAAAGTTATGGCCCTTGATCACTTCGAAAAAATCTTGTGGACGCTCTAGAGGTCAAAGTTAATATCCGATTGACATTAAATTTATACACAGTGTTTAAGGTCATGAGACGATGAATGCTATTAATTTCAACGATTTTCGATAATTACTGCCAGAGTTATGGTCCTTGATCACTTCAATAAATCTTGTGGACGCTCTAGAAGTCAAAGTTAATATCCGATTGACTTTAAATTTATACACAGTGTTTAAGGTCATGAGACGAAGAAGCCTATAGTTAATATCCGATTGACTTTAAATTTATACACAGTGTTTGAGGCCATGAGATGAAGAATCATATTGATTTTCAACGATTTCGGATAATTACTGCCAAAGTTATGGCCCTTGATCACTTTGAAAAATCTTGTGACGCTCTAGGTGCTAAAGTTATCATCCGATTGACTTCAGATTGATACACAGAGTTTAAGGTCTTGAGACGAACAAGTATATTGATTTTCAATGAATCTTTATGACTTGAACAGCTAAATCCACGATGTTAAAAGTTTCGTGTACTAAACGTTAGCATGGGCCCAAACTTTATAAAAACCAAACAAATTCTAATTGTTTTCTAATAATTACTTATTGAGTTGTTACTCTTAATCAGATTTTAATGTATTATAAATGTTTCATTACCGAAAAAAGTAAAAATATGCGACAACTCTTGTTGACTGCCCGAACGATATAGCTGCTGTGGGCGTATGTTTCGTTGCCTGGCAACCTATCTTGATAACATGAACAGCTAAATCCATGATATTGAATGTTTCGTATACTAAACGTTAGCATGGAGGAGAACTTTATCAAAGCCAAACAAATTCTAATGATTTTCTGATAATTACTTAATGAGTTGTTACTCTTAATCAGATTTTAGTGTATTATAAATATTTCATTACCGAAAAAAGTAAAAATATGCAACAACTCTTGTTGACTGCCCGGACGATTTAGCTGCTGTGGGTGTATGTTTCGTTGCCTGGCAACCTATCTTTGTTGATGTTAAAAATTTCCAACTCGGGTTAAATTAAACAAAATTGGTGTTGTTTTTTTTGTTTTTTCAGTAAAAGAATTCCTGAAGATGAATGGTGGTTGAAGTTACGTCCGTTATTACGTATTTTAGCTCGTCATGTTGATGCAGATTATGAAAGAGAAGGTGTGGAAGCAACAGTTGATGAGGTGGAAAGCACCATTACTATGTGATCTGTGTGTTTTTCTAATAACTTCTAAACTCGATCATGTTACCTATTAATTGTCAAGACTGAATAGGTCATTTGACTTCTGATAGGTTATGTGACTCTGAGTCGAGTCATCTGTTATATGGGTCAGCTCACTGCTCATATGCTTTTGATATGCCGTACAGCATTTGATTGGCTCATGCTACATGTATCTCATTCTCATCCTGTGGCCCCTGATTCTGGTTTTATGACTTAATGGACAACCAGCTGATCTACCCGTTGTGTAACTCAATTGGTCATTTGAATTTCAATCCATCCTCAGAAAAGGGATATTTAGCTTTGGTTATGACCAAGCCCCCACATTTGTCATCATTATTGTGATGTGGTTTTGAATTGACTAATATTATTAGATGCTATGTGATCATTTATTGATCATGTGACTATTATTATTATTATGTGACTTTTTCCGTGTTAGTGAAATATCTTTTTGTGTAAGTCTCCACAACATCAAAAAAAAAGGCTGTTAACCTTGCCTGCTGTATGTATGTATGTATAGACTTTAAAGGTTTTATGACTTTAAAACAAGGCTGTATACCAAAAACTGTATGTCAGCCATACAGTTTGTTATTGGAAATACCTAAGATTTTTGTTGTTTTATTTTTATCTTGATTTGTTAAATTGTTATTTTATGATTAGTCAGGGTTGTAGTGTTATAAAACCTTGTTTAGTATTCCTGTTCGCCTGTCGCTATTCATTAGCCACAGATTACTTAAACAATTTTTGATTTTTATATGAGAGTGTAGCTATTTAAGGATGTAGAATAGGGTAAATTATTAAACAGGTTATATCTGAAATTGAATCTTCACTTATACTGAAAACAACCATTAAAATTGTTTTTACATTAATGAAGGTTACTCTGGTTAAATGACACTTGGAATGGTACACAAATGAGTTGCTAGCGAGGTGAAATCAAACTTTGTATTGTCCAAATATTGGAGATATTAATTGAACTGTTTCTAGTAAACCAGTTGTAAAACTTGAACTAGTTATAAAAATACAAGTATTATTCTTATGTTTATAATGTGATGGTATTAATTACCCTGTCAAATAGAATTTATTAAAAACATTTTTCTTAACACAATTATAGTTTTAATTGCATATTGTTTCGGTGTGCATAATAAATATGGCTAGTAGAAATACTGGATTAACTATAAAATATTGGGATGAAATCCACAAATTGTTTGTTTAAATCCTCTGTGCGTCATTTGCATTTTTCAGAGCATATCAAATTATCCATGCTTAATCCTTTGTAAAATATACTGGTCACTGGAATAGATTATTTAACAAACTTAAGAAAACAAAATCATATTATCAGTGGTAGATAATCTCCAGACTTGTATTCAATCAGATAAAAAAAAGAGGTCCATCAAAAGAGTTCAGTGAATAGACGTAACAGTTGTATCAGGATCAATTAAATATTTATTATTTAAACATACATTATGCAAGAGCTAAATCTGCCTATTGCAGGTCTTTCTTTAGGCCTGAAATATTATCTTAATTATTAATTAGACATTAATTAACTTATCCAGACCATATTCAACTCTCGATGGATTAGGTTCCGATTTCCATTCATAATTTAATCATGAAATGGATATTCAAAACTGTTTTTTTTATAGTACTGACTTTAGTAATGATGATCGGGACTAGGCAGAAAGTTCAGTTGCTAAAATCTTGGTTCAGAGTGGATCAATTTGACTGAAATTTTCAGCAAATTCCCTTTACATTATCTAGTTTTTAACTATTATAGTGACAACTGCCAGCTCTTTATCTAATCTCTGATAATGTATCTTTAATAAGAATTCAGTGATATATATTTACAAAAACTTTGGTAAACATTTTTTGTCGTTTTGACTAAGGTGAATTGTGACTGGGTTTATATCTGTTTTGACCATATCCAGTTTATGTGTCTGCAAAGGATACTGAATGTTGTGAGATTTTCAATTCGACATATTTCTGAAAATACTGAATGGAATTGAACCACATTTGGACTGATATTCCTTTTAGAGATTCAACTTCAACAACATTGTAGTTTGTAAGGAATTAACCTCCCCACAAATGACAATCAGAGACTTTAATTTTGAGGATCTTAATTTATGTTACTATAGCTGGATGAGCAAAAGCAAAAATAAAAAGCGATTGCATAAATGTTTTTTACTCTTTTGGGGGGATTTTGAACTACACTATAATTATTGACACATACTCAAGAACAAAGTGCTGTTTATATTTATTAGTATTATATATACTTTAGTTTATATCAATCGTCAATGAAATGATAGTTATAAGTAAATTTATAATTGCTCTTACTCCATCCCTATTGCATGCTTTAGGAGCCTACAGATAACCAGTAACCATTGATAACAGATATTATGTAGGATATTCAGACCCTGTAGCAATGGTTAATGAGCTAGTAATATCTGTAACCGTTGCTGGTTCAGAAAAATCGCTTTCTCATACATTTGTTTATTTCTGTATTCTAATGTTTGTTACATATTTAATATTTACTGTATTCTTTGTCTTTATTTTCCACACATTTTCTTCTTGAAAAATCAAATCAATTTCAAAATACTTGTTAATTTATGAAAAGTTTTCTCAATTCTTGTGTGAAATATGTTACACTTTGAAATGGATATGTTACACTTTGAAATGGATTGGATTTTTAAAGAAAAACTCTTGTGAGGGAATTTAATTATTAACAGGATTGTTAGATTTTTTAAAATAAATTAAAAAAAAAAAACTTTTTCTTTTATGCTTACATGTGTATATTGTTGTCAGTACACATTTTCTTGTTAACTCGTGACGTTTTGGGATTTTTTTTCCAAATAGTATCACCATTTAAACATGTGTTGTAAAAAGCCTCTGTCAACTGCCGTGGTTATGATTTCCCGATTGTATGTGACAAGTAGTAGGGTCACCTGTTCAACCTCGTGGGTTTTCTTCGGGTCCTCCGGTTTCCTCCCACTATTTAAGAAAACTACGCACAAGCGAATTATTGAAATAAAATTGAACCATGTGTTAGTCCCGAAATGACCTAGTTTGTCTTAAGTGGACGTTACCCCCCTCTCTTCATGAAACATTTGAGGTGCATTATTCCCCGTTGCTTTTTATTATAGCCACCGGTTTTAATTTTAGAAGCTTGGTAAAAGATAACTTTACTTTTTTTACTAATTTTTGAAAAATAATGCACATTTATTTCACACAGATCGGATGATAACTTGTTTGAGCGGCAAGGTTTTACAAAGTAAAACAAGGGTCATAACTCTAGAAATAATTAATGAAAATTACTATAATTCAGTGTTCACAAGAAATTGTGCACGGGTGTGATAATATTGACTTTTCCATGTGAGCTATAAAATTGGCTTGATTAACTCAAGTCCCAGACATCCATGGGCAAATGGTAATCCTGGGTTAAAGACAAGATTGTCAAATCTTTATAACCTGCAGTTCTTCACGTCCATAGGCAATACACCCACGGCAGCAAAATCTTGCACAAAGGTCATCATATTGTCAATCTTACAGTAAACATGCCAATAGTGAGGCTGATGTCCCCTGCCTCATTCCAAAAATCAACAGATGACACATTTACCGTTTTGTAAAGTATCGACCACTCAAATTGCTTATATCTGCTTATGTTAAACATCACACAACATATACACAAGTTTGAACATTCTGCCTCAATTAAAAGCTGTGTTGTTGTGTTTTAAAGTCTTGCCAAATCAAATTGCTTAACTTGTGCAGAAAATGCTCATTATCAAACTTAGTCAATGTATTACTGATTACTGTAATAAAACTACTACAAAGTTTCATCAATCACTTATACTCAGCCAAATTAAAAACTTGACACTGATGAATTTCAACAAATTTTTTTTTCTGGTAAGTCAAATAAATTTTAAAGTGTTTCTAACGATAGTAAGTAGTAAGAAGCCTTTAATTTCATAAAATTGTAAAGTCACGTGGATCACGTGACTTTTGAGCATATAAAGATGAAAAACCTGAAAAACACGTGCAAACACAAACTCGTGAGGTCAATCGATGCAAGTTTGCTTAAACTGAACACGCACACGCAACTTGAACTGGAAAAACAAATTAAAATTGTTATTTTCATCTTTGTTAGAAAATGCTGCGCCTTTCAAATGTAGAACGTCTACGTGCTATAGGTAGGCTCTATGCTGGTCAGTCTGTGGTCACTGTTGCAAGAGCCTTTAATTGTTCACGCCAGACAATAATTAATCTTAGAATGAGAGTGCTTCAAACTAGAACTATTGCTGACCGCCCAAGGGCGGGAGCGCCACGTATGACGTCACTCTAGGAAGATCAAGCAATACGATTACGTCATCTTAGAAACAGATTTGTCACTGCAACCTCCACAAGTAGAGAGATGTTTGGTGGAAGGGTAACTGCACAAACTGTTCGAAATTGCTTGCAGGTTGCTGGTCTTTGAGCTCGGAGGCCCTATAATGGACCAATATTGACACCTCTTCATCGCCGTAACCGACTTATGTGGGCCACAAGACACATAAGATTTACTCAAAGACAGTGGAATTCGGTTGTCTTGAGTGACGAATCTCGATTCACTTTGAGATTTGCCGATGGCAGGGCCTGAGTGTACCGCAGACGAGGTGAACGTTACGCTCAAGTATGCATCAGAGAAGTTGACCGATTTGGTGGCGGCAGCGTTGTGGTTTGGGGCTCTTTTTGTGCACATGGACGTTCTCCTCTTGTTGTTGTCCAAGGGACATGGGCCTGGACTAACGTTTCAACAAGACAATGCTCGACCCCATACAGCAATTGCTACCCAGAATTTTTTAAGAAATGCTGGTGTCCAAGTCCTGGATTGGCCGTCGCTTAACCCCGACCTTAATCCTATTGAACACATCTGGGACGAACTGGGTTGATGTGTTTGTCAGCAAGTGAATCCACCACTGACGTTGCAGGACCTTCAACATGCTCTTGCTGAGCAGTGGCGACGTCTTCCTCGGGTAGTGTTTACTAATGTTCTGAGATCCATGAGAAGACGCTGTGTGGCAGTAAGAGACGCTAGGAGGCCACAACCGTTACTAAACACTTTATTCCGATTGTTCTCCAAGTCTGTGAATTTCATTTTGGGGGGTACTGTGACATCACGAACGTTATCAATGTCAAGGACTTTCGGCGAGACGTATTCTTGCTTTCTGTTGAGGTCAAGGTCGTCTGTGCACAACATAACACTAAAATAGTTGCCTTAAACCAAATATTAAAAATCTAGTCCCAAAAATCCTGAGTGTCAAGTTTTTAATTTATATATTCACAGTAATCTTGTCCCAACTCTATGACAATATAATTTGTTTTTCTGTTTAGCATAAGCAGAAAATGCTCATCACTGAACTCGGTTAAGCCATTCACCTAAAAAGAGAACAATCTGTGACCACACTTTGATATAGGTATATAAAAACACAGATAACAAGTTTCTATAAATATTAAGATCCATTTATTGTAACTAGTCAGATAAGTAGATTAGATTATCCAGCTCTAGTCAATACATTAGATTATCCAGATCAGATTACCTAATGCAAAGAGATTTTAAAAAAACAAAACAATTTTACAGCACAAAATGAAGCCACAATAATTTAAAATATACAAATAACATTTCACATTTATAATAATAATAATAAAACCTTTAATAGGGTCACGGTTGGGTCTGGTCAAAAGTTGTTTGGTATCAAAGAAATGGAATTGTATAATACATAGGTAAACATATTTAATTTAAAAATCTTGGTACCAAGTACAGTCTCCGTATAATCGTATAATCTTACCGGTATACATCTCATTGACTTGCACACAAAATATTTATTTAGAAAGCAATACTTTAATTACATATTGCAAGTATATTGTATGAGAGGAAAACATTAAAAAAAACAGGCAATTAAGCATCTAATTTAACTTGCATTATTATAACTGCACTGGTTTTTATTTTACTGACAGAATCGTAACTGAGCCAATAAAATGAGATAAAGGACACCTTGAGGTTTTTCCTTAATTACGAATAAGAAAGTTTCAGCACTTAATTATATAATACTACATACTACTAGACTAATTTAAAATATGTTCTTTTTTACTAACAAGTTAGAATGTCCTATGTTAACTTAAAGCAAATACTTTAATAATAATTTACAACTGATTTCTTTTGGGACAAAACATTTACAATTAAGGGTATCTTGCATCTTGGGAGCACTAATTCTTATCCAGGGTAAACGATTTATACTACATTATTATGACAAAAACCTATCTTGATCAAACAATAGTCTAAATATATAATCCACTGGACGAATTTGGTTACATCTATTCACAGCAATAAACCCTTATATTGAAGTACAGAATCGGTTGATTGTGATAGGAATAAACACTTACTTTGCATCTATTATAAATTGGCAAATAAAGAGCATAATTAAAATATAGTCTAGGCCAATAAGTCTTTAGCAAAACATTTCAACGAGCAATCTAAGAAACATTATCCCAAAAACGATTATCGACTTCAGCTATTGCAATAGTAGTGTAGTAGTGATTGGTTAAAGACTTGTTGATCTAGACTAATGGCACATGTTATAAGGATCGCTTTTTCTATTGACTTTGCATAGGATATTTACCTCTTGAAGCAAGGGACTAGACACAATATGATGAAACTGATGGGACTATATTTAAATAAATCTAATCTCATAATATTCAATTCAGATGGGAATTTTGTATTTTGGCATATATTTAATACTCCATACAATTTGATCTAAAGTATATCTGTGTTACACTGAAATACCCATTATAAATGTTTGAATGTGTTATAAATAATCCACGACAAAGATACGATATGATAAATACATTCAGTGGAATTTCCCCGGCTTAAAATCTAAATGGTCAATATTTCAGATTCCACATTGATCAAATATCTTGCACAATTTATCATTTTTTTTTACGCCTAACAACTGGGCTGGTTACTATATAAACAATGAATAACGTAAATATTTGTCAATCTAGAAACTAAATACCAACCAATAGTTTTACATTCCACCATTAAATACAATATATAATTACAAATAATATTTACACAAAGCTATGTATTATTTCGCAAACAAAAATTTAAATTGAAAATAATTCTGTTGATCAAAACCAAAAAACATACATAATGTCCCCCCCCCACCTTACCCACTCCAAAAATTACGAAAAAGCAAATATATTTAATTAATAGTTCAAATTAAAATGATTATTTGAAATAAATTGTAAACATACTGATAAAAATGACAGATTTTAGTTAAACTGAATGTGGTGTGGTTCAGGTCTGTTTGCTGTTACATGCAGGCAACTATAATCTAGTATATAATATTAATTTCTAAATACAAATGTTTTATTTGATTTTTGCCATTTTACTCAATATTAATTTTGATGTTTTTGATTAGAATTTAGCTATATTTCAATGTCTAAACTATGTGACTAGTTTTAGGATCTTTAGACAATAATAAACATATTAAAAATTTTTGTATTTGATTTGTGTATGGATCGACTTGATAGAAGATTCAATATGATATTCAGTTTGTGCTTAAAGAAGGAAAATGATATGAACCTATAAGGAATGGCTAACAACACAATAATTTAACAATACAAAATAACTATATTTCATAGGACTTGACCCTTTAATACATAGGAAGGTAGTAACCCTGAACTATGAATTGTTCTGTTAAAAGTGTGGGTGTGTTGAAAATTATTGGAAATGCCTTACGGAGGGTCCTTCTAAGTTGACAGATCTACAACACAGGGTAAATTTGAAAATATCTACTAAAAACCATAATGATTATGGAATGATATTGTTGTTTAAATTACTTTAAATACTTGGTTGATATAGTTCCACAAATAAGATATGACTTAAAAAAAGAAATCCCAAGTTAATTAATGCCATTGCCATGGTAACAAGTTGACTAATAACTAATTTATGGTAACAACGATATGTAAACAACAATATATCTGACGTAATAATTTAAATAATTTGACAAACTTTATATCTAAAGGCCTTTACTTTGAATAGAGTTTTACTTAATATTCCTTCCATCTACTAGTATATTAGCTACCCTATAGTACTTTAATCTGGGACCATTTTTAAACCCTCTGAATATAAAATTTACCATGGGTAGTTAACATAATTGTGGATCAGAAGAAAGAAGGCCAACATTAAGAATACAAAGTATGAATGGGAGCAAAAATTACATATTCCATGGTTACTGTTACCAAATAAATCTACAAATAAATAAATCTAGTAACAAAAACTAGCTAAGCAAGAAGAAAAATTAACCACAAAAATACAATTAGGCCTATGATTGGCTATATGTCTATACAACAATTATGATTGGCTAAGTACTTGTTAAAAAATATCTTACTTTCATTCATATTTAAGTCATATGACTATCACATGACTAGAGAATAATCAAAATATGTCATTTAATATAAAGCACTTGTATGATATATTTAACTCTACTACCTCTCTCTCCACACAACATTCTTAATTATCCATCATTTCAGAAATTTAAAGAAAATCTATTTTAAGGATTTCCACAACATAATTATTAACTTGACAGTACAAGACTACATAATCATTACAAAGGCAACACTGGTTAATTTCACCTATAGTCCTTGTTTTCCAGCATTAAATATACAACTATTTTGATAAAAAGCAGTCTTCTGATTGAAATTGGGGTCATTTTGATCTCCATGATAATGTTAGGTTTGTTGTCATGACGATGACCTTGATTGACAACATATAAATGACAATTATTATTAAGTTAAAGTAATCAAGACATAAGGCATTTTTAGGAACACACAAAACTGCTTTAAAATTAGTTGCATGGTATGCTATACCAAATACAATACTATATTGATATATACATACCAATATTATACATTTTGACTGGTAACTTTAGTACATACAACTAGTATTGCATATCAATGCTGATATACACAAGTGCTTGCAGTGGTACAACTAAATCTAACACATTTGACTTTGTCCTAAAATTGCTGGTCATAGACATAATTTGAACACATATAAAGATGTAGGTTTATGATGGGAGATAATCTGAATGGAATTCATGTCATGAGCAGTAAAATATAATGGAATATTTGATGGCAATTAAGGCGGGGTTATACTAATATTTGGTTAATTTCAGACCTGATACACAAGGTTATTTTCAGACCCGATAGAGAAGGTTTTTATTAAGTCATTCCAAGTTTTATCTGATCTTGCATCTTTCGAGGTATCTTCCCTCCAAAAACTAGCTTAGATCAAAAGAACTTTTATTTCCAAACATATGAACTGTCCTTTTCCGAGAATCAATTCTATATTCCTTCTATGTTGCACATAACCTAAATTATATTCCTTTCTAAAAGCACCAACAATCAATCATTTATCAGTTCCATGTCTCTGGTACTGTCAAGTTCAACTGTGTAATTGACTCATAAAATAATGGAATTTTTCAGGTTTTTGGAAAGAGCATTTCAAATACAAATCTAAATTTTTCGTTAAACAAAACTACATATAATAACTTTATTTGATAAATTCAGAATTTGTATAAGATCTTGACTAAGGAGATATTTGTCCACATGGATGAATTTACAAAGATCCTTCAAAGAATAATCAGAGATAAAAACGAGATCATTTATTGCCCAACAGAATGTTAATTCATGATTTGTTAATTGGGTCATTAACGAATGTTAATTTACAATTTATTAATTAGGGCAATAGAATAAGTTTGATCCCTACAATATAAAAAATTATTAAAAAATACATTAAAAAAAGCAAATTCTCTGCACAATAAAGGGAAAAATTTTACTGATAATTCCCATCTTTTTTATTTTTTTTTTTGATAAAAAAATCTGATTAAATAAAACCACACAGATCATGCCAAATATTTCCGACATTTTTATTTGAAACCTTAAAATTTGGACGTAAAATCATCATTTAAAAATTAAAATCCAACAAAACATTGAGTTTTTCCATGTTGATAAGTTTTTATTAAAGACTCATTTATTTTTTAATCAATTAAATTTTTCCCTTTTTGATTAAATTGAGCGATGACATGAGATTAGTCCAATAAATTTCTCAGAATGGCATTCCGTACAATTTCATCGTTAAATCTTAATCGATAAAATATTTAAATAAAAACAATGACTCTAAAGGAATAAAAACGACAAACAGAAAATAAATTATCTCTTTTGTCAAATGGTAAATAGGACTTCAAAAAAAAATTCACAGCCATAATATCATCACATGATATCCAAATATGGTGTTATGCCCTATTTAAGGTGATCATGTGATGCGGAAGATGTTAAGGGTTTAAGCGAAGTACATGACCTTGGTTGTGTCAGGATGTATAGCAACAGCTCGTGCCATGGAAGCTGGGGTTCGATCTTCACTGTTGTCTGAATGACGACTTCCTTCTCCACTGAAAAACAAGATAACCGTTTATTTCATGATGATAAATAGAGGAAACCAAGGGTAGAGCAATATATGAATATGGTCGTATATTTATCAATATATTTGAAGATTTCAATGTTGAAGGTAGAATTAGAACATTGGCCACAATAGAGTCAATTCTGTTCTAATTTCAGCCATTTATGCCTATTTTGGTTTTAGGTCTTTGTGAGTAGGTCACGGTTCAATTTAATAAGCATTGCATTGTATTTAGCAATACAAATCCAAGTATCTGCGAAAACATTTTTTTTATGATTTGGTAACCTTGCATTCTGGGATATTACTTCTCATTTGGGAAAATCATTTTGTTGTATTTGGAAGCAGAAAAACTTACCTATCATGATCTTTTTCTACAAGATGATATCTTGCACGGAAGGCCACAAGATGTGCATAGTAAGCAGGAGCGGGTATGGACACACTTCTCGTACACCGGACATATGTGTGACATAACTGGTATGTTAATATCTGGAGCTCATCAGCAGTAAATCTATTGTCATCCCATAAAACATGGTAGTGGGACGGCCGACTTGTTCCCTGAAATCAAGTCAATTCATATTAACCATCATTTCTAAAATCGTGTAACTGGCGAAAATATAAGCAAATAAAAGTGCATCTTAAAAACCATCAAAATCACAAACAAACCAGCAAATCAGAAGTAAGTTTGAGAAACACTAACTCTATTAACTCTCAATTGGAGAAAAATGATCTCTGCATCTGTTAATAACATATTAGTAAAGAGACTTACCTGAATACCAGCATGGCTACACAAATAGAAATCAAACTCTGTTGGGTGAGTGATCCCCACATCAACTGTGGTACCTGCAGGTATATTGCCACTACGCCCAGTTTGATCTTTACGATCAGCACAGAAGAGACGAGTATGATGGCGTTTCTGTACAACGATAAACGTGATTCCAGGCTGATAACCCACTTCTAGTTTCATACAAGCTTCTCTTACAGCTCGCAATTCACTACTTAGCACCTATTTAAAAAATCAGTTGTTTATTACTAGCATTAATCCAACTATAATGTTATAATGTTTAATCAATTCATATCAATAACATTTTCATGCAGACAGGTGTTCTAGTAATAGTTTATCAGCCAATCCCTACATATACCACACAGAAAACAATTTAATGATATTATTTCATCAATTGTCTTAATGATTGCACATACTTTATTGAGGGGCCAGTTTGGTCTGATTAGCAGCTTATTGGAAAACACAGAAAAAAGCACAAACAACAGGCCCTAGTTGCTTATCAAATAAAGAATACACAATTGAAGAAAAAAAGTAACAAGCGGTTGTAATGCAAGATACGCCCACATTTTGCAAGAGATAGACAGAGAAAAGGCTAATTTTTCGTACAAAACTGGCCATAATCCAGGATGTTATGGTCCAACATGTGTCAATATCGAGATCTTTCGGATATAAACATATTTCAAGTTTCATCAAAATCTAATAAAAATTGTGACCTTTATATTGTCCACAAGCTAAAACTTAACCCATAAAGTTATGGTCAGATACATGCCAATACTGAAAGGAACCAAGGTCTTTGGGAAAAAAAACCTATACTTCAAGTTTCGTAAAAATTTGATAAAAATTGTGACCCATAGAGTGACCACAACAAAAATATGAATGGATGGACGGACACCCGGACTGACAGGGATAACAATATACGGCAACATGAAAATGTGAGAAACCTCCTGTCAATAGAAACAGGTAACACAAACCAACTACATAAGGTTTGATAGGATTCATTATTTGATATATATTCAGATAAGTTGATATTCAATAATAAATAGAATACAATATCAAAGAAGTTTGTATTTTTACTGACGAAACGTTGGATAAAACAATGGTTTTATGATATTGTATTATATTAATTATTGTATATCACATGAAAATAAAAGTAGAAATAAAATTTTAACTTACCGTTTGAAATTGTCCCTCACTAACCCCATCTCTATAAAATATGATACGTGTTGGTTTAAATCGCGTTGATCGGTAAAACTGGATCAACAATTCTCGTACCATGTTACATAACTCTGGTATCACTTCCTGTCTGTGTTGTTGAACTCGAACAGTAGCTGAATAACGACTAGGATGGGCATCCATACTACCTACAACCTATAATATAACAAGTTAGATAACTCTGCTGTAGAACTTAACGTCTCTACTAACTATACCACGTCAAGTTTGATAACTCTAGCATTAGTTTCTGTATATACTATTTAACGCTCAATTTATTCTTCAATATTTCTGGAGATGTAGTGGATCACTCAGTTTAGGTGCTGGCTCATTAACGAGGTGATCCTGGGTTTAATTATAGTACTGGCCGAGAAAGACTATCAGAATATTTCAGCATGGTTTTCCCTTGTCGATAGTGCAGGATTGAGGATCTGGCAAAGTACAGCCTCTAGATGTTTGGATGGACAAAAAAACGAGAACCTGTGTACACTTTGGTGTACATGTAAAAAAAAACCTTGATGTAGATGACATGGTCTAGGCAAAATTTCCTTAATTGTACACCACATAGCACATGCTCATCTTCATTAGCTTACTAGATACAAAAAAGTAGATAAGCCAACTAGGAACAATCAAGGTACACTCAGAAAGTGATATAAGGTGTTCTAGAAATGTTTCTATATTATGTATTTGTTATCAAGCATCTGTCAGTTTTTGTGCAAGGGTGACAACTCTCAAGATATATTACAAAGGGGAAGTAACTTACAGCAGCTATGGAAGGTTTAAGACAATCACCAGCAGGAGGATGAGTGACATCAGCACCAAGGAATATGATTGGCTCACGGAATACCTGGGGTCTGAAACAGAAAGTTTTGTTTAATAAAATAAATATTGCAACAGAAAGTTCATGAATCACCATTGTCTTTTATCAATGTCGTTTTTGGACAGCATAGCGTCTCTGTTATGGAATCAACTTCGAACAAATACATGAAATGCTGAAACAGTGCACAATTAGGATGCATAGCTCTATTCTTTGGAACCTTAAAACTGATGAAATTGGGGCTAAAAGCACATATGTAATAGAAGTGTATATAAAGTGATTTACACTTAGGTTTTTATTTTCAAATAAAATATTGTAATTTCTAATCTAATGTGAACAGTCGTTTGGGCCTGCCTAGTCCATTCTGCAGCGTTTTTGGGTTTTTTCATTACTTAGTTGTACGTGAATCAACCATTTTTAATTACTTCCACATTGTCTTGTAAGAAATGATTTTTTTGTTCATTACAAATTGTGCTCGAAATCACTGTCCATATAGATTATAGTGCACAAGCTTGTGTACTGATTTTTAAATGTCCATTGTGTCTTAAATATTGGATATTAGGATCTCATATTTTCACTGAAAGATAACACCAATATTGATTGAAATGGACAATTATTGAATACTAATTCAGGTTTTTAATTTTGAATATTATCGATAATAGTTAGAGGTTTAGTTCCTTTAAGGACTAAATTGTTATAAATTCAGCGCTTGACTTACTGTCGGCATTCAGCGTTTCATTTACTGTCTACATTCAGTGTTTTTTTTTTATTGTCAACATTCAGTGTTGCTTTATTTAAAGTATAGTGTCGACGTTCAGCGGGGGTGTTGATATTCTGTTGATATTCAGTGGTGTATATACTGTCGACATATTGTGTTTTATTTACAGTCAACATTCAGTGTTTTATTTACTGTCGACATGAGCAAGAATTGTTACCTTCACCGAATCAATGGTTTGATTGCACAAGATGTATCAAATGTGAATCAGGAGCAAGTTTAACAAGACAATTTTGACATCAAACATGATAACAGATCAGCAACACTTTTATAAAACCCTTGATCTTTTAATACTCTGAAAATGTTATTTGTAAGAAGAGAAGTATGTCTAGAGCTCACCTAATACTAGGCAGTAATATACTGTTGATGCCCCCTAATTTAACGTTGATCTTTAGACAGAGATTAGATAACGTCTGGGGCGTTGTTTTGTTCACATTCTTTGATTGGACACATTGAGTAGCTAAACCAAATAATATATCACCAACTCTCTTCACTTCAGCTGAAAAAGAGAAAATAAAGATTAGTTTGAGACAAATTTAGTTGATATCAAAGACAGGTTGCCAGGCAATGAAACATACACCCACAGCAGCTAAATCGTCTGAGCATTCAACAAGAGTTTTTCTTTTACTTCTGTTGATAATGAAACATTTATAACGCATTAAAATCTGACTAAGAGTAACAACCCATTAAGTAATTATCATAAAATAATTAGAATTTGTTTGGCCCATGCTAATGTTTAGTATTCAAAACATTTAATTCATGGATTTAACTGTTCAAGTTATCAAAAATCACTGAAAATCAATATACTTGTTCGTCTCAAGACCTTAAGGGGAGGCAAGGGTCGACAAATGTCAATTTTGACTCAAATTATCGATTTTTTATATTTGCATATTTGTGATGTTCATTCATTTTTATTTCACTTGTAATTAAAGAAAATACATATAAAGTGGTTTATGATAGAAAAAATGCACTTTTGAACACTCTTGCAATTCAAATTTTGCTGTTTTACCTCTTTATGTCTTAATTTCTCAAAAAGTAAAATATCAACAGTCGACAAACTTACAAAAAATCGTTCTTGAAAAGTTTACAACAGATATGTCTGAAACTTACACACATACTTAAGTAATGTTAGTTCCATGCAAATAAGGATTTTCAGTACTCTAAATGAATTTTTAGTGTAGTAAATTGGCATTTGAAATCTCTCATTGAAAACAACATTTTTCATAATTTTTGTTTTGTTGAATAGAATGACATGTAAGGACACAATAACAACACCATATTGATAATTGCACAGAGAAATGTCCTAGGAACATTTTAAAAAAAGTTCCAGGCTTCTACCTTTGATACTTTCAGAGAACGATTTTTTTTAAGCAGTAAAAATGATTTTTTTTGTTTCCATGGTAACCAGTAAAGCAGATTCCCCAAAACTGCCGATTAGCCTATTTTGTTGATGTGAACAATTCCTGAAAATTTCAAGTTGATGGCATTATTAGAAGCCAGTTATTTTAAAATTCATATTTGTCGAGCAGTGCCTCCCCTTAAACACTGTGTATCAATCTAAACTCAATTGAAACATAAGTGTAAATACAGTGCATAAATATAAAATCCACCAGATGATAACCATGGTCATAAGGCATCCAAAAGATTTTTCAAAGTGATCATGGGCCATAACTCTGGCAGTAATTATCAGAAATAGATGAAAATCAATAGGCTTCTTCGTCTCCTGACCTTAAACACTGTGTTTAAATTTAAAGTCAATCCGATATTAACTTTAGCTTCTAGAGCGTCCACAAGCAATTTTGGACGCTGGACCAACAGAGGGATGGGGATGATAACAATATACGACCACATTTCAATGTGGCCGTATAAAAACAATAAATGTGGCAAATCATAGGCCAGATGTTATCTCACAACACACATGTGGTAAATTGTAGGACAAGATGTCAACTTATCATAAACAGGTGATAAATCATAGGCCAGATGTCAACTTACCATATAAACGGGTGACTAATCAAAGGCCAGATGTCAACTTACCATATGTATATGTAACTAATCACAGACCAGATGTCAACTTACCATACCCATGATTAACCATAGACCAGATATCAACTTACCATATACAGGGGTTTTTCCTGGTAATACGACCACAATAAGTTGTAAGCCTTGATATGTGTTTTTTAAGTAACGGAACATTGGTTCTACTTGGTCGGGACCAGTGGCATATTTACAAAAACATGGTTGTCCCATTATTGGCATACCAGCATCATTGGATATTCTCTGGAGTTGAGATGTAAAATTTCTGGGGAAAAAAATAAGAATGGAATGACTATGGCAGTTTTCAGAAAAATGTGGACAGTATACAACAGGGCTCCACTTATTTTTCATGTTTTTATTTACTGTATGACAACTGTAAATTGACGTGTCTATTTATCATAGTAAAGAAGAAGACCAAGACAGGGGAACTGTACCCCGTTGGCCACAGTCATTTCCAACTACCCAAGCGTCAATTTTTTTTTATTGTGATGACCAGGTTAGTCAGAAAATGATGTAGTTTGTGTTGAGTGAGGTAATAAATTTGAACGGCTGTATGACATAACTTTTAGTGTTTTGACTCACCTTAATGCATCTTCACGAACAGTTCTCTGTGGTGCAAAACAAGCAATAGCCCACACACGGATCTCAATACCTTGATAAAACTGTTTTCCTCTCATATCCCATACACCTTGATTAGGAACAGCCTGTGACTTAGTCTAAAGTAAATATCAAATATGACGATGATCATATACTATTTACAGCAATAAAACTAGATATAATTTAAAAACATGCAGAGTAGACAAGTAATTATTACTATTTATAATTATAATAAACCATGCTGTAATAATAAATGACATTACTCCAATTGAGTGATATTAATTGATACATTTCTACAATTTTTATGAAACTAAAACTTAACTGCTGAAATGCCATTGGCATATCTACTAGATCATTAACGCATGTTATGCCAGTAACTGACCCATCTATAATGTCACTGAACTGCCAATTAAGTCACTTACTTACTGACCTTTAATATCACTAACCCCTCATAACATCATTCCTGTTCAACCAACTAGGTCCTACTGACATGCCAATTATGTCATTTTGAGATTGAGCCTTTTGAGAGAATATAGCTTGTTTTATCTTGTAAGTTGACATTGTATATTTATATGAGGCAATGTCATTAAACAATAACCTATGTCTACTTTCATTAAAATTTGCAAAAAAAAAGGAAGCATTTATTTATGCTGTTATAATTAACTAAAAGTTTACAGTACAAATGTTAACATAGCAAGTGAGGAAGGGGCTATATTAGATGTGTGGGATATATCAATTGGTAACATACCACTAAACATGGATGTTTCACGGTTTAAATTATAAGGATACATGTATGTTAGGTTATATAATTGTAGATTGGTTCTGGGCTTCTGTTTCCCTCCCCCCTCATAGATTAGTACAATTAACTCTTACCAATATCATTATACATGGGAGAAGAAGGCGGGGGGAGGGGGTATTTCTATTTATGGTAAAGATATGTGAGTGTATTTTGATCTAACTATAAAAACGGTCTAATATAAATAAAATATTGGCATTAAATATAAAATATATCCTAAACAGGAATGTAGATTAACATTTTTGCTAGCATTTTGAAATTTTAATATTAAAGCAATAATTAAATAAACAAGAGAAAATACAGCATGTCTACATCCCTATCTATGCACAATAAAAATACTATACAAGAAATTTAAAGGAAAACTGACGACCAAAAATAAAAAAAAAGAAGGGAAGACAAAATATATGTTACATAAAAATTAGTAATATCACTCTTAAGTCTTAACAATTTCATGAAAACTTCAGGTACAAATATTAGCTAAGATCTTGTGTATAGAGGTAATTGAAAGGTGGTGTAGCCATGGTCCATGATGGCTTTATAGAGAAACTTTTGGGTGTAACATATAAACCAGGTGTATTTACTGGACTACCAACATAAGCATCACCGTATGTACAGGACTTAGATGATATTTTAGCTGAAGTTTTCCAAGAAACTGACCCTTGTATGATAAATCATTTGATTTTATAAATGATGATGACATGCGCATATATAAAACAAAGTTAACATGCTACAATTAGAAACATGATTTCCTTTAGAATGCTGTAGTTCTGTTATTCCATGTCAGAAGACTTTACTTGTTTAAAACTGAAAATATCTGACTCAACAAAAGAAATCTTGCTTGCATAATGATAAAAAGAAGTCATGCCAAAATTTGTCCATGTGTTAAATTTTTTCTAAATAAAGACACAATTACTAACAATTTCATCGAAAAGGGGGGTAGGGGATGGATAGGGCGTCTGTGTGCGAAATTATTGAGTCAAATATTTTTAAGTTTTGAAAACCCTTCAATACATTACCTGGAATCCAATATGGCTACCTGTCCCATTTTGATTTTTTCTAATCAAGGTTTTAAATATTTTCCTATTTATTTTCCTTGTGATTGTGGAGTGAATTGATCAAAATGGTAAGCATTGACTCAACACAAGCAGACAACAAGCTAACATGCACAGTTAACTGTAGGTATTCAGACATAGTTTGGTAATCATAAAATTTGGGATAAAGTATAATCTTGATTGGATATTACAATCAAAGTATGTGTAGATAAGACATCCAGCTCGACATGCGGAGCTAGCTGCAGAGTTGTAGAAAAATTTTGTATTTAGATTTTAAACAAACAAGATTTAAATGATTGATTGTATACATTCCTCAAACCTGATGATAGTTTATGTCGATAGACGTCCAGCTCGACATGCGGAGCTAGCTGTAGATTTGTAGAGGAAGTTTGGTATTTTGACTATCTAGAGGAATCTTACCCTTCCGCCATATTGTAATTTAGGAGGTTGTAATACGCGTCCATGACATTCCACCATTTGCTGAGAGATGCTGATTCCGAAAGTTTGCAGATAAGGATCGGAGTTAAAACTTGCCTTTCGCACCTGTTATCATTCCGTGACAGATCAAAGGGGAGGTAATCATAAAAACAATAAGGTTAGGATTATGAAAAAACACCAACACACTACAGACTATGCACAACACATTTGATTAATCAGACTTCATAATATAACCATTTCAGTATAGCAAAACATCTTGTACTTTTAAATACAAAGAAGTTTAGGTTGTTGCCATAAATTAGAAGCAGATCAATATGTATTGTGCATATGTCTTTCAAGTACAGAGGTTAAAAAAAGTAGTTCCTTAAGTCTTGACAGAAGACCTTTACTGAAATTCCCTCATCAAAAAAATATTAAGAATTTTTACATTGAATTTTGAAGTTCGAATATTGGATATAAAATCAAATCTTATTGGTTGAAAAACATTTTGAAGGAATATTTTCAAAGTCGTCCATCAAATGTCAGAAAGAACCATTAAATATTGAAGAAGAGTTGCCTACCCTGCCGCCATACTGTATTTTAGGCGGGGTGAGTACTCGACCTTTGACCTCAGTCATGTCGTAAGAAACGCTGATACCGAATGTTTGTAGATAATGGTCATGGTTAAAGTCGGCCTTTGTCACCTGTTGCCATGACGGTGGAAAGATGGAAGGCAGAATGGATGAATGAATTAATCTCAACCATCACCATCTCGTATTCATCTCTTAGAACAACCTACTTTCCATTCAAGCAATTTAAATACTTTAAATTTTTCTTTCTATTTAATCAATTCAATTATCATTTTTTTTTTTTTTTTAATTTTTAATTCGAAATGTAAATTAATATTATCCCTGCTTTCTCTTTAACCCAATGCTATCTTAAAATCGTTGAATTATTGGAATATTTTGGAAAATACATTATTTAACATTTAATTAAGAAAAGAAAATATGAAAGGTAGATTATCTTCCGGCTTGGATTCAATCAAAATCAAAGGGGGCCATCAAAATATTTAAGCAAAGATTACAAGTAGGGCTGGCTTTTGACCATGTATATCTTTGGTAATAATGAACGGAATTGAGCCATTTTTGGACATGTTCTTTTAAGATATTCCACTTTCACAATATCGTAGTTTAAAAGAGATTCCTTAATTATTCATGATACATGTACTTTAATATATTTCTCAGATGAGAGGAATACTACCTTTCAATAATCATTAATTTCATTTTATTGCTTTCAGGATTTAAGATAAAAGCACTTTTCAATTTGCATGTCTTCTTTTTCTTTTAATTCCTTACAGTGCTTTTTTTTTAAATTGAATAAAACAAAGCTGAAAACATAAAACCCTGCTTTCTTATTTCTAAATTCTTCTCCGTTTTAAAGCTAACTTTACGATGATATCAATCAATTATTCAATTAATCTGTTAGAAACTAAATTGAACCTGACTATGGAGATGTATTGTGGATCACATAATCCGACAAATAATCATTTTCCAGACAATGCTGAAACAGGTTTGTCAATTTTATGCATATCTCTAATTTGTTTGCAGAAGTTACACTCATGACCGAAGGCACAGGATTCCAGCAATTATTTTTATCATATATAAAGCAAAATTGTTTGATTAAAAATAAAAGCATTTAACTTCACAATGAAAGTGAAAATAACATCCTGAATGTTAAAATTAAAAATCTTATTCTCAACTTATTTTCATGAATTTAAATGATTAATGTCATTTGTATATAATATCCCTGACTTCATTCTGCCTTAAATTTTCTTTTCAAATTTAATTTGATTGGTAGGTTGTTCTAAGTTCCAGTACATTACAGTCATATCTCAGACCCTGCAGTTACATACATTTTAAACCTAACATGGAAAACTTAATTCATAATACTTTCACAAAATAAACTAATTACAAAATTATTTTTGTGCCTTTCAGAATTTGAAACATCTATGAATATTTCAAATTTGTGACTGAGTTCAAAGCAAAATACAATTGCACTTTCAAGTTTCTTTATAAATCACAAAATTGGTGTCATTACTTCTGTATACTCTTGTAATTTCAATGTTTGGTTATCAAGGTGGAGATAAATATAATTTGAAATGGGATATTTAAAGATCATGATCAAAGCTTGTATTGACGTTTGACAATGTAATATAGGATAACTCATGTACTCAAGAGGGGAGATAACTGTGTATATTTAGAGAAAGCTAACTGCAGCAGACAATCATCAACAATCAGTCTTATTCAGATATCCAGCATTTAAACAACTTCAATAAACTAGTCTACAACATTTATCATAAAATACAAAACAGCTACACAGTGTTCTTAACTTCTTGTAGACTAGGTCACCAATACTTAGTAAATGGGATACTGATCGCCTTGGAACTTGTATAGGATTTCAAGAGCAAAATCAGTGAACACTCTACCTTGGAACCCTTGCTCTATCACCCCATACTTGTGCTCTTATATCATATTTTTAACAGACCGTCAATTAAATGCTCAGGGTAGTAATCTCCAAGACTCTACTGATGAACATATGGGTGACCTAGACTACACTTTCATTAAAAGATAGGTTGCCAGGCAACCAAACATACACCCACAGCAGCTAAATAGTCCAGGCAGTCAACAAGAGTTGTCGCATATTTTTACTTTTGTCGGTAATGAAACATTTATAATACATTAAACTCTGATTAAGGTTAACAACTCATTAAGTAATTATTAGAAAATCATTGAAATTTAATTGGGCCATGCTAACGTTTAGTAAACAAAAGATTTAATATTTCAAATTTAGCCATTTCTAGTTATCAAAAATCATTGAAAATCAATATACTTGTTCATCTCAAGACCTCAAACTCTGTATCAATCTAAAGTCAATCAAAACAATTATATATAGGCCCAAACATTGTGTATAAATATAAGATCAATCGGATATTAACTTTAGTCTCTAGAGCATCAACAAGATTTTTCAAAGTGATCAAGGGTCATAACTTATCAAGGGCTTCTTTGTCTTATGACCTTAAATACTGTGTATAAATTTAAAGTCAATCAGGTATTAAATTTAGCCTCTAGAGCATCCTTAAGCATTGACCGATGGACGGAAAGGGGCAACGACAATATACGACCACATTTCAATGTGGGTGTATAAAAACATTTTGTTTAATTTTCACTATTGAACACTGTGTAGATACATGTAGCAGTCAGAAATCTAAAACAGTCCTCAAACTTCATTAATATAAACAATTTATATTAATTTTAGCTTCTCGAGTGTTCACAAGATTTTTCACAGTGATCATGGGCCATAACTCTGGCAGTCAATCGAATATTAACTTTAGCCTCTAGAGTGTCAACAAGCCATTGCAGACGCCGGACAGACCGACGACAATATGCGACCACATTTCAATGTGCGCGTATAAAAAACAAAACAAAATTTGTCTACTGGATATTTGCCCAATTTCAAATTTTCTTAATTATTGTTGCCCAATATGAGACTTTGAGGACTGTTTATCATCTATATATAAAGTCAAACAAGAACTAGTATGTTGTATTAAAAGTTTGTCACATTCTAGTCCTTATATATCTATCTCAGTCACATTATGAATGAATGCATCTTTTTCTATTTGTGATGATCAGTGTTCAGTATTATAGAAGGAGTTTTTCCCTAAGTGTAGGATGCCCCATACTCCTCGCAGTGTTTCGTTTGATTAGACCTAATCCCACTCAACACTGCCGTAATGAAAGCAAATTTCTGTTCCAAATTATGACTGGTCAATAGTCCGATACTGTTTGGAGACGAACAATGCTTTCACCGTTTTTAATACCTTAAATCACTGTCCAAAGTTTTAGGGAAGACCCCAGATTAAAGAAAGGGCTGTCATGTTGCTGTATTTACGAGAGATTTGATTGAACAGGAAGAATAGACACACTCCCTCAAAAGCTCAAGTATCAGAAGTCAATCCAGCAATGGCCATAAGCAAATTTTCATATGCAATTCCAACCACGAGACAAAAGACACATTTTCATTTGTCAGCCACATTCCTGATGTGTGAATGAACTTAAAAGATGCATTCATTTCTTGTAACATGGAAAAACTTGTCATTAATTATATAAGTAATTTCTCATAAAAACTAATGACAAGGTTTGTGTTATAAATTGTGACCAGTTTATAAAATTAAAGTAGAATATATTATAAAAAATAAAACGTACCAAGTTATTAATTTCCTTTTCACGATCAGGGGCTGATCTAGCTGTAGCCTAAAATGCAAACAAAAAGGTTGTCAGCATATTTAATCTTTTGCCGGTAATGGGAGCTTTTACATGTATAAGAAAATAACCAGCGGTTGCCAGGCAAGATATGCCCACATTTTGCAAGTTCACAACAATAGCGATTTTTCGTACAATCAGTAATGGAACCAAAATCTCTGGGTTATATACTTGTATTTCAAGTTTTATCAAAATCGGATCAAAATTGTAACCTTTAGAGGGTCCACAACTTGATATACCATTTTTTTTTACACAATCTGCGTACAAGGGGTGGCCATTTTGTCCGGCAGTTTTGGTCTGATTTTCACAAAAATCGAACTCAACCACATTACCGTGTAACATGATATATTCGAACGACTTGTTTAATCAGATAATAAATATGATCTCTGGAGGAACCACAAACTAAAAATGCGATTTTGCGCACAATCGGAAAGTTACAATCCGATATGCACAAATATCGCAAGGAACCAAGATCTTTGGGTTGTAGACATGCATATCAAGTTTCATCAAAATCATATGAAAATTGTGACCTCTAAAGTGTCCACAAACTAAATCAGGGGCCATAACAATCTGATTAAAATACAGATCCATATTTCTTTTCAGTTTTTTATACATTCAATGGCCTATACTACATTAAAGATATGGCCGGTTGTAGTGGAAGTTCGCTTCAAGGATCGTACGAGTGGCTTTTGACCCTTTGACGTCAGATATTGATTAATCAATCAGCGGTGACGTTTCTAGTGGTGAACGCACAGTTCCGTGCATTGCACTTGACGTATCAGACGGTTTCATTGGCTAATCCCTTACTTCAACCAGAAAACTGGTTATATAACAACTCTTCCAGATCCTAGTGTTGTGAAGACAAGTAAAACGAAATTTTGAACTAAAGAAAAAAAAAGAAACGAAATAGGATCTGTGTTTTAATCAGATTGGGGCCATAATCCATGAAGTTATGGTCCGATACATGCCAATATCGAAAGGAACCGAGATCTTTGGGTGATAGACCTATATTTCAAGTTACATCAAAATCGGATAAAAATTGTGACTGTGTAGAGTGTCCTTAAACAAATTGTGGATGGACGGACAGGAACGACAGCATAATACGTTTACATTTTGCAGGAGATGGACAGAGAACAAGGTAAAAATTTTAAAAAATCAATTTTTCATACAATCAGGGGCCATATACCGGGACGTTATGGAATGAAATGCACAAATATTTTATGATCAGTAGTGGAATACCGTGTTTTATCAGTGAAACAAAAGTGTTATTCCACTGGCTAGCAGGAGTCCATGTTGTTTTTACCTAAAATGATTGTAAAATCATAAAATAAATAGAACATTTGTCGTTTTGTCGTGAATAACATATTTTATTTCATCTCTAAGCAAGAAAACGTTTATATTTTCACTCATGCTACGCATTCGTGAAAATATAAGTTTTCTTGCTTCTCGATGAAATAAAATATGTTATTCCCTCTAAAACAACAAATATCCTCTATATATTTCAAGTTTTATCAAAATCGGATAATAAATTGTGACTTCTAGAGAGTCCACAACCTTGATATTTCATAATTTTACACTATTTGTGTACAAGAAGCGGCCATTTTTTTAGGCAGTTTTGGTCCAATTTTCACGAAATTTCATCTGTCATTAGGGTGTAACTAGTGCTACCGTTAGGACTTTGTGTTATTCGAATAACCGTAGCTATTAACCGGTTAGTAACCGTTTAACTTTCAACATAAAACTGACCTTGTCAGGGGGTGCGAGTCATTACTCACGCGTCGCTATACTTGCCTAAAAAAGGCATTACTCGCGCAAAAATTTCAGGAAACTTTTCATAGAAATGTACAATTCTTTAATGAAAATTTAGACTATCTAAGGCTGTATACATATTTGTTTACCAGGTTAATTTGGTTCATTTGAACCATTTTTTAAATTCAATATCTACAATAATATACAAGACAATGCGCCGTTTCCCTTTGTACGTGACAATGGTGATATTATTTCGATTACACAATGTTACTAAGAATAGAATATGGAAGGCGTCTATTGATTGAACAATAAAGAAATAATTTCGGGCATACAAGTAGAATTTTTATCCAAAGTAGAATTTTCGCGAGATATTACAAGATATGAAACATATAGAATGATTTATTTTGCCGTAAACTATGACGAGTGCTATTAATAGCATTATTTTTTAGCAGTCGACATCGTAGGACAACAGTTACATTCTAAGATTTTCAAACATCAAATACAAAAGGACAATGGACAACTTTTGTTATAAAGAGGAATATAATGGGACACTTGAGGTTTCACAAGCTAAAAACGTGATTTTTCCGTATAATCCGGGGGCATAATCCAGGAAGTTACTGTCCGATATGCACAAATATCTAAACGAACCAAGATCTTTGGAAATGAAATGAAATGGAGTTTAACGTTCCACTGTTCTACTCTGATCAGGGTTAATGAAGACGGGCATGCCAATGTGTACACAGAACCTTGTTTTTTTAGTCCCATCCGATCAACTAGACAGCTGCCCTTGTCAGGCCCTCCATCCTGCATCACTGACAAAGGGGAACCACGCCGGAAAATCTGGATGAACTTTCTCGGCCAATGCAGGGATCAAACACCTGACCTCCAGGCTAGCAAGCCAGTGTCTTACCACTTAGCCACCGTGGCCCCCAAGATCTTTGGATTATAATCATACATTTCATGTTTCATTAAAATTGGATAAAAATTATGACTTCTAGAAGGTCCACAACCTTGATATACCATCTATTTACACTATTTGCGTACGAGGGGCAAACATATTGTCTGGCAGTTTAGGTCACGATCTTTTACAAAATTTGAACTCAACCTTCATTAGGGTGTAACGGCGATATATTGTGACCTCTAGAGGGGCCACAAGCTAACAACGCAATTTTCCGTACAATTAAGGGCCATAATTCAGGAAGGTAAGTTCCAATATACAATTTAGGGCCATAATGTAGGAAGCTACGACGAATATGTGCGAATATCGAAAGGAAACAAGATCTTTGAGTTGTAAACATGCATATCAAGTTTCATTAAAATTGAGACCTCTAGAAAGTTCACAAGCAAAAAACGTGATTTTTCGTACAATCAGGGGCCATAATCCATGCCAATATCGAAAGGAACCAAGATCTTTTGGAGATAAACCTATATTTCAAGTTTCGTCAAAATCGGATAAGAATTGTGACCTGTAAAGTGTCCACAAACAAATTGTGGACGGGCAGACGTCCTGACAGACTGGGGCAATGACAATATACATCCACATGAATATGTGGGCGTATATAAATTTGTTGGCTTCTAGTTCTTCCTGATGCTATCATTTATAATGCAAAACAGTCATACCCTTTAGGTTAAGAGTTTCACTTACTTTGATCATTGTTGATGTCTGCATATCTGTAAGTTTTTTAATACACCTTTGACCTCCTACTATATTACATACCTAATCAAATTTTAAAAAAATACAATGTAGGTCATATAAAAAAATATATACAAACATCCTCACTGATTACTGTACATCAGGGGGTCTTGATAACCGGGTTTGTATCGCACTTTGCAAATCAAATCTTGCTCGTTGCTAATCAATTTGCTACAAAGTAGCTAACTGGATTTGCACAAATGCTAATCATAGATTTTGCTTCTTTTATTTCTCACATGGACAATTTTATGTCCCCCTTTTAAGTGTAAAAAGTTGTGGACACTTTTTATAATGATTTTTCAACATTTCTTCGCCAGTTTAGTCACGATCATCTAGTATCTAATACATATTACCATTCACGTCAATAAAAAAAGTTTTAGTGCCTCCTATACTACGCAGAGTTACATCCCCCTGATTTTTTGATTTTTTTAATGACAGGCAGGTTTTTTTTGATAAAATAAAAATAATTCCTTGATTTTCTTCACAAAATGGGATAGGTATTATGGAATATATATAACAAAGGTAGGCACTAGTATTAATGTGGGAACTAAATGATGTGTTTACAGAAATTATTACGGAGATTTGCAGCAGGGAATTTTCGATCAACAACAGCGATGTTCGTTTTAGGCTAATATGAGTAATATTAATATGTCTGTCAAATTTACTGATGTTCCAATGTAAAACATCGATTTTAGCTCCCGATGCATCAACGCATAAAATATTATTTGATTGATATCAGCACTGACGAGTGAATGGCTGTTACGCCAACAAATGACATGGTTGTGAATATTGAATGTTCAAAAGACAAATCAACATAGAAATGTCATCGGAATTATTCCGATAGGCCTACTACATTTCTTACGGATTAACATATGTCATGAGAGAGTATACCTTGCAATATTTATAACAATAATTTTGAAATAGTGTGACTGAAATAAAACTAAATGCATAATATTGTAAAATTCAACAGATTTTACTTCAATCAATCCATGTGGGTGTATAAAAAGAGAGATAACTAACCTCTAAAGGTAGATATGTATGTTTTTGTTCCTGGCCAACCTGAAGACAGGGAAAGTGAGGGTATCTGAAATATAAATGAACCAAAACAAAAAACATGGTGTTAACTTGTCAATCGGCAGTGAAACAGGGGTGAAATACAAGGGTTAAACTGCTTTATTTGGAGAATTAGTTCTGTCAAAAAAACTTACTGTAATTTAATCTTATATCTTTCTAGGAAATATCTGGCTACTGTACATTCAACTGTTTGACCAGAATCAAGTTGTAGTGGAAATCTACAAATATAAAACATAAAAATACTGACACATCCATCATAAACTATCACATGTGTAATCATATCAACATCCATCAAAAAGTATCAAATGCTTGGTCAACCAACATCACAAATATCACGTGTAGTTAATCGACATCCATCATAAACTATCACATGTGTAGTCAATTAATATTAACAAATGTTCAGTTAATCGACATCCAATAGCAAATGCTACGTTGCAAGAATTGATGCTGGCTTCCGATCCATTTATGCGTAAATTTTTTATTTGATATCACGACTAGTGGTAAGTTGTGGGATTATATCATGGGCATGGAGACGACTGGGTGTATTTGGTGGTGATGCTTTATTCAACAAGCATTGGTAACAATTGATTGAGAAGTGAAAACTAAATCAACTTACGATTGTGTCTGTGCTGGCCGCCTTGTAACGTTACATACACGATATTTTCTCTTCATTGTACCACAGTGAGTTATCTCCACTTTCAGACCTGAAAGAAACAAAATTAATGAAATAAACTCATTGAATTACAACCCAAGAAAATTGTTAATCACTTGAATCTTTTACATCAACAAATTACCATAGAGACTCATCCATATCAAACAATTTTACTCTTTGGAATTTTCCCTGTTTACTCATTTACATAATTTTCATATCAATGACAATATGTCTTCCCTATAATTTTCATGAATGGTATAAACAGAAAAAAATATATAGTTGCCAGCCCATGTACTAGGTCCAAGATATAAATGTAAAAGAGATCATATTTATCTTTATGTAGAAATATAAGCAAATCTGAAATCCCACAAGTTGTTGAAAACCATAATTCTCCATGTAACAATTCATATTAATTTCAAATTTACAAAGTAAGGGCAATAGAAATGTAAATTAATTTAATCAACACCACATCATTTGCTAGAAATTATGAATGACGGACGGATAGAGGCAAGCAATGGCAATATGAGAACAACATGAACGTATCAGAAGATCCTCTTTTACTAGCATAAAATTGGTTGTATTGTCAGTATATAAATAGATAATGTAAAACAAATGAAAGTCATGAAAATCAGCTTTAGCGCACAACAATTTCTTGTTTTACGGTATAGAGGGAGGGGGTCAGTGGGGGGAAGGAGGACATCATATATATATAAATATATATAAATATATTAGAATAGACAAGCTATGACATGATGAGTTATTTACCTTGAGAAGCAGAGGACAAACCTCCTGAAAATATAAAATATCTTTAATCACGTCAACGCCCAAAAAATATGATGTCTCCCTCCTATCCCCCTCAAAATCCACCCATCTTACCCCCATTATCCACATTATACCGAATCAACACCTATCCCCATTAAACCGGTCCAGTTTTATTTTACTGATTACAATATAAAATAGTACTATCCATCCTTTCATTCAGTACAAAAAAATAATTCACAATTAACAACAAACAGCAGAAATGGGCAGTGGTATTGGGTGTTCCAGAGAGGGTACAAAGTTATTAATTGAGTATATATTTGTGTAGTTTATTCTGTTCTGGAGGGAAACAACAGCTATTATAGAGTTAGGCAAAAAAACATTGGCCATTATTAGTCAAGCAATTTACAATCATTACGACTCTTCCCAACAATTAAAGACTTGACCAACAAACCTAATGATAATAATTCAATATACATTTTTAAATGTACTGTCACACCAATACACACCTTTGTCATATTCAGATTAAAATATGTATTAATTTGTTTCTGCTCACGTGTACAGTGCGAGGAAGGATAATTTTTGCTGGACAGTGGTATTTTGACAGTGATCTTCATGGAATTCCAAATGTCAAGATTTTGTTTTTGTGATCTGAAGTTCTTTCCCTGCCCATTCAAGGATTTGAGCCCAGGACATTCTATTTGAAAGTCTAGTGCCCTAATAGCATGACCATTCCGCTGTGCAAGTTATAATAATTTAACCCTAAAATCAATAAATCAAGAAGTTGAAATGGCACAATCAATTGCTGATACTGGAAAAAAAGAAAGAAAATCATGTTTCATCTGTTAAACAACCTACCTTTAATTTCCTTTGTAAACTTTACTCGTTGCGAGTCGGTCAGTGGACGCTTTTGATCGGCTGTATTCTCAATATCTAAAACTTCGCACATAAACTCTATTACTGGTTGGGCTTTATAAAATGCTGTAGCTGACACTGTAAGAATAAACAATATACATTGTCTGATGTAAGTGACAAGTCTATTTTGATATGCTGCTATTATTTAAAAGGTTTTTGGGCAAGGTCTTGGAATATTAATATGGTTAGTCCTTTCATGAAAACAATGCTTCACACTAAATTTGAAATATATCGGTTATAACCTGTAGGGGTATCAAAATAAGATAAAGAGAGACAGATGGTAGTTAAATTAAAAGTTGGCAAGAAAATTGAACCACAGCTCAATACTGAAATTTACAACTAAAATCTTTATATATCCAGGTGGATAAGCTATTTTAATCTTACCATCAATATTTAGCATCATCTTCCACTGAGACGGTCGAACGCTCTGATGAAAACCAAACCAAACCTCCCTGCCACCACCCAGTGGATGGTCATAACCTTTAGGTTGAGAGAAAAACGAACGTCCTACAGGGGTATACCTAAAACAATCAACAAAATTACATATCATTCTGGAAAGATCTCATAATATTGCAGTGGAGAAGTGGATTTAAACAAACAGGATTGTGAATAAAGGTATTTTAGGGAATCCAAATGGCCAGGATAAAGGGTAATTTAGGGATTAATAGAGGCCATGATAATGGATATTCTATAGATTGACTCGGACCAGGATAACGGATATTTTATAGATAGAAAGGGGCCAGGATAAAGGGTATTGTATGGATTTAAAGTTGCCAGTATGTCACAGATTAAAAGGGGCCAGGATTGATAGGGGCCACTATAAAGGATATTATATAGATTGAAAGGAGCCATGATTAAACATATTTTAGGAATTGAAAGGGGCCAGGATATCTTAAGAGATTGAAAGGGGTCAAAATAAAGGGTATTTTAGGGATTAATAAAGGATACATTATGGGTTGAAAGGGGCCATGATAAAGGGTAACTTACGGATTGATAGGGACAAGGATTAAAGGTTATTTGGGAAATGCATGGGCAAACTTACGTCATACTTGGTAAATGTCTCATGACTACATCTAGAGCTTGTATGGCATCCATTGGCATCTGTTGTGTTCGACCCTCCAAAGCTTCCTCAAGATTATACAGGCTGACCTGGGCTACCCATTTTATAGCTACAGTAAAAACACGATCTCGTCCTTCTCCTGGTAGAGTTACTTCTAGCTCAACCTACTCAACATAATTATCACAACATATGATATTCATTCTTACCATAAAGTTAATTCTAGTTCAAACTAGTCAATAATACAGTACGCAGATTGTGACCCTTTTACGAAACAAGATTACTTATCAATATTTCTTGACAACCGATATGATTTTCAGTAGATACGATTTTCAGTAATATACGCTGCATACAATAACATACCAACATACTTAACATGAAAAAAAGGCTCTAATTAGCTCTATGGTGTTATTCTGTCATGTTTCCTAAGGGATTTCAAAAGAAATTACCCCTGAATAGCTTTAATGAATGTTGTTCACCCGAAATTTTATAAAAACCCCAAGATAAAAGGGTGAATACTGGAGGCTTTAGTGGTAACTTGCAATACGGTAGCATTTGAATACAGCCCCCGATCACCACAAAGAAATATGAATCAGAGTTTTCATTTTTCACCCAAATCAAAGCAGACATTTTAGAAGGCACTAATAAAGTTATGTCTATCATCTTCGGATTATATAATAAAGTTTTATGTCTATCACTCAAGGTTGTGTAATAAAGTTTTATGTCTATAACTCAAGGTTGTGTAATAAAGTTTTAAGTCTATAATTTCCAGGTTGTCTAATAAAGTTTTATGTCTATCACTCAAGGTTGTGTAATAAAGTTTTAAGTCTATAATCTCCAGATTGTGTAATAAAGTTTTAAGTCTATATCTCCAGGTTGTGTAATAAAGTTTTTAAGTCTATAATATCCAGGTTGTGTAATAAAGTTTTAAGTCTATCATCTCCAGGTTGTGTAATAAAGTTTTAAGTCTATAATCTCCAGGTTGTGTAATAAAGTTTTAAGTCTATAATTTCCAGGTTGTGTAATAAAGTTTTAAGTCTATAATCTCCAGGTTGTGTAATAAAGTTTTGTCTACTATATCCAGGCTGTATTATTTTAGATTTAACATGACCAATGATAATATCTGCACATTTCGTTTCTTAACAATTTAACACGTGGCAATAGGTGTTCCTGTCAATCACTGAATCTAAAATCATCTTGTACCTTTTCTTTAGCTATAGGTAATGGTTCTCTACTGTACAAGTTTTTACGTCCATCGAAAACAGGTTTAGCACCAGAAAATATTCTCTGACCATATGACTGGACCATCGTCTCAATAATCTCACTGAAACATATCAAAACAGTTAAGGGAGTTGATTGTACAGATAAAGTCAAGTTAAGGCGGTCAACCATTAAGATTAATTATATTTTATATCATATCTAAAGAGGGTTTAGCATCAGAAAATATTCTGATATTGATAAAATACAGTTAAGGAGGTTAAGCATAATATTCACATTATCCATAATACTGTGTTGTGTTATATAATCTAAGGGTGTTGACAGCGCAATTAAATGAATTTTAACGGTTTAAAAGCATTTACAAATGAAATCAATCAGAATGTTGAACATTACAAATATTTAACATTTTGAGAAACCATACCATGACTCTCATGAACAGAACTTGAGAACTTTAAGATACTTTCCCACAAAAGTATTTATCAGGGTGGTTGTTTCCAATAAAAGGATGGCAATTTTTTTATATGGAAAGTAGAGACACCCATGGTGGAGCGCATACAGGACAAGGGTTTCCCTAATCGGCAAGCCGACGATTAGGGATGTCTGTTTGAGTGACATCAAAGGTTGCATGCGAAAATTGTCTGATCTCTCAGAGTTAGTGAGCGCTTGATGTATATGTTGAAAAACCTTATGGTGAGCTTCAACGTAAAAGTTTCTGGGATAAAAACCAAGGAAAAAGACGTGGGCAGTGGATAATCCGAGAATTAATTAGGCTTTGATATTTATGATAAACAGACAGCGATTAAAGACAATATCGTCTTGTATGTGCAATGAATTCTCCTCCGGCTTCGCACCCGTTGCTAGGTACTACGTTGGCCAAGTCATGTGACACAAACATGGCTTTTTTTAATAGATTTTTATAGCAGGGATATTCCCTCGCAAATACAATCTTTGAGAAGGATTTGAAGCAAAATTTTTATAGTCAAATTAGTTTGAATATGTTTTTAGTCCAAATAAATCATCAAATCACACAGTTTGTATGCGGGAAGGTATCTTTAACAAGACTAAATCTACAATATGGGGACTTACTTAGGCGAACATGATTGGACACACTGGTTAACTTGATGGGACATGGGAGGACTTACTGGTTCTTACATATCAAGGACTTACCGGTTTACACGTCGAGGACATTTGTCTGGTGTGATGGATACATCATAATGGTGGATGAAACCCTTTGGAATTCTAACTTGAAAATGATTAGCACGAAGCAAGATGGGTCGACCCTCTGTGCCATGGTTTGGGCGAGGTGGACAGACAAAATCACCCTCGGTGGATATTGTTGGTGGGGCGTGGAAGGGTGCATATGGTGTTGATAATGAAGGGATCTGAGGAGGAGGCTGTAAAGCTGAAACATAAAAAAATTATAAGTTTAGGTCTGATTTCAATCAAGCCAAAATGTAACATTTTTCGTAAATTCCCTGTAAATGGCATATTTACATCAAGCAGATTTGAGCAGATTGCTAAATAAAGCCATTCTTGCAATCAGAGCCTTCTGTCATTCCCAAAATATGCAGCATGCATTTCAGATAAACCAGCCAGCAAGTAAAAAGAACTGGTTTGTAGCAGGTCTGAAATATACACCATACCCGAGAGCTATATTAGAGTTTGTCCACCAACATACCTTTCCCCAGATAAACCAGATGTTCACTATACCTACACGTTCAATACGATTAGTATGAACGATGGACAGATTCTAACATAATACTACTGCAGCCAGTCCACAGTTTATATGTTAAGTCTTAACAGAAGTCTGTGGTTATTTTACCACACAAAGGAAGAAATTTTGCCTGGAAAACTGCATTCCTGCTTATTCCCAGCTGTGAAGGACTCTTTAATGTACAAGCCAATGAACATGGAGCTGGTTTTTGTTCTATTCTAACCACTAGACTAACTTTTCTTGTCAACCAGGCAAAAGGCGAATGCGGGACATTCTGTCAAAAGCCCAGAGATGACACAAGTTGTGTCTGTTAAACTTGACTTCTGAAGATGACTTACCTGGTTGTGACATTCCCATTAACTGTGATGGAAGCAGGGGTTCTGAAACAAGCAGTTATCTCCCTTAGACATAAAAACAATTAGCATGTAAGATATAATAAGCTATCAACCAAATAAGCACCAGCACCATTCTTCCAAAATTCAGAAACAACTTGATTTGACAGCAAGCTAATACAATTATGTTCAAAGTTCCAATTCCAACAGATCAAAATCTGATTTGTCAAATTTTTTCAAGAGGTGGACTTTATTTCATTGTTAAGCAATGGATCTACGATAGTTTATTTCGTTGATTACAATATATTCTGTACATGTGTATACCTGTATATTTATATCAAGGAGGACTGTTATGAAAAAGATAAGACTAACTGGTAAAGTTTAGGAAAAAGAGCCCTGGTTCTAGTAGATAAATTAACCCAATACATTATAAAATCATCTCCACTACCATGAGCAAATCTACCCTCAACTATAAAATCATATAAATATTTATAGACAATCTACATGCAATTAAAATTATACAAACTCTTCCTTCCATTTTATACTAGTTACTGTGTCCCAAAGTCCTGATCAATCAAATTGTTTATTTCTGCTTAGACTGCTTAGTGTCCCATATTCTACGCATGATAAACGAATCCTCTGATGATGAACATTGCTCGAAATTCAGCAGAGATCACTCAAACTTCCTTTGGAAGTTATAAAATGATCAAACCTTTCTTTGATTTCAGTCCTCTGTTGGGCATTAAAACTTACTTGTCCAGATACATATTTCTAAGAAGTTATATGTTACAGAAGATATTAGATGACAAGATTTAGTAACATATTCACCAGAGTAAAAACATGATTGACCAGAGATAGACCAGATTAACCAGTAATAATCAACTTACGTTCCTGTGTCATAGGAGGGAAGGTAAACTGTAGACCAGGTTGACCTGAAATAACAATAAAAACAATGCTGGTCAATGCACATGTTACATGTACATTTGTACAACCCAGTAAATAACTTCTGGTCACATAATTTCAATGACTGAAACAACAAATGTATTTATGTGGAAACAAATAAAGAATAGATTGAAAGACTTTGTACACAGAAGAGAATAAATCATCCCATGTCCCTCATATACAAAAATCAACACATCCCAACTCCACCAATCCCCATCTAATATTAAACCTTCTACACATTTTTATTACCTACCATATTAAACAACTTAATTCCATTATACCACTAATCACAGAGATCTTTGGAAAATAAAATCAAATCGTATTTCGAATAACTATTTCCTTTTATTATAACCGGTAATATCCTGTACATGATAGACCCCATTGGATAAGAAAAGATAGGTTGTCAGGCAATGAAACATACGCCCACAGCAGCTTAATCGTCCAAGCGTCAACAAGGGTTGTCGCATATTTATTCCTTTGTAGGTAATTGGGAGCCTTTACAAGACAGTTCCATACAGACCAGATTATAATTTCGTTGTTTGAGGGTTCACAAAGTTCTAAAAACTGAAACAAGGGACTCAACTCTGGAAGTAGTTTACAGAAATTGATGAAATTTGACAGGCTTATTTGTTTTCCTAATTTAAATAATGCATATAATCTTCATACAAGGGCCATAACTCTAGAAATAATTGACGGAAATTGCTGAAATTCAATAGACCTTTGTTTCACAAATTTAAATGACGCAAATAAATTTTATACATATCGGATGATAACTTTCATCAATCGAGCCTTAACAAGGTTGAACAAAGTGAAACAAGGGCCATAACTCTAGAAGTAATTATTTTAAATTGCTGAAATTCAATAGGCTTTGTGGTTTCACTAATTTAAATAATGCATATAAATTTCACAAAGATAGGATGATAACTTTCGGCGTTCGAGCGTTCACAAGGTTCAATAAAGTGAAACAAGGGCAATAACTCTAGAAGTAATAAATGGAAATTCCTGAAATTCAATAGGCTTCTTCGTTTCACTATTTTAAATAATGCATATAAATTTCAGAAAGATCGGATAACTTTTGCTGTAGAACGTTCACAAGGTTCAATAAAGTGAAACAAGGGCCATAACTCTAGAAGTAATAAACGGAAATTGCTCAAATTCAATAGGATTCTTTGTTTCACTAATTTAAATAATGCATATAAATTTCAGAAAGATTGGATGTTAACTTTTGGCGTTAAAGCGTTCACAAGGTTCAATATAGTGAAACAAGGGCCATAACTCTAGACGTAATAAACAGAAATTCATCACACTAATGTAAACCACATATATCAATTTTAAAACGATCAGATTAAAACTTCTGGAGTTAGAGTGTTCACAAGAAATTGTGGACGACGGATGGACAGGGGCGACGGCAATATACATCCACATTTCCATGTGGGCGTATAAAAAGGGTGGGGTGGCGACAGTACCGGCTAATAAAAGACAAGCCAGGCGAGTCGAAAGGGAATTGGATAATTACTAATCACAAGATGGACGGACCACAGGGTTATGGGAAGCATGCAAGAATATAAACTAACATAGATTATACAAAAGCAAAAAGCGCATATAAACACACTACATTTAATTACTACAAAATAATAAAACAATAAGTTGGCAAGTAAAAAAAAATATGTATACACCAATGGCAGAACTCAGTCATAATCTTTCTATTGGTCAATCAATAACAACTGGTGTCAAATAATAATAACATGAATTTTGATTGGTTGATTAATCTAATTTCTAAACATGTAAAATATAAGACGTAACACGACTGAACAATCAGTAATATAAAGAAGGTAGAGATACATATTAGTAATAATAGCCCTTTCCAATTCCTTAGTTATCTCCCTTTCTACTATTCAAAATATGTTTGGTAATCTCTCTACTGTTTCAAAAAATGTGTTTAAATTGGGTTTTTTGATTAATGAGCATTTTGAGAAAATAAAACTAACGCTTCTCGCCAGTTGAATCAGCCAACTGGGGACCAAATACAATACACATACAATGTACATCTCTATCAATTGGTGATTGACTTCTCCTATAGGCTACATGTATGCCCCGGTCAATACCTCAAAATACATGTATTCTACTGTTACAGAGTTGAGTGGAAGTTTCAACTGATCACACACAGTGGATAAAAATAGCCACCATTAATAGCAGAATTGAAACAATGGCAAAATATTTTGCGCCAAGACATTTCATATTTCCATTATGGTATCATTAGAGGACGGAAGTTTATTCTGATTTGACAAGGAAAGATAACTATGAGTGATTGGAAATGGTTGTTATGGTGATATGTATAACAATGTAGAATAGATACCTACCATTTAACTGTGGACTCAGAAAAGGTGAGATACCTTCAAAATAAAAATACCAGAAAATATTACTTTACTGCCAAATGATTCCTAAAATCACTGAAACCTTGGGTTTCACAACAGCACAGAAAAGTCAAGTTCTCCCCAAAATAAAAAAAAAACATAAGGAAAATTTTCACCCTTTTTTTTCAAAATATCTTAAAATTGACAAATATGTATTTTAAAACATAATTTCTGGAAGTCCACAAAAAAAAAAAAAAAATTAATTGAAAACCTGGGTTTTAAAATAAATTCACATCCATAATTATACATGTATATGAGGAATGAAGTGTTTTATTTAAGAAATAAATATAATTTCAAAAAAGTTAATATCAAAGTTGTTAACTAAAAAAATGATAAATATTATTATAGTTGATTATTTTTCATTTTAAGTTGCATGTACGTTCAATAAATGCAGGACTTTCTGGATGTCAAGATTGTTGAATCTTCTGATGGATTTTTATTTAGGGTGATTTTTGTTTTTCTATTCTATAGATCTGAGATTCACATGTTTAAATATTCTATTACTGTCAGTTACAAGTTGTAACAGTACTCCATCATGACCAAGAACATTTAAATATTAAATTTTACAAATTCCAACTTTTATATTGGATTGAATTGAGTTCTGCCCTGTTTAAAAAAAAAAACAATACAAAGCAAGTCTTGGTTAAAGATGGACGTACAAATAAATAAAGACAGAGTAGCAGATGTTATCAAAGCTTTCTACATTTCACAAGAAACCAATAAATTCAGTTTGTTTTTTGTTTTAGATGACTAATAGTAAAATAATCTGGATACACATGCATAGCAGACTATAGCTTGCTCCACACCTCACCCTTTTCCCTGCCCCCCCCCCCACCATTCCCATCCCATCCCAAATGGTAGCAACCAATACTATACCAGTTCATTAACAACCATAATTTGATTTGTCTATCCATGCTGTGGTTGATTAAAGTCATGTTTACAAACATTACTAGTCTTGAGTATAAAAATACGGTCATATAGCTAAACTAAGGAATGAGCAACCCACCCGCCAACGCTACATGTAGCTTAATAAATTGTAATACGGTCACATAGCTAAACTAAAGAAAGAGCAAAAAATATTTTTTAAAGGCTTTTATTTTACACTGACATGTTGCGACAGGCCTATACACTTGATCAAGGTCTGTACATTTGGGCTACAACAACAGTACACTGGATCAAGACAACTCATAATTATGATCAGTTGAAGAGAGCAGGTAAATGACCAATAAATGATGTTATCTTTTATTTTGGTACGTAAATCAAATAATTAAAATACATTAATTGTGAAACCCTGTGTTCTAATTAAAAGATCATTTTGTAAGTGGTCTCTAGGTAGAGTAGTAGCAATACAGTACATTTCAAGTAAATGTATTTCACAATACATGTATGTATGGTAGAAACAACTGTGATAACAGTATCGCCAAATTATAGCAAATGATCATGTGGGCTCATGCCCACAAACCTTTCACATTCTCTCAGGTATACATGTAGTGTTTTTACCAGTGTTCTCTCTATTTGTACCAGGTTAATTTCTTATTCTCTATTGGAATGTTACATAAATGGCGGGATTTTTTTGTTCAAAACAGTAATCTGTACTAATTATTGTGAAAAAAATAAAATGACAAAGATTTATTTTCATGCAATGCATTAGATCCATCACCATGTACAGAACGTGAAAATGACAGGGCACATTCACTCGTCTATTCACTTTGTATTTTTGAAGAGAGTGAACCTTCACTCATTCCTAGTCTTATTGTAAAGTTGATATCATTCACTTATGAACAAATGACTTGGCTAACAAAGAAGAATTACAGTGAAAAATAGTAGCTGCAAGGACTCCAATATAAGGTTCAGAGCGCGCGGTATTTTCATATCGCAGCTTAATAAGAAATATAGGCTTCAGAGCAAGCTGTATTTTCATATTGCAGCTTTATAAGGTCGAGTCTGAAGTGTCGGAGGACTTTGTCCATTCAGAAAGGAACTAGCTGTAAGCACACACCTGCAAATTAATCTACCATACATGTATGTAAAATGGAGGCCTACTGTATAAATGAAATGAAATGGGGTTTAATGTCCTACTGTTCTGCTCCTATACTGGGCTAATGAAGACGGGCATACGCCATACAGTGTGCTATGAGGGAAATTTTGCCCGGGCAGTGGCACTATCGCCTACTCTTATATCGAATTCCAACTGCCAAGGGATCTTTTACAGGCATTCCAATGTATACAAAGGACCTCGGTTTTTTGTATCATACGAAGGACTAGACAGCTGTCCTTGTCAGGCCCTCTGTTCTGCACCACTGACAAGGAGAAACCAAGTCGGAAAATCCAGATGAACTTTCTCAGCCAATGCAGTGATCGAACACCTGACCTCCAGGCTAGCGAGACAGCGTCTTAACCACCTAGCCACCTTGGCCTACTGTATAAATTCCATACACAGTAAGGCCGCTGTTAACCAGGAAGTTATGGCCCGAAATGAGCGAATATCGAAAGGGACGAGATATTTGTGATATTAAGATTTACTTTAAGTTTCATCAAAATCGGATAAAAATTGTGAAAATGTGGGCGTATAAAAAAGCTGTATCATATTTGTCATTCAAACCAAGGAATGGTTGCTGCAGCATTTTCTTTTACCAAAGACACACATACTTCATAAGCCACTTGTCATATGTAATAAAATTCACGGAAAGATATATGTCTTTAAATTCCTGCTAAAATATTTTATTTACGTGACTAGCACTCTGTGACCAACGTGATTAGCACTCTGTGACCAATGTGACTAGCACTCTGTGACCAACGGTCCCAAAACTACCACCATGAGATAACCTCAATCATGTGGTACCCACTGATTGACACTACTTCACCGTATTTTATTACCACGACATTCTATAAACACAGTCTCAAAAGGACACAAAGATACTAATAAATGTGAATAGTTTAATGAAGATAGACACAACAAGCCAACAATGAGGCTGATGTCCCCATCGAAATCCCCAAAATAAATAGATGACACATATTAATTAATTGCACATTTATTTTTTTCAAAAGTATCGAGAAATCAAACTACATGTATACACTAAGTATCAAATTGCTTATTGCTTCTTAGTCCTTAGCCTAAGCAGAAAATTCTTACTATGGAACTAAGTCATGGTAATGATATAATAAATCAATATTCGGAGTTTCGTCGCTCTCACTTCATTATAACCAACGTTATCGTGCCCCAAAGCATTAATCAATCAGATTCCTTATCTCTGCTTACTGTAAGCAGGCAATGTTCATCATCAAACTCCCTAATGAATGCCTGTTGCCTACACCAAGTTTGAACATTCTACCTCAATTAGAAGGAGAGTTATTGTGTTCCAAAGTCTTGACTAATCAAATTGTTTATCGCTCTGCTTACCCTCAGCAGAAAATGTTCATTAACGAACTAAGTCAAGGTATTGATGTAAAAAAGCTATACACTAGTGTCCTCACTCTCACTTAATTAGAACTAAAGTTATCAGGAACCAAAGCATCAACCAATCAAATTGCTTATCTCTGCTTACTCTAGCAGAAAATTCTCATCTTCGAACTCCCTCAAGGCATTCACCTCAAATATAGACATCTGCGCCAAGTGTGAACATTCTAACTCAAGTAGAATTATTGTGTTCCAAAGCCTTGACCAATCAAATTGCTTATCGTTCTGCTTACCCTGAGCAGAAAATGCTCATTATCGAACTTAGTCAAGGTATTGATGTAATGAAACTAAACACCAAGTTTCATCACTCTCACTTAGTTAGAATTAAAGTTATCGTGTCCCAAAGCATCAACCAATCAAATTGCTTATCTCTGCCTACCCTAAGCAGAAAATGCTCATCTTCGAACTCCACCAAGTTTGAACATTCTAGCTCAATTAGTAGGAGAGTTATCGTCTTCCAAAGCATCAATCAATCAAATTGCTTATCACTCTGTTTACCCTAAGCAGAAAATGCTCATTATCGAACTTAGAAAAGGTATTGATGTAATGAAACTATACACCAAGTTTCATCACTCTCACTTAATTGTAACTAAAGTTATCGTGTTCCAAAGCATCAACCAATCAAATTGCTTATCTCTGCTTACCCTAAGCAGAAAATGCTAATCTTTGAACTCCATTAAGATATTGACTTAATAAACACCTACACCAAGTTTGAACATTCTAGTTCAATTAGAAAGAGTTATTGTGTCCCAAAAAGTGTGACGGACAGACCGTCGAACCCATTTTAATAGTCCCCTGCTTTCTTTGAAAGGCGGGGGACAATAATAAAAATATGTGCCAATGGGGTCAAAGTTGAAGACAAGTAATATACAGGTTATTGGTACTATCTTCCTTTAATGTTACAGAAACGAACATGTGTGTAATAAATTCTTTGGACTGACATGTTAAATAATCTAACTTAGGTTTTATTTAAAATTCAAAGCTATGCTTTTAAATATTTATGAGAGAGAGAGAGAGAGAGAGAAATGGGGTTTAACGTCCACTCGACACAAACTAGGTCATTTCGGGACTAACATATGGTTTAATTTTATTTACATAATTTGCTTGCGCGTAGGGGTCTTTAGTAGTGGGAGGAAACCGGAGGACCCGGGGAAAACCCACGAGGTTGGACAGGCGACCCTACTCCTTTTCACATACAATTTAAATATTTATGTCAGAACAAATCATCAACCTGATTGGAACAGATCATTTCGTAACCTGTCAAAGTAGGGAAAGATGAAGAAATGAAATGCCAAGAAGAAATAACGAACGTAACATAGAATTTAGAATTTAGAAGCATATCACTAATAATTTAGACCTAATATTATGATCAAGTCTTCCGTTGCCCGGCTATTGTGCAATAGATATTTGAATCTATAATATTTATTAAATGTGTATAAATCGTGGATGCAGACTACCATTGGGTTTTCAATGACCAAGCAACCAACATTTGTTATTGCTGCAATAGAAACAGCATTAAATTCAAAAATTTTAAATTCCATCTCAATAACTACCTCGGCTCATGCACCAGGCAGGGCTGTCGGTAATTTTTCACAGCTAATTAGCAGCACTGCTAATCAAAAAGTCCAATTTTGCCAAATTTGATTAGCAAATTTAAAAATTGATTAGCAGTTTTCCAGTTTCAACAAGATATTACTTTAATTCATAACAAATTGAAATATGATTAGATTCCATTCTCACTATTCTTAGATTTTTTAGCACTGCCACAAGTACTTGTGACAGTTTGTGAATGTGATGTAGACATTTAGTTAGGTCTTATGTCTGAAGCCAATTCTTGACAGTGACTTCCGAAGGATTACATGTCATTTGGGACCTACGTCATTTGGGACTCAAAAAAATATGAGCACGACATTTGGGACTCGGGTATACGACGTTTGGAACTTTGGGATACGTCGTTTGGGACTCGGGTATACAACGTTTGGGACTCGGGATAATTTTTTAGAAATAGGCCAATTCAAAACACGAAAGAAAATATTTATTAACATGAAACACGTGGTTAGTAAAAGGCTCAACCAAACGATAAGAAATGGCAACGATCAAAGCGGGATAATAAAAGCTGATTAACTGATAATCCCGATGTTATTGCAGTATTTTCAAAGAAACCTAACGGTTCTTTGGTGGATGAGGAAAAATGTGAGTTGTCAATCATCGAGAATGGCGGCCATGTGTTGATTGCAGTTACCGGTATACCGTTTCACAAAAAAACATTAACAGTGGTCGGTCAATCAAGCTCGTTTACTATTTGATAAAAAGAGAAACAACGAAGTATTACTAAATATACACAAATTTTCAACAATATATTATTGTCAAGTTTTATACTCGCAGATAAAACAAAACAAAGGAGAAGTTTTATACTCGCAGATAAAACAAAACAAAGGAGAACTAGCAGTGTTAATCGCGGTCTCAACAATCGCAGATCAAGTCAACTAAATAAAACGAAAGACAACTAAGACAGCTGTTACTATATATCTCATAAATAAATAGTCCCAACTGTCGTTTATATTGAGTCCCAAATTCCGAAGCCCCACTCATTTTAATTGTAATTTATTTGTTACGTTAGAAATCTTCGTTAGAAAACAATTTTGTCTGCTTTTTATTGTGTATTACTATTTTTGTTCAATCGGGCGCACCTCGATTAACTAGACACACACGATATAAACAATAATATTTTACGGGAATTTTTACTTTTGACTGATCATTTTACAATACGTTAACATGTATTTATTTTTTTATATTTTATTTACAATACGTGGGAGACACACTGGATTTATTTCTTTCAAAATGAATATGATATAATTACTTGATGTCTCGCAACGTGAGTGGTACTACTTGATTCCCTATTTCCGGTTTAATAGTCCTTATTCATAGAGTTATGTCCCTGTGTTATATAGTATTGTGTCTGGGTAGTTCGAGAAGAAAATGTCACACGGAGAATTCAGTTTTGTTTATAAAATTTTGTTTATAAAATTTTCTTCAACATTTTATACACGTTGAAAGTGTTGAGTAAGCCTTCTAGTCTTCAAAATGTGGATTATTCTTGTGTCAATATCCAAAATGACAGGCATATTAATGATTCGCAGTAACTGCGAATCAAAAACGTTAGATTTTAATTTTTGGTTAGCAATGGACAAAATATGTATCGGAAATTGCGCTGCGATACTGGTTGTCGGCAGCCCTGGCACCATGTATATTTCACAAAAACAATTAATTAACCGCAGCCTAAACATTAGTTGAATGGGGTTGGATTTTTAAGAACTGGTTATGTTATAGCTATATATAGGCTTGCATGTGTATGATATTTTGTCATTAGAGTGGGTCTAGATCATGTATTTCAATAGCCTCTTCCAGTTATGTCCAATTCAATGTAGATTGATTCCAGTCTGTGTCAGGTAAGATTAATAATAAAGTGTAGTTGGGCTTATTGAGGAAACAGCCACAGGATAGTTTTTGTTTAGTCAATTCATGAAGGCTATGATAGACAGTATCATTCTTTATGTCATTATAGTCTGCTAATTAAATAGACTGACTAAAATACTTAACATTTTTGTTTATATTAGGCCTACTATTGTTACTGATGACTGTAAAAATGATGGCAATTCGTCTTCAGACGGGGACGCCATTTTTATTTGGGACTGTTTCTTTTCCAGTTTCACGTAACGTGTTCAAGTTACACGGAGTTATAATACACAAGGGAAAAGACCATAGATAAGCTTAATATAATAATTTATTAGCTAGTGAAAGACGTGAACTAATTTGTTCCATTTAGCGCGTGGAAGCCATGATATCCGAACGTGTGTGTGTGTATACCGTTGAGGTAAGAAAATGTTGGGCTAAAAATAGATTGTTTCATAGTCGGGCAATATTTTCACTGAAACATGTCGTGTTTCTGTATTTGTCTGACGATTTATTCGCCACAAGAACTGATATTTCAAGGCGTTGACCTACCCTGTGTAGTAATCGGGAACATCTTTGCATGCTACACCAACCAAAGCCAAGTAATTATAAAATTATCAACTAAAATTCTCTCAGATTCTTCACCGGAAAGCAATCATGGCGGTACAAGCCTTCGATATATAGGTCATCCAGCCTCGTCTCCGCCAATCACCGTAAACTTGTTATGATTATCCAGACTTGCCAAACTGACTTGAAAGGTGATTCTAAGTTCACGAACACTTAACTATTTTAATTACAATAAACATTTATAGAGCGCCGTCTTTCATTGAGGTGCTTCGATGCGCCTTAGGCCTACATGTAAACAAATTTTGACAAAACAAAGCAGTTGAATAACAAAATTTTAATTATTTGAAAATAAATAAATAAATAAATCATTTGGAAAAAAAAAAAATAATAATAATAATTTATTTTAAATATTTATTATTATTATACAACACTTATATAGCGCTATCTTCCACATACGTTTTCAGGCGTGCTTTGCAATAAATACATGTATAGAAAATATAAAATCAGTAAAAAATAATAATTATAGAAACAGTAAGAAACTAAATACATGTATATATAAAATCAGTACAAAAATAAATATATAAATATCTATAAAATACATATGGTGAAGATTTAAAACTAATTCAACAATTAATGGCCTCTTGGAATAAGAAAGTTTTAAGTTTAGATTTAAAAGTTGTTAAAGAGGTACAGCTGCGGATACTAAAAGGCAAGAGATTCCACTGCTTTGGTGCTTGAAAAGAGAACGAACGCTCTACATAACTTGAAAGGTTGGCACTTTTTTCCGGTAATAAAAAGTTGTCTCTAGATGACCGTAACGTTCGAGAAGGTTTATAAATATCCAAAAGAAAGGACAAGTAAAAGGGCGCCATACCATTAAAACATTTAAAAGTCAATAAAAGTATTTTATATTTAACCCTAAAAACAATAGGCAACCAGTGCAGTTCAAATAAAACTGGGGTAATATGCTCATTATATTTCGTGCGTGTGATCAGTCTTGCTGCTGAATTCTGCACTTTTTTGGAGTTTCTCAACAGTGCGACACGGAAGACCAATCAATAAGGAGTTGTAACTGTCCAGCCTGGAGGTAATAAGGTACTTATAAGTGTTTGTATTGCGTCAGTTGAGAGGTTATTGCGAATTTTACTAATATCACGTAGGTGATAATAACATAATTTACATACATTATTTACATGAGACTCTTAACAAATATTACACCAGTGTTTCTAGCAGTTTTTACTGGCTCCACAGAAACGTCGCCGATAGAAATATCAATGTTATCTGAAATTTTTGCTTAAACTTTTGGTGAGCTAATTAAAAGATACTCGGTTTTATCATCGCTCGGCTTTAAAAAATTGATTGACATCCATTGTCGTATTTCATTGATACAAGATTCTAAAATATACTTAGTTAAAACGAAGCCATCTTTAACAATTGGTTTGAACGAGATATTCAACTGCGTATCATCTGCATAAAGATGATACTGGATATTATACTTTTTAATTATTTTACCCAAGGGCAAGGTATACAAGCTGAACAGAATTGGACCCCAAACAAAGCCCTGTGGGACACCTTCAGATAATTTGCCACTGACAACAATAGATTGTTTTCTATCAGTTAAGGCCCGGTCCCAGTGACCGATAGACACAAAACGTATACAAAAAGGACACAGCGGACGAGCAAACTTTCGGGGGTGGCTCCATCTGTTTTCATCCGCTCCAGAAATGGACAAAATTTGCGAAAACAGAACGGAAAAGAACGAACGTGCGAAGTATGTAGCGGGGATGTTAAATGGATGTTCATCGGAAGCCTAGCGGATGGAAGTGGATGACAGCTCCGAAGGGGTTAGGCAAACTCCAGACATTCTTCAATATACCATATATATCCCAGATACAAACGCTTTGTCCGTTTTGAAAACTTTATATACGAGATGCATACGCGTACATCCTTTCTATTTCCGTGCTACTAACGATCTATAGACGTTCCATGTACCTTATCTTTCCTCCCTCTTTCCGTTATCAACTGGATCGGATGTGAGTTGCGAGGATGCCCAGAGTATGCAGAGAGGATACAGTGGACGTTTAACGGATGATAACGGACATGGAACGTTTGGTGCTCGTATAAGTCGCGCATTTACATCGTACACGGCAGAAAGTTCATCCGTTATAAAAGTTTTGTGCAGCTCAAAACTTTTTGCGCGGATGAAATCAAAGTGAACGGATGCTCGATGGATAGAGCGTATGAAACACTTATGCAATGAGTACACAACGGATGCATGGCGTTTTCAAACGGAGGGCACGTTTTTTCCCCGTTTTACATCCTTTTGGCATCCGTAAGTGCAGTGGGACCGGGCCTTTAAAAAGGATCTGAGAAGGTTGATTGCAGAGCCGGATATACCGAAACCAGATATTAAACGAGAAATTAGAATGCTATGATCGACGGTATCAAAGGCAGGTGACAGGTCTAACAATATAAGGAGAACACAATTATGATTGTCTAGTGAATTTAGAATGTCATTTTGAACTCTGACAAGAGCAGTTTCTGTGTTGTGATGTGTGCGATATGCAATTTGAAATACTTCAAGAAGGCTGTTGTCAGAAATGTAAGGTTTTAATTGATAAGCTATGCATTTCTCAAGGATTTTAGAGATAAAGCTGAGATTGGATACTGGTCGATGGTTCCTGTAATGATTCGAGTCAAGAGTTGGCTTTTTGATTAAAGGAACAACGATTGCGGTTTTGAAAACATCTGGAAAAATAGCACATTGGATTGCATGGTTGATCAAGTGAGTTAATGAAGGGAGTATACAGTCGATGCATTCTTTTAGAAGCCAGGTAGGTAACGGATCAAGGGTGCAAGACTTTGAATTTGATGAACAGATTAACTTTTTAATTTCATGATCTGCAACAGGTGAAAAAGCTTCTAGATTACAGTTTACGCTAGACAGGATGGCTTTAGTTGTAGTGATGTCTGATGAAGATGGCTTGTTCAAATCATTTCTGATTTTCGTAATTTTGGAAGAAAAGAAGTTAGCAAATCTATTAGGTAAATCAGTTACATCATCGGTTGGAAGTTTTATGACACCATTATTATGATCGAGTAGCGAGTTAACAACTTTATAAAGTTCTTTCTGTTTATTTTCACTGGATTCTATTTTATCTGAATAGAAATATCTTTTTGCTGATTCAATTTTTCTAATCAATACGAGTTTTGCTTTCAGGGGCGTACATAACGATTTTGTTTGGGGGGGGGAGGGGGTTAGCCAAAATGCGACCGACTGATGCCCATACCCCTACGAGTGACACAGTCAGGAGCCGAGCATCACAGGTGCGAGTTTTGAGGGGCCATGTGCAGTAGCGGATCTAGATAGGGGTGAGGGGGTCCAAATCTAGGGCGCCACCCCAGCCACAATTCCACCCCACAATGAATGTCAACAAAATACTGGCTATACCATTAAGCGTCCCGGTAGAACATAGGTGGTATTGTATAATTATATAGTTGTTTGCCGATCGTTGTCTCGCTGGAAAGCAGTTTTATTTAAGTTGACATAAAGTTTATGTCATATATGATTGTGCCTATAACACTGAGCAACCTGAGAAAATTTTGAAATATTGAGTTAATATCTTGGCATTTGAGGTCATTGCTTGGAGAAATTCTTGTGGACGAGAGGACCAGAAATGTGAGTCAATTAGACAAAATCTCGAGATCTGCCCCTGTCAATTCCGCCTGTTTTGCAAGAGTTGACAGAACTTTTGTATAGTCTGACGCCCCATGACCCACACACCAGTGCCAGTGGTACTACTAACATAACTAGTCAGTTCAGTATAACCGTGAATATGATAGTGCTGAGACAGTATAAGACAACAGAGGAGTAGAAGAATGACGTTATAATGGAATCGAGCGCCGTAGGCGCGAAAAAATTTCAGATGTGTAACCGAGCTTTTAATTTTTGGGATTGGGCCTGACAATTTTAATCAATGTCATGGCAAATGGATCCAAATTCTCGTTAACGAGAGGATAAGAAATGGGACAGAATCTTGAGGCCTATCTGTCAATGTCGCCTGTTTTGTGAGAGTAGAACTAACAATTCTACAGTCTTTTGACCCACGACTCACTCACTAGTGGTACTACTAACTGGGCGATTCACTGTAACTGTGAATATGATAGTGATGAGATAGTATAAGACAGAGAAGGAGTTGAAGAATGATAGCATAATGGAATTGAGCGCCGATATGTAACTGAGCTTTTAATTTTTGAGGACTGGGCCTGAGGGCACTTTACCCCAATGGGGCGCTTACTTGGTCTCTGAAATGCCCTGGACTTTGGGGAGAGATTTTGCAGAATTCTGATGGTCAGAAAACACCCCATTAATTCATTTAGTCTTAGACCGACTGCGGTGAGCACTTTTTTTTTAGACCGACTATTTCTTTGCCATGGGGTGAAAAACATTTTTTTCAAACATGATAAGTTGACAAGGTTATTTTATACTAAAGTTTTGCGTGAGTAGAGTGACGTATGCAGTGAGCACTTATTTTGATACCGACTGCTCATATATCTTACGACCGACTGCACTGATTTTGCGTCCGACTAGTATTTGGGATCTATTCTGGCATTATTTGTTTACCTCATTAATTCATTAAGACGGCGATGCATAATTTTGAGACCGACTGCAGTGACTGCACTTATTTTGAGACCGACTATTTTTCTACCTGGGGGAAATTTTGTTCTTAGACCTACATACTCACAACAGAATAAGAGTTAAACACATCATTTTTTCAAACATGATAAGTTGACAAGGTTATTTTATACTAAAGTTTTGCGTCAGTAGCGTAACGTGTGCAGTGAGCACTTATTTTGATACCGACTGCTCTTATTTTGCGACCGACTGCACTGATTTTGCGACCCCCCCATATTTACGCCCCTGTTTGCTTTTTTAAATATTTCCCGATGAACATGTAGACCAGATTTTCGCCATGTCCGCTCTGCCTTGTTTCGTTCGATCTTTGAGAGATGGACATCCTCATTATACCATTCAGTTCCAGCACGAACCGTAACTGATTTGGTTTGTATGGGAGAACTAGTCCGGTGGCCGAAGGGGGGGGGGGGGGGGAATCGCCACCCG